GCTGTTTCCCATACTATTTGGTACCATTGGTCCATGCTTACTCTTGACAGGTCTCTCCAGCGGTGGGAATGTTGTGGGAAAGGGAATGACAATGAAACAGAGGAGGAGGAGGAAGAAGAGGAAAGGAAAGGGTGAAGGCTTGTTGCTTGGGGAGGGGGGTAGACAAAACAGTGAAAGACAAGGCAGTTCTGAGCAGCCTGGGCAACTGTTGCTTAGGTGGACCGGAAAGCAAAGAAAATGGCCTTTGCTGCAGTTAGGCCAAAGGAGAGCAAAATAGGGAAGCGAGGGCTAGCCAGGAAGAAGAGTGGGAGCTGCCCTTGTTGCTGCATATAACCAAGAAAAATAGAGTATGCACTAGAGTTATAACTTTTTGACTTCAAAAACAAACAAACAAACAAACAAACAAACCCCACTCCCTGTATTATAATGGGATGAACCTTTGCTTAGAAATACTGAAAAGGGGACTAATTCTTCTCAGTTGTGAAAAAAGGTCACCCCGAAATGTAAAGTTGGAATCACTGTATCTGTAACATTACTACTCATAAGTATTAGCACTTTAAAAAACTTTATGGAACTGTTTAGAACTTTTACAGCTGCCTGGAACTTCCGAAAACTGTATTGGAGAATCACGGGAGGCGGGAGCCATCCATACTCCAGACACCAAGAAGCAATCAGGATGCGTTGCGCAATCAAAGTGATGCGGGAACTTTATGGTCCTGGTGTTCAGGACCCTTGTGTTTCTGGGACCCATAGATGGCTGTGGGGACATGCAACAGTCCACGCTTATAGAGAGTTTTCATGAAATCCATAAAAATGGTTACCTCCATTGGGCCCTTAAGTTTAGGAAAGGGGGGAGTTTAATGGAGCATGTGGAGGATCAGTGGAAATCAAAACCCATTCCTCCTGATCAGAATTGATGAGTTGATGACCACTGTAAGCGGATGAAAACATTAGCAGGATTGCAATAACACTTGTAATGTAGCAATTGCTATGGAGAAAATGGAGTGATGTAAAATATTGACTATTGAATAGTACGCAGTAGAAAACCCATGGAGGGGAAGGTGAGAAGTCCAAAGATTTGGAGAGATCTTTATATATAGATATGTATGGTTGTATTGTTATAATCTTATACTTGTAAAATCTAATAAAAACTATTACAAGAAAAGAATTGATGAGCTGGTTGTGTTGAGTGCTCACAGCCCATCCCAAGCAAAACGTTCAGGTTCATTGGGCCCTTAAACCAAAATGGGGGCTGAAGGGGCCACATAGGGCAGGGGGACTTGAAACCCATTCCTTGTGATCAAGAACAACAGGAAATTCACATAGGGGGTCCAAGCAACCCACCCTGAAAGCAATATTTAGGTTCATCCCTCTCTTAAACCAAACTGGGATTTCAGGGGCCACCTGGAAGGTTGGGGCGCTCTAACACATCCCTTGGGATTGCAGGGGGATGAGATGATTGTGCACAACCTGCCACCCTCAAAAATATGTTTGTGGTGACATTTAAAACTAGCCCGTTTAGGGTGTCCTAAAAGCACGAGGGAAAGAAGGAAAAGCACAGCCACTTTTCATTTGTGATGTAGGCTTTTTGCTCTATCCCTCTCACTGTCTGCAGCTGTTTAGGGAATTGACAAGACGGGATATTTTAGGCACCAGACTTTTCAGACTCAGGGCGAGAAATTATGAATCTCTGGAGAAATCCCTGGGAAAAATAAGAATATTTATGAGGCGGGGAAGCATCGCCCTGGCAACCTTCTGGAGTCTCTCTGTGGCTTGAGGAGCAGATGCAGAGCTGGAGAAAACATGTTTGCAAGAACACAGAGAAGCAGCTGCCCTGTTTTGACATGGGCCAGCATAGGGTGGAAAGGTCAGCTTGGACTTTAAATAGCAATGCACCTTCGTTGGGGTCAGGATCAATATATTCTTTTAGGATGTATGCAAATATATATATCCGCTCTACATAGAGTACCTACATCTGGACACTGTGAACTCATGAAACCCACTCCCTTTACAAGGAGATTCTTATTCTTATTATTTTTTATTTATTGAGTTTACCGGTATATACTGTTGTATACATAGAGGTTTCAGGGGAGTTCACAGAAAAGATCACAACATATATAACCAGAATAAAAACAACAACCCAATAACACCCCCCCCCCCGAAAGGAACCACATTTTAAAAGGGTATAGGATGTCAGTCAGGTCAGCCAAAGGCCTGGTTAAAGAGGAAGGTTTTTGCCCGGTGCCTAAAGGGGTATAATGAAGGCGCCAGGTGAACCTCCCTGGGGAGAGCATTCCACAGACAGGGAGCCACTGCAGAGAAGGCCCCGTTCTTGTGTTGCTGCCCTACGGACCTCTCAAGGAGGCGGCACACGAAGGAGGGCCTCAGAAGATGATCTCAGGGTCTGGGTAGGTTTATATGGGAAGAGGCGGTCCTTGAGGTATTGCAATCCTGAGATCACACTGACATGCTTGGATCTCCACATCCACAAGGCCATCTTCCCCCTTACCAGACACATTCTCCACTAACTGAACCTTCTGGACCATCTGAATTATCACAGAAGCTTTGCCTCCTTGCATATTCTCTGAGGTTTACAAAGAATCATTTACAGTCATCCCCACCAAACAGAACTTTATTTCTGCAATACAATGCAACTTAAGCACAGGCAACTCGCCGTTTGCACGGGGGTTGCCATCTGGGTCATCGCACAGCAGCAGTCGCACAAAAGCCCATTTCAGGGGGCCCGATGCCTCAGATCAAGGCAATGCCCCAAAGTGACCCCATTACCCCCACTTTCTCAGCCAGAATTCCCTCCTCCCGTGGATGCCTCTTCCTTTCCTTACAGTCCTTCATTGGGTCTCTTTGTTGGCGCTCTTTGTTGGCCCTCCACTCCATTGTGCTTGGAGCTGCGCAAGAGAGAGAGCAAATTGTGCGGGGAGGGGGGTGATACGCAACTTTGCAAGTAATTATAATTATAATTATTATTTATTTATACCCTGCCCATCTGGCTGAGTTTCCCCAACCACTCTGGACGGCTCCTAATCAAGTGTTAAAAACAGTACAGCGTTACATATTAAAAACTTCCCTGAACAGGGCTGCCTTAAGATGTCTTCTGAATGTCAGGTAGTTGTTTATCTCTTTGACATCTGATGGGAGGGCATTCCACAGGGTGGGTGCCACTACCGAGAAGGCCCTCTGTCTGGTTCCCTGTAGCCTCACTTCTCACAATGAGGGAACCACCAGAAGGCCCTCGGCGCTGGATCTCAGTGTCCGGGCTGAACGATGGGGGTGGAGATGCTCCTTCAGGTATACAGGACCGAGGCCGTTTGGGGCTTTAAAGGTCAGCACCAACACTTTGAATCATGCTCGGAAACGTACTGGGAGCCAATGCAGCTCTCTCAGAACTGGTGTTATGTGGTCCCAGCAGCCACTCCTAGTCACTAATCTAGCTGCCACATTCTGGATTAATTGCAGTTTCCGGGTCACCTTCAAAGGTAGCACCACACAGAATGTGTTGCAGTAGTCGAAGCGGGAGATAACTAGAGCATGCACCACTCCGGCGAGCCAGTCCGCGGGCAGGTAGGGTTTTAGCCTGTGTACCAGGTGGAGCTGGTAGACAGCTGCCCTGGACACAGTTAACCTGCGCCTCCATGGACAGCTGTGAGTCCAAAATGACTCCCAGTTACCCCATTCAAGACCAGGGAATCCCCCACACCCACCCACTCCCTGTCCCCCCTAAACAGTACTTCTGTCTTGTCAGGATTCAACCTCAATCTGTTAGCCGCCATCCATCCATCCTCCACCCACCCTCCAGGCACTCATACAAGACCTTCACCGCCTTCACTGGTTCTGATTTAAAGGAGAGGTAGAGCTGGGTGTCATCTGCATACTAATGAACACCCAGTCCAAATACCCTGATGATCTCTCCCAGCGGCTTCATATAGATATTAAAAAGCATGGGGGAGAGGACGGAACCCTGAGGCACCCCACAAGTGAGAGCCCAGGGGTCTGAACACTTACCCCCCCCCCCGCCACTTTCTGGACACGGCCCAGGAGAAAGGAGCGGAACCACCGTATAACAGTGCCCCCAGCCCCTCTAGATGGTCCAGAAGGATGTTATGGTTGATGGTGTCAAAGGCCACTGAGAGATCCAGCAGAACTAGGAAATAGCTCTCACCTTTGTCCCTAGCCCGCCGGAGATCATCAACCAGCACAACCAAGGCAGTTTCAGCCCCATGGTGAGGCCTGAATCCCGACTGGAAGGGATCCAAATGGTCCACATCCTCCAGGTGTGCTGGGAGTTGTTCGGCAACCACCCACTCAATCACCTTGCCCAAGAATGGTAGATTTGAGACTGGGCAATAGTTGGCTAAATTGGCCGGGTGTTTTTTTTAAGAAGCGGTTTAATGACTGCCTCTTTCATCGGGTCTGGGGAGGCTCCCTCACAGAGGGAAGCATTCACCACCCCGCAGAGCCCATCGCCCAGCCTTTCCCGGCTCACTTTTATCAGCCAGGATGGGGAAGGATCAAGGAGACAGGTGGTCGGTTTCACTTGTCCAAGCAGCCTATCCACATCCTTGGAGGTAACAGATTGGAACTGATCCCATGTAACAGGACTAGACAGAACTCTAGTACTCTCCCGCCCTGGCCCTGCTCCCACGGTGGAGCGGCCCCTTGTAAGGTCGTGTCGGCATGGATGTTAAAATCCCCCAGACAACCAAGCTAGGTGTCTCCAGGAGCATATCCACCACAACCTGAAGCAGCTCAGGCAGGGAATCCTTGGTGCAGCGGGGAGGTCGGTACACCAAAAGGAATCCTGTACTGCCTGTATTGCCCAACTTCCAGAACATGCACTCAGAAAACTGGGTCTTCCCAATAGGACGCCTGGTGCAGACTAATGACTTCCTGCAACCCCCCCTCCCCGCCCACATGACCTGGGTTGCTGTGCGTAAGAGAAACCTGGTGGGCAAGCAGCGGCAAGGACAGGCCCATCTGCTTCATCCAAGCCTCCCCATCTGGCCCTCAGAGCTGTCTGTAGGTCACACACCCCTCCTTAGCCAATCCTGCCACCGGCCCTGTTTTGAACCCTTCCTGAATGCTTCCCCTCGGCTGAAATGTGTCCTGATGCTCTGAAAATGCTCCCTGCTTGCCTTGCTGGATAGAGGATAACACTTGAGGAAGAGCTAGGCTACTTTGCATAGGTAAGATGTGCAATTACTGTTCCGCCCACTTTTGCATCTGACACTGACATGTGGCCCCCTGAAGGTTATGCAGAAGAGAATGTGGGCCCCTGGTCTCAAAACACTTGCCAACCCTAAACTTATTGAAATCCAGAGTTGGAAGGGGCCATGAGGAATCTTGCAGGGGGCCAAACCCACAACCCTGAAATTAAGAGCCCCATGCTTTGCCAAAACTAGGGTTGCCGTTTTTCAAAATGAACACCCGGACACAACAGTTGCTGGGGGACTGGCAAAGTTGTTGAGCTATTTTTACAGGGGTGGGGTTGACGTTTTTGAGCTTTTTAAGGAAATTCACCAAAAAAATCAGCACTTCCGACATGGGTTGCCATGAACGGGAAATCATGGGTGTATGGCACCCCCTAGAAGTAGTTTAATGAACTCACAATTGTTCTGAGATGATTCCATGGTGTTTGTTCAAACACAAACACATTCACATATATCATAAAATAATATATTGGTCCCCAATTTTATGAAAGTGCTTTGTCCGTTAATTGCCACGTCAACACCAGGGAGACACTTCTGTGAGATCCCATAAACATGTTTTTCTTCTGCTCTGCACCTGCGCCACAAGCGCCACTGGAATGTTGCCAAGGTGATGCTTCTTTCCCTTATAATTATTCTTAATTCTTACCAAAGCTCCAGGGATTCAGCCATTGATTGCCTGTGAAAGCAATCAACTAAGCATTAGGCATAATGGCAAGGTGAGCTAATTTCTTGCACTGTTATCTGAAAAGTTTTGTGCATAAAATATCCCCAGGGGTACGGAGAGCCTGTCTTGTCCATTCCCTGGTGCCCTGATTGAGCATGATGTTGTTTGAGCATCTGAGATTCACCCTCTGAAGGGTCTATTACGACATACACCTTTTCATCTGCTTTCAGAAGTGCTGTTAACTCTGAGCAGCTTTGCTTTTAACACCAACTTAGCACCTGGGCTCCAGCCTTGTAACATTTTCATGCAGCTTTTCAGCTTCTCCTTGGATGAACAATTTTCTCTGTTTTCAGCATCAACTGTTGTGATTCCATCCCCAGATCTTGCTCCCCTTTCTTTAATGGACACTTATCAATCCCCTTTCTGAAACCCCCCCCCAAACCTTAAATATATTGTTACACAAGCAATATTTTCATTCTGGTTTTAAATGTCTGTCCCGGCTCCTCCTACAGGCCCAACTTCCAGGCATTATGACACTGTAGTCATGGCTTCCTCGGAGAGCCAGTGTGGTGTAGTGGTTAAGAGCGGTGGACTCGTAATCTGGTGAACGGGGCTCGCGTCTCCGCTCCTCCACATGCAGCTGCTGGGTGACCTTGGGCCAGTCACACTTCTCTGAAGTCTCTCAGCCCCACTCACATCACAGAGTGTTTGTTATGGGGTAGGAAGGGAAAGGAGAATGTTAGCCACTTTGAGACTCCTTTGGGTAGTGATAAAGCGGGATATCAAATCCAAATTCATACAATATTTGTTCCAAAATGACTTAAACAGTTTCAGCTGGTGAGAAAAATAAAGTATACTTTTGTGATTTTTTTTTTAAATTAAGTTTTCCAAAAGTTCACACACACATTTCAATACATAATAAAATATTCCCCCCGACTTCCCACCCTCTTTTCCATAGTGCTTGTTTCTCTCCTTGTGCTGTATCCTCTCTTCTATCTCTTAAACCTTAACAAAACTACTATAATCTTCAATCCCTTCTGTTGCTTGTGGTTCAAATCCTGCTCACATGTTCACCATATAACATTTCCTTAAATAATCCGAAAACGGTTTCCATTCTTCCACAAAACCTTTGTCAGTAGAAAAGTAAAGTATACACCATATATCACAAACAAAAAATTGACCAGTACCCTCCCTCCTTTCCACAGGAAGTCCTGACCCTTCTTAGGGTCACTCTCCTCTAGGCTTGGCCCAGTCTGGAGGTAGCATTATTATCAATTTACGATGGGGTGGAAGGTTCGCAGGCTAGGAAGGACTTGCTCACAAATTTATTGACAGCTGCACAAATTATGATAGCTAGGAAGTGGAAGGGCAAGCAGGATATAAAATGGAAGAATGGTATAAAGGTGTGGGATATAGCAATTAATGATAAATTAACATGTGCCATTAAGATAAGACTGGGAATACGCAAGAGGAATAATTTTGAGAAGATATGGAGGGTGTGTGTAACCACCACACCCAAGTTGCTGGGCATTGCCATTCAAATGGTGTGCATGCATGTGGTCTGTTATGCGTGTCAGGGCTGGCTTGCCCCTGGCCCCCCCTGCTTTCCCCTCTCTCTGCACCTCCCTCCCCGGTTTTACTTTTTGCTATCTGTCCTGAATGTTTGAGCTGAGGGAGTCAGACCCGTGGGGATCCCTTCCAACTCTTACAATTCTAGGATTCTATGCTTTGCGTGAACCCCATGACCATCACTTTAGCACCGAGCCATGGTGCACAGGCAGGTCTGCAAGAAGTGATGCAAACCACCCCTATAAATAAAAATTCCACCTCTCATTTTTTTTCCATACAGACCCTCCTCCCATTGCACCCACCTGATCGTGAAGGGAGACAGCCCCGCTCCTTTGCATCAATGCACACACCGCAATATGAATTTTTAAAGAAAGACTGTGTGTGTGGCGGGGCAGCAGAAAGGGGGAGAGAAGTGTCTCTTTCCAGGCTTCTCTAGGCATCTGGCCTCCCTTTCTTTAAACCTTGAGAGGGACTTATGCCCAAAACCAATGCCCCAAAACAGTCTCCCTCCAGAGGTGGCAGACTCTCCTTCCTTGGAGTATTTTAAGCAGAGGTTGGATGGCCATCTGTCAGGGATGCTTTAGCTGAGATTCCTGCATTGCAAGGGGAGGGGCTGGACTGGATGACCCTCAGGGGTCCGTCCTGATTCTATGTGCAGAGAGGGAAAAGACGGGTGTGCTGGTGTTAATTGCGTTTATTCCGTTTTCTGTGCTGTGTTTTTCTTCCTTTCCTTCAAATTTTTCATCTGAAGAAAATTATTAATAAACCAAGTTACAACGAAAGATCAAGAGACTAAAGAAATATGATTACAACAGGCTGAAAACAGCATAGAGTTGGTACCGGTCATATCATGACCTAACCTGGGGAGAAAACAGCAAAGACCTGATGAAGAAAGCACAGCAGAGGTTATATTTTCTGAGAATCCTCTGGAAAAATAATCTCTCAAAGGACCTGTTGATGGTATTTTACCATTGTACTGTTGAGAGTGTTATTAACTTATGGTCTGTATGTGTGGTTTGGGAGCTGCGCGGTCAGGGAAAAACAATGCTGTCCAGGATTGTAAAGACTGCGGAGAGAATAAATGGGTGCACTCTTCCCACCTTGGATCAAATCTATGCTTCCAGGTGCCATAAGAAAGCTGCAGAGATAGTGCAGGATAGTGCACAACCCAGAAATGATCTCTTTCAGTGTCTGCCTTCTGGAAGAAGGTACAGGGTTATAAAGACTAGGACTAGCCGTCTGAGAAACAGTTTCTATTCAAATTAGATTTTGGTTTTAAACGCAGTGTAAGGGACATGGGCGGCGCTGTGGGTTAAACCAGAGAGCCTAGGACTTGCCGATCAGAAGGTTGGCGGTTCGAATCCCCGCAACGGGGTGAACTCCTGTTGCTTGGTCCCTGCTCCTGCCAACCTAGAAGTTCAAAAGCACATCAAAGTGCAAGTAAATAGGTACTGCTCCGGCAGGAAGGTAAACGGCGTTTCCGTGCGCTGCTCTGGTTTGCCAGAAGCGGCTTAGTCATGCTGGCCACATGACCCAGAAGCTGTACGCCGGCTCCCTTGGCCAATAAAGCGAGATGAGTGCCGCAACCCCAGAGTCGGCCACAACTGGACCTAATGGTCAGGTGTCCATTTACCTTTTTAAGGTACAGCGGTACCTCGGGTTAAGTACTTAATTCGTTCTGGAGGTCTGTTCTTAACCTGAAGAACCACTTTAGCTAATGGGGCCTCCTGCTGCTGCTGTGCTGCCAGAGCATGATTTCTGTTCTCATCCTTAAGCAAAGTTCTTAACCTGAGGTACTATTTCTGGGTTAGCGGAGTCTGTAACCTGAAGCATATGTAACCTGAGGTACCACTGTAGTCTCTATGGGAGTATATTGTATTTAATTATGGGGTATCAGAATTTTTAGGGGGCTAACCAGGCTGGGATAGCAGCCTTGTTGGTTTCTGAATGTCTGATGTCCCCCCCCCCCCAATTTCGTTGTTCTGTATGGGACAATAAAGATTATTGTTATCAGCCGGAAAATCTCGAAATGTAAAGAGAAAGATTTTTTTTATCATATGTGGTGGTCTTGTAGTAAGCTTAAGGTTTACTGGGAAATTATATATAATGACGTCATCGGGCACCCCAGGCCCAAAGGCCATTACTCGGGTTCAAACGCTCTCCGCCACGAAGCTCGCCCGGCCCTAACCCACCTCACAGGGTTGTCGCCAGGACGAGATGGGGATCCCACTATGTTATGGGCCGTTCTGAGCTCCTCGGAGGAAGAGCCGGATGAAAATAAACTGATTTACAACGTACTGTTTCCCCGGCTCGCTTTCTTCTGAAGGAAAGGGGCAGCCCCGTTACCTCAGCGTCGCTCCCCCACCCTCAAGACGAACTTACTCGGCTCCGTCCTTCCCACTCCGGCGTTTAGCCGCCGCCTCTTTGCCATCTGCTTCTTCGGCTTAACAAACCCCTCACGACTACCGCCGCCCGCCAAACGGTCCCCTCAGCTTTGAACCAGCCAATCAGCTGCCGCCTTCTCGTGCGCCAAAGCCAATCACCGCCCTAGCGGTGCCGCGCGCCGCGTTGGCGGCTGCGCAGAGCGCGAACAGCGATAGTCAACAGAAGCCCCCTGGCACTCCGCGTCTCCTGTTCCGATCGCGCATGCGTCAGTTGTGCGCGATTAGCTGCAGCAGGAGAGGCGAGGTTTCCGTGTGACGGAAGCGGTCAAAGAACAACAACTTCCGGGTCTGAACGAAGCTTACATCCGGGTTTTGCCCTTTCTTTGAATTCCCGTCTGTTCCAGGCGGGCTGGGAGTTTTGCAGAGTTGTGAATTGACGGGAAACAGCAGGCGCTGTTAGACGCTGTTAGACTTCAGATTTTGCTCATGAGCTCTCCTTAATTTGCGATGCACCCAGATCTGTCTCGTCATCTGCACAGCGAAGAATGCAACCTTATTATCGGTCTGCTCAAGGAGCAATGATAATAATAATAATAATAATTTATTACTGTATTTATACCCCTCCCATCTGGCTGGGTTTCCCCAGCCACTCTGGGCAGCTTCCAACCGAATATTAAAAACAACACAGCGTCAGACATTAAAAACTTCCCTAAAAGCTTTCAGTTGTCTTTGAAAAGTAAAATAGTTGTTTATTGCCTTGACATTTATTGCCACAAAGAGCACTCCATCATGAGATATTTTGGTCGTTGCAATGATTTTGACAGAGAAATGAGGCGCTGGCAATGCTTAAAGAAAGAGTATCAAGAAAACAGAGCCAGGAACCAAGCACACGCAGAACAGATAAGACGAAAAATGAGAGCTTTAGAACCATAGATAGAGCTGAGGACTGGGCAACATATGGATGGCCAGAGGAATATGTTGTCTCATGTCTTCTGGGTACCTAAATAAAGAAAACTTTAAATCCAAAACATTTGCAATAAAAATGGCAGTGATGTTGGCAAAAAAAGAAAGGAAAGGAAATGATATACAGTGGTACCTTGGGATGCGAACGGGATGCGTTCCGGAGCCCCATTCACATCCAGAAGCAAACATAACTAGCGACAGCAGGTTTGCGCACACGCAAATCGTTTTTCGCTGTTTCTGCGCATGACGTCATTTTGAGCATCTGCACATGCACAAGCGGCAAAACCCAGAAGTAACACACTCCATTACTTCCGAGTTGCCGCGGAGCGCAACTCGAACACGCTCAACTTGAAGCATATTCAACCCGAGGTATGACTGCATAATGAAATGAAAAGGATGTTTAAAATAACGGTAAAAAACCCCCACCAAAAACCCCCACAAAAACCAAAAACCTTTATTCTGGAAATTATAGGAATAGAACTACCTAAAGTGTAATTTATTAACGTATGTGACTACTGCGGCAAGAATGTTACTAGCCCAAAAATGGAAAGAAAAAGAAGTCCCAGCAAAGGAGGCATGGATACAAAAACTTATGGAATATGCAGAAATGACGAAACTTACCAGAAGAATAAGAAATCAAGATAACAACCTTTTTATAAAAGAATGGAAATGGTTTATTGAATATTTACAGATAAATTGTAAACAGATAAAAACATTAGCATGACTGTTGTTATAACCTGCAGTTTCATAAGAGTATATATTTAAAGCAGACAATTAAATGAGCAAATTAAATGAATTTGGATAGGCAGAAGATATCATAAATGAATTTAAGGGACTGCAGAAAGAGGGGGAAGGAAGTCAAGTTTTAAAATGTCAAAATGAATGTAAAATCAGTGAAATGTATATATCTGAAAAGTATAAATAAAATTGATGATGATGATGAAAATAATATCATCCCACTCTTGCATTTCCAAATCAAGGAATTTGGAAACCTTCCGGGGAAGAGGTCATCTCAGGGTTAAAACAATAGATTCCAGGTGGTATGAGAGAGAGAGAGACACACAACACCCTCTTCCCAAAAGTGCATGTTCGAGTTCAGCACTAACACCCACCCCACAAACACACACACCTTTTCTGGAGGAGGAGGAAGCCTATGAAAGGCAGGCGATACAAGGGTTTGCCACCAGAGGGCCAAGTGGCCTCCGTGGCTGGGAATATGCCTTTGGCCAGCTTTACATAGCAGGGCTGAGGGGGTGAAGAAAGCTTTTAGGTGGGGTGGGAGTTATGTGCTTTAAATGTGCGTCAGATGCACTTCGATGCATAGTGTGGGTCTGCAACAGAGCCAGCAACAATTTGCTTAGCTTGAAAGAGAGTAAAAGAGTAAAAATATCTTTGCTGCGCTCTTTTTGGCACCTCCTAAAAAGGTGCTTGCAAGTCTATACAAGCGTGTTTCATTTTTTAGCTACGACCCATTTCAATCACCTCTTGAATATTTTGAATGTCTGGTTGTAACTATTTTTTTATCCATAATTCTAATGCTTCCTTTTATATTTTTGTAGAGCACTTGCGATCAAAACTCCCAATTTTTAAAGGGGAACAGGTCAAATTGGTAATGAAACACTGGGCAACAGATTTGGGACATAACATCCAGGTGGCAGATTGGGAAAGGTTATGGAAAACAGACCTGAAATTCACGTCCTGTTGTACTTTGAAATAGAATTATATGAAAATGATGTACCAGTGGTATTTGACGCCTACTAAGCTGGTGGGTGGCGCTGTGGGTTAAACCACAGAGCATAGGGCTTGCCGATCAGAAGGTCGGCGGTTTGAATCCCCGCGACGTGGTGAGCTCCCATTGCTTGGTCCCTGCTCCTGCCAACCTAGCAGTTCGAAAGCACGTCAAAGTGCAAGTAGATAAATAGGTACCGCTCTGGCGGGAAGGTAAACGGCGTTTCCATGCGCTGCTCTGGTTCGCCAGAAGCAGCTTAGTCATGCTGGCCACATGACCCAGAAGCTGTACGCCGGCTCCCTCGGCCAGTAAAGCAAGATGAGCGCCGCAACCCCAGAGTCAGGGTTCCCTTTACCTTTAAGCTGGCAAAAATGTACAAGACAAGTACAAATACCTGCTGGAAATGTAAAGAAAAAAAGGTACCTTTTATCATATGTGGTGGACCTGCAAGGTGGTAAAAGCTTTCTGGGAGATGATATACAATGAAATGGAAAAAAATGTTTAAAATAACTTTCGTTAAAAAACCAGAAGCGTTTTATTAGGAATTACAGGTACCGACATCCCAAAGGACCAGAAAAAGACTTTTTATGTATGCGACTACAACCGCCCTGATACTACTAGCCCAGAGATGAAAAGACAACAAAGTTCTTACTAAAGAAGAATGGCAAACCAAGCTGTGCAAAAATGGCAAAGTTGACTGGAAAACTCAGGAATCAAGAAGACAGAAACTTTACAAAATAATGGGAAAAAATTATAAGTTATTTAAGAAACCATTGTTAAGCAGATGGAAATACAGTAGTACCTCGGGTTAAGTACTTAATTGTTCCGGAGGTCCATTCTTAAGCTGAAACTGTCCTTAACCTGAAGCACCACTTTAGCTAATGGGGCCTCCTCCTGTTGCTGCGCCGCCGGAGCACGATTTCTGTTCTCATCCTGAAGCAAAGTTCTTAACCCGAGACACTATTTCTGGGTTAGCAGAGTCTGTAACCTGAAGCATCTGTAACCCGAAGCGTATGTAACCCGGGTACCACTGTATTGGCAGGATTTTCACTAGCACTATAAAAATCACCATGGAAAATATGGATTGATATAATAGTTTTGGAAGACAATGCAGTTTTAAATGCTTAAAATGGGACTCCATGGAGGGGGTGGGGAGTCCTGAGAGTCAGAGGAATCTCTGCATATAGGTATGTATTTGAATTTTTAAATAATTTTGTATTGTAAAATCAAATAAAAATGATTTCAATTATTTTAATAAAAAACCTCCCAATTTTATTTGTATCTTGATAAATTTTAGACCAACTTGTACAGTAATTAACATTTGATTTTAATGGTATTCTCAAATTACCAATATTTTAAATTGATTAACACTGGCTTGGCCATGTCCACAGAATGGAAGATGGCAGGACCCCCAAGATCGTGCTCTACGGGGGAGCTGGCTTCAGGCACCAGGCCCGGTGGCAGACCAACTCTGCATTAACCAAAATGTCTGCAAATTGTGACATGAAGGCAGGCAAAATCAGCCCCGCTACGTTGGAATCCTTTGCAGGCAACTGCGGTGCCTGGAGACAGGCAGTCAAGTTGTGCATCCGTAACAGAGAGAAGAAATGCCATGGCGCATCTGCAGCAGCACAACCGGACGCCTTCCTCTGCCCCAGCTGCAACAAAACATGTCTCTCCCATGTTGGTCTCCATAGCCACTGCAGCCGCTGCAACCTTCCAACAGCTTGACCTCAACCCCAACGGTGCACTCCTCCATTGTCTCCCAAAACAGATGGATGACAACCAACCTTTTTAAAACTAATATTTTATATTGATTTATGTAAATGGCTTAGCAGTCTCTGGCGATTAAGCGGTATATAAAGCTGGTTTTAATAAAATAATAATAAATACCTGAAGGAGCGTCTCCACCCCCATCGTCCAACCCGGACACTGAGGTCCAGCGCCGAGGGCCTTCTAGCGGTTCCCTCACTGCAAGAAGCAAAGTTACAGGGAACCAGGCAGAGGGCCTTCTCGGTGGTGGCGCCCGCCCTGTGGAATGCCCTCTCATCAGATGTCAAAGAAATAAACAACTATATGACATTTAGAAGACATCTAAAGGCAGCCCTGTTTAGGGAAGTTTTTAATGACTGATGTTTTAATGTATTTTATCTTTTGCTGGAAGCAGCCCAGAGTGGCTGGGGAAACCCAGTCAGATGGGCAGGGTAGAAATAACAAATTATTATTATTATTATTATTATTATTATTATTATTATTATCATCATCATTACCTCTCCTTTTTTTCTGGCCCAAATCCAACACATAATTAGGGCTCCACTAACTTGGGGGTGCAAAGCAGAGCCGGCAAGGGGTGTGAAATTAAGAGAGCCCTAGGGGCCAGATAGAGACACCCAGTGCAGCGGTTCTCAACCTGTGGGTCCCCAGATGTTGTTGGACTACAACTCCCATCATCCCTAGCTAGCAAGGTCAGAGCTCAGGGATGATGGGAGTTGTAGTCCAACAACATCTGGGGACCCACAGGTTGAGAACCACTGACCCAGTGGATCGCATTCAGCCCCCAGGCTTGTGATTCCCCACCCCTGACAGATGTACTTAGTGAGCCTCACTCTGTTGTAGGTTGCAGGCAGAAAGTCCATCCCTTTGCTAGTTGATGTCTGTAGCGTATTCCAGTATTGGCTTTGCTGCTATGCAAGAGGAAGCAGGCGTTAAATTGGGGGCTTCCAGGACAGCATTCACACTGCCGTGAGCCCCTTCTTCGTCTCTACTCACCCTTAGCCAGCAACACCAGGATCTGGGAACTGGAACCTCAACGTACACTGGTACCTCAGGTTAAGAACTTAACTCGTTCTGGAGGTCCGTTCTCAACCTGAAACTGTTCTTAACCTGAAGCACCACTTTAGCTAATGGGGCCTCCTGCTGCCGCCGTGCGATTTCTGTTCTCATCCTGAAGCAAAGTTCTTAACCCGAGGTACTATTTCTGTAACCTGAAGCGTCTGTAACCCGAGGTACCACTGTATCTACACTGGGATAATTCTAGCATCATTTAAGTCCACCATTCCTGTTACAAAAAGCACGGCAACTCTCAGTTAGCGAAATGTGTCTTAATATGCATCGCTCCAAGAAGGAACTACAGTTCAATGGACAGGAGTTGTTTTTGCGTCAAATGTGTATATTTTAATAGGAAAAATAGGCACAAAGGAAGCAGGCTGACTAGTCAGCTTTCGCAAGTGATGACAGGACTCAGTAAGGCACATGAGAGATTTACACATCGGAAGCCGAAGAACAGGGCGCCAACTCTTTGCTCGTGAAGGGAGCCTAGTCCATCAGCCTCAGGTATGATCTGCGTTAAAAGTTTGTTTCCTCACAGAGTATGCATACTGTACATTATACGTTCTGCTCTAGCTGAAGCTCTTTCTACACTCCCAAACATTTATTGGGGCAGGGGGGAAAGTGTGTTTGTGTGTGTGTCTCTCATGCAAATTATTCTGACACTTATTTTAGCAATACTGTTCTTGTTTAATCACGGGAGTTATCGGCTGGTTTTCCTGTGCCAGTTCTCTGATGGGACATAAAATCGACACCCCGTCTGATGCCATTTCGACGCTCCAAGAGATGACGGGCCTTTCTTCTCCCCTGTGAATCCTCTGGTGTCGGTTCAGTTCTGCTTTTCTGAAAAAGCACTTTCCACAATCTAAGCACTGGTAGGGTCTCTCCCCGGTGTGGACTCTCTGGTGAGAGGTGAGGGTCGCCCTCTGCCTGAAGTTCTGCCCACACTCCATACATTTATACGGCTTCTCTCCTGTGTGGATTCTTTGGTGTCTGATAAGGTTCTGCTTGTCGCAAAAGCTCTTCCCGCAGTCCGAGCAGTTGTAAGGTTTCTCTCCCGTGTGGATCCTCTGGTGGGAGGTAAGGTTCACCTTGTGGCTGAAGTTCTTCCCGCACTCCAAGCACTTATACGGCTTCTCCCCGGTGTGGGTTCTTTTGTGGCTGTTGAGGTGAGACCTGTCGTAAAATCTCTTGCCGCACTCGGAGCAGCTGTAGGGCTTGTCTCCCGTGTGGATTCTCTGATGCAACCTAAGGAGAGTGCTCTGGCTGAAGTTCTTTCCACACTCCATGCATTTGTACGGCTTCTCTTCCGCGTGAACTTTCCAGTGGCCGTTAACGTCTGATTTGTGACCGGCGTTCTTCACAAGCGCCGGGCAGGCATTCCTTCTTGTTCCTCTTGACTTTTCTGGCTGAACCACGATTTCACGAACGTTTTCGCCCTGGGAGGCGGCTGGTTCATCCAGCCACTTCTCCATCTGGTTTTCCTCCTGTTCTGTCGGTCCCTCGGGATTTCTGAAGTCCTCTTCCATTTCTTGAAGCTTGCTTCTCTCACAGGGTCTGCTGTTGTTGTTGTTCTTACTGGGCCATCCGCCACCTGTTGGAACAGAAAGAGAGTCAAGAAAACAGGCGAGACGGAACTTTTGAGTCCAACCCAGTGGTGTGGCAAATTAATACATGTGTAGTTCTACTTCCTTGGCCCTGCCAAAGACTTCGGAAGAACCGCTAGGTTGGAATAAAGATGAGGAAGACTGGACAGCAATGTGGACAAAATCCCCATTCAAACTGGTTTCTGCTTCCATAAGGGAAATGGCAATCAAAATCTTACAAGTGTTTTCCTGCTGGAATGCTTTGAAATGCAACTGTTACAGTGATGGCCACTAACTTGGTTGGCTTGAAAGGAGAATTAGACAAATTTATTGAGAGTAGGGCTACTGACGACTACTAGCCTCAAGGGCTATGTTGTAAACCTTCCTGTGGTCTCTCTTTTTTTTGGACAAAGTAATAATCCTAAATAAATAAGAATAAAAATGTGCACCCCACCACTGAGACCATTCCATCCAACCTCCCAAAATTTCAACACCTCTTGCAGTGGTTTGACCCCTTTCCATTTTAACAGTACAAATTCAACACACACCCTCCATATCTCCTCAAAATTATTTCTCCTGCATATTCCCTGTCTTATTCCCCTCTTTATACCATTCTTCCATTTTATATTCCGCTTGCCCCTTCCACTTCCTAGCTATCATAATTCGTGCAGCTGTCAATAAACTTGTGAGCAAGGCCTTGATAGCCTGTGTAACTGCCATCCCATCGTAAATTGATAATAATGCTACCTCTGGTCTTTCGGTCAGCTTTAACCCAGTGATTTCTGTTATCTCCTTAAACACCCTTTGCCTTAAAGAATTGCTCATATTTACACCCCACCACATGTGAACATAATTCGCTGTTTCCTGGCATCCCCTCCAACATAACTCTGAATATTCCTTGTTTATTTGATTTGATCTAACTGGTGTTAAATACCATCTCCAAATTGGTCTCTTGATGAAGGACTGCATATAATTTAATAATTTGTGGCAATAATAATAATAATAATAATAATAATAATAATAATAATAAATATTAGCCTGAGTAGCACTATGTAGAAACAAAAGAGGAATGTAAATGGGTAAAATTGATGGTAATTGCAGCCAGACAGGTTATAGTGAGTAACTGGGAAAATGCAGAAGAGCTAGGGGTGAACCAATGGAGAGAAAAATTGAAAAATATTATAATCTTAGAATATCTAACTGTGAAGATACATAAAATGAAAGGGTTTAAGGTCAGTGAGAAGGAGGAGGATTGGTTTGAGAAGCTATTGAATTATCTGGGTAGGTTTGAACAATTTGACAGGCCAGAATATAATGGAGCAGGTCCACAGAGGCTCAATAGCAGCCTCTCGCCACTCTCCGGCAAGGCCACAGAGCTCCCCGGTGAAATCTTCACTTGCAATAGAGAGCAAGAGTCATTTCTGTTGGGGATAACTCAGACAGAAATCCCCAGGTGTCAAAACAGACTATTTATGTATGCCACGACCGTGGCCCATGTTTCGTTGGCCCCAAAATGGAAAATGAGCCACGTCCTAACTAAAGAAGAATGGCAAATTGATGGAATATGCGCAGCTTGCAGATTTAACATATAGAATAGGAGAACAAGAAGAACATAGGTTTAAAGAAGATTGGAAAATGTTTATTGGATATATGGGGGAAATTGTGTACACTTCAAAATGCTGGCAGCATTAAGATAAATCCAACAGTGTAGACAACTTTGATGGAAGTAATAATGGAATACTGAATGGTTTAGCTTATGTAAAATATGCAAGGATTTATGGTATGTAAATTGAACCACAGAAAGAGAAAGGAAGTCATTGATTTGAGGTTGTTTAAATGAATATTCTAAAATGTAAAATAGAAAAACTTTATAAAAATTATATATACAGATATATATATATATAAGAGAAATGAGAGCTGGACCATAAAGAAGGCTGATCACCAAAGAATTGATGCTTTTGAATTATGGTGCTGGAGGAGACACTTGAGAGTCCCATGGACTGCAAGAAGATCAAACCTCTCCATTCTTAAGGAAATCAGCCCTGAGTGCTCACTGGAAGGACAGATCGTGAAGCTGAGGCTCCAATACTTTGGCCACCTCATGAGAAGAGAAGACTCCATGGAAAAGACCCTGATGTTGGGAAAGATGGAGGGCACAAGGAGAAGGGGACGACAGAGGACAAGATGGTTGGACAGTGTTCTCGAAGCTACCAGCATGGAGTTTGACCAAACTGCGGGAGGCAGTGGAAGACAGAAGTGCCTGGCGTGCTCTGGTCCATGGGGTCACCTCATGAGAAGGACACAACTAAACAACTAAACAACAAATATATAAGAGAAGAAACTCATATTAACAACTCAGAGCAAAAACTTACCTAGCGAGGCTAGATTCCCAAAGTCCTCCACCAAGACTTCCCTGGGCAAGGCGTTTTGGCCTGGGTCCAGCAGTGCCCATTCTTCCTCCTCTTCCTTGGTGAAAGGCACAGGAACCTCTTCAAAGGACACAGGAACCTTGCAGAGGAAGAAAAATTCTCTATTAACATGAGAGCCCAAGAAGAGCGTGAAAATTTTTACTCCTCTACTCCTCCAGTGCATTGCCCACAGTGATTGGAAACACAGTGGGCCCACTGGTTACAAATTTAATTCGTTTCGTGGGTCCGTGCGCATCCTGAAAAATCCATAACCAGAGGCGCCGCTTCTGAGCGCACGCACGGAGCAACTGATCGCTTCTGCACATGCGGCAAAACCCGAAAGAATACACTTCCGGGTTTGCCGCTTTTGCAACTCGAAGATTACGTATCCATAGCGGTACATAACCCAAGGGTCCACTATACCATACTTTTCCATATACAGTGGATGCTCAAGTTGCGAATGTGATCAGTGTGGGAGGCACATTCACAACCCGCAGCATTTGCAACCTGCAGCGCCGCATCTGAGCATGTGCGGCACGCCACTCAGTGCTTCTGCGCATGCGCAAAGCGCGGTTTAGTGCTTCTGCACATGCGCCGAGACCCGGAAGTAACCCGTTCCAGTACTTCTGGGTTTCGGCACATCCGTAACCTGAAAACACGCAACCTGATGCATCTGTAACCCAAGGTATGACTGTATAAGACTAGGTCTTTTTTTTTTTTTTTTAAAGCATCTGAAAAATTGGGGGGCATCGAGTCGGTGGAAGAAGATTGGAAGAAATTCAAAGACTATCTACAGAAATATTGTAAAATTAATGAATGTTGAAATGATGTTGGATAGAAATTAAGTGGTTTCCAGCTGTAATGCTTTAAGGGAATATGAAAAATGGGTTGTTAATAGGTAAAAATCTAACATTACTATTTTAAGACCAAAGATTAGGATAAATAAAGAGGGTAAGGATTTGCTGAACCTGGAATACTGGAATACAAAAAAGGGAGGTATGAGGAGGTCCGGGAAATAAGCTAAGGAAAAATAAGTAATGGAAAAATTGAGTGGTTTTTAATCATTTTTATTTTGTATTTTTTCTCTTTTTTTCTTTTTTTCTTCTTTTTCATTTTTATATTGTAACATTTGGAAAATCTCAATAAATATGTTATAAAAAAAAAAATGAAAAATTGGGGGGGCATCTTATACACAGATAGTGCAAAGCGGGGACGTGGGACTGACTGCTGCCGCGAGCCAGAGATTGTCAGCGGCTATAGGGCGTGTTATTGTTGGCTGCGGTAAGGGCTTGTGTTGATTTGCTGCAGTGCTGGCGACTGGCTGCTTCTGCCGGAGTGGCGATAGGTGTATTTATTGATGCAGCGTTGAGGGTTTTTCCCATATTAAAAAGCTCGTCAACTCTGGGCAACCTTCTCCCCAAAAAAGCTCGACAACTCTGAATTTGGAGTCCCCCAAAATAGGGGGCGTCTTATATACAGGTGTGTGTAATACACGGAAAAATATGGTAGCTCTGCCATTGCAGAGGGTTTGAATTGCCTTGAATTTTATTGCCCATTTATTTTATCGTGTTACTATCTTCCCTGGCGGGCTGTGCAAACCACTACACTAAATAATGCTTTTTATAGGGCGGGGGCGCACTGGGCGTGCGATTATAGAAATAAAATGTGTATAGTGGCGACAAGTTTGGGAACCACCAATAAAAATAGTTGAAATGAAAATAAAACAATTTTATAGGGAGGGAAGGGAGGGAGAGGGAGGTGTTGGTGAGTGAAGAGATTAGCGGGAGTGGGAATGTTTCGTTTTTAATGTTTGATGTTTTATCGTGTTTTAAACATTCCGTTGGGAGCTGCCCAGAGTGGCTTGGGAAACCCAGCCAGATGTGCGGGGTATAAATAATAAATTATGATGGTGATGACGATGATGTCTGGCAATGCTGGATTAAACCCTTTGAAGGCCCCTAGGCAGTAAAAATCTTGCTCCCCCCCCAAAAAATGATGTAGGTTTCTGAGTCAAGGGAGTCGTGGGACCCATAGCCCGGTGCCAACTCTGCCTATTTGGTAATCCGGCCCTGGGCATTAGTGAGGTTTGTGCATAATAATAATAATAATAATAATTTATTTATATCGTGCCCTCCCCAGCCGAAGCCGGGCTCAGAGCGGCTAACAACAGTAAAAATAACACAGTTTACATAAAATCACAATCAATTAATTGAAATACATTCTAAAATCAGTTCATTCTAAAATCAATTCAGAATCAAATTAATGGCAACCATTGGGCTAGAGTGCTATGAGGATTACAAAAGGAGGGGGTCAGGCTGCGCCTTGGCCAAAGGCCTGGTGGAACAGCTCTGTCTTGCAGGCCCTGCAGAAAGATGTCAAGTCCCACAAGGCCCTAGTCTCTTGTGACAGAGCATTCCACCAGATCGGGGCCACGGCCGAAAAGGCCCTGGCTCTGGTCGAGGCCAGCCTAACCTCCCTGTGGCCCGGGATCTCCAAGATGTTTTTATTTGAAGACCATAAGGTCCTCCATGGGACATACCAGGAGAGGCGGTCCCGTAGGTACGAGGGTCCTAGGCCGTATAGGGCTTTAAAGGTTAAATGATTTAAAGGTTTGGAAAGGGGGAATCAGGAGGGCTGGCGAGCGAAGCAAGCACTTTCAACTCCGCGATCTAGATGAAATACCTGTTCCTCCTCCTGCTTCTTCCCCTCTGCCTGGCTCAGGAGGAAGCCTTCAGCCAGGGCCACCGCCTGGGAACTGGTCTCCGCTCCGCACTCCCTGACCCAGTTCTCCATCTCCGGGGGGAGGACAGCCAGGAACTGCTCCAGGATCACCAGATCCAGCATCTGGGCCTTGGTGTGCCTTTCCGGCTTCAGCCACTGGCGGCAAAGGTCGTGGAGTTGGCTGCAGACCTCGCGGGGCCCCTCAGCCTCCTGGTAGCAGAAATGCTTGAAACGCTGGTATGGTCCCTTTGAGCGGATTGTGTCCCCGGCCAGGATCTCCTGCACGCTTCCTACCCAGAATTCCCCGCTGCCCCGGGCCTCCAAGGCGTGAGGGTCTCTTCCCGCCCCTTTCCCAGATTCGTCGCCTGCTTGGCTTTGCACGCTAAACTTCTCTTCGTGCTCAAGCGGAGCCCCGTACGACTCCAAAGGACTTCCTTGCTCCAGCTTCACTTTCATTCTTGCTCCTTTTCTGTCTCACAACGAGTTTCCTGGCAATTCAATTGATGCCTCTCTCTCTGAAGGAAAGGAAAAAGAAAAGAGAAACCCAAGAGACACAGGACGCGGACATGTATTTAATCTGTTTTTAGTTTCTCGTTTAATTCTTTTTGAAAGCTTTACAAGGTTTGTTTTTAACTGCTTTTAGTTTTATTGTTATTGGTATTTATTGTTCTTCATTGATAATTTTACTGGTTTATTCTTTTTGTAAACTGCTTCCAGGCCTTTTTTTTTTTTTATGATACGATAATCTTTATTGTCATTGTCCCATACAGAACGAAATTGAAAAATCTACACAAGACATTCAAAACCCAACAAGCCTGCTATCCCAGCTATCCCAACCTGGTTAGCTCCTTAAAACTTTGTTTCCTTTCAATCAAGCAATGTGTAAATATTATGAAATAAATATATAAATGTTGCTTCTGCTGGTTTTTATATTGTATTTTTATGTTGTGAATCGCCCTGAGATTTACAGATGGAGGGCGGTATACAAATTTAATCAATATTAATAATAATAACAAGTCTGTGAGACCGGTGGGCGCAAATAAAGTTTTCTGCTCGCTGTTCTCTCTGGCAAGGCTCTGCAAGCAGAAGTCTTTGGATCCTGCACCCCCTTCCAAATTGACTTGATGTTCATTGCCCCTACGCCTATAAAGGTAAAGGTAAAGGGACCTCTGACCATTAGGTCCAGTTGTGACCGACTCTGGGGTTGCGGCGCTCATCTCGCTTTATTGGCCGAGGGAGCCGGCGTACAGCTTCCAGGTCATGTGGCCAGAATGACTAAGCCGCTTCTGGCAAACCAGAGCAGCGCATGGAAACGCCGTTTACCTTCCCACCGGAGCGGTACCTATTTATCTACTTGCACTTTGACGTGCTTTCGAACTGCTAGGTTGGCAGGAGCAGGGACCGAGCAACGGGAGCTGGAGCTCATCCCGTCTCAGGGATTTGAACCACCGACCTTCTGATCGGCAAGTCCTAGGCTCTGTGGTTTAACCCACAAAAGCCCAGGAAAAACCTCTCCTCCAACTGGCTTCTTCCAGCTCTGCTAAATGGCACCCATTTAATGGGACGTTTTGGCGAGTGATCTTTTTGGGAGGGGCTTTTCTGCATACAAACCACGTGTTCTGCCAACTGAGCTATGGATGCCATCCTCACTCCCGGCACAGAAAACTGAAGACCGACCGGCTCACTTATGCAAAGCTGGACTCTCTAAGCAGAACCCCGTTACCAGACATTGACCTCCAGATATCTCCTGGTCCTCTTTCATCCCACCCACCATCAACCTCCCTCCATCTCCTGCCCCTGTGACAGAGGAAGGCAGCGGGGCAGGGAAAGATCCTACAGCCTCCCCACTCAACTGTTGCTCTGGTCTCACAGATGAGAGTCTGCCGGATTGCTCCGCACTCTGAGATCTCGACCACAAAAGGCTTCTGCTTCCGTCACAGCAACTGGCACCCTCTGCAGCAGAGGCTTCCCTCGTGAGCCTGTGAAAACAAGGAGGACGTTGTTTATGAGAGCAGCTGCCCCGGGAAGAACTTAAGAAGAGCATAGCTGCTGGATCCCACCTGATATCTATCTAAGCCTGTATCCTACAACCAGAAGCAACCAGAGCAAGCAGTCCAGCTTCAAGGGTCTTCTAGCTCCATCTGGTACGCAGGCTGAGACCCTACCTGCCCGCGGACTGTCTCGCCAGAGTGGTGCATGCTCTTGTTATCCCGCACTTGGACTACTGCAATGCGCTCTATGTGGGGCTACCTTTGAAGGTGACTCGGAAACTACAATTAATCCAGAATGTGGCAACTAGGCTGGCCGCTGAGACCATATAACACCAGTCCTGAAAGACCTACATTGGCTCCCAGTACATTTGTGAGGACAAATCAAAGTGTTGGTGCTGACCTTGAAAGCCCTAAACGGCATCGGCCCTGTATACCTGAAGGATCGTCTCCACCCCCATCGCTCAACCCCAGACACTGAGGTTTTTTGCTGGTTCTCTCACTGCGAGAAGCGAAGCTACAGGGAACCAGGGACAGGGCCTTCTTGGAGGTGGTGCCCTCCCTGTGGAAAGCCCTCTCACCAGATGACAAGGAGATAAAGAATGACAGAATTTTTAGAAGACATCTGAAAGCAGCCCTGTACAGAGAGGTTTTTAATGTTTGGTGTTTTATTATGCTTTTATGTTTGTCGGAAGCCTCGGGAAACCCAGGCAGATTTGTGGGGTATAAATCATCATCATCATCATCATCAAGCAGTGAAAGGAAAATAGGTGCTCTGGAGCTGTTTTGGGTGTACGGTTGGTGAAATTGTTGGTTTTATTTTATTGAAGGAATGGCAGTTGGGGTGCCCTGGTTCTGTATTGGGAGATGAAACAGCAGGAAAAGCTGGTCTAATGAGACAGGCATGGGAGAGAGCCAACAAGATGGAGCGCTGAGGGGAGAGCGAACCAATCAGGAAGCAGGGTCCCAAAGGCCCCAGCCTCCTCTGTGGTCTGAAGAGCCCCATCTGGTGCCCCATTTGGTCTAATGAGACAGGAACAAAAGACAGCCAATGGGATGAAGCACTGAGAGGAGAGCGAGCCAATCAGGAAGCGGCATCTGGTTCTGCCTGAACTAAGCCAGACCCATGACTGACTAAACTGGGTTGACGTTTCCTAGGCGCAACAAAACACATGATGCATATTTCATCCTGAAGTACCAACGATGTACGTGAAGAACACTGGCAGTTTTTAAGCAGAGGTTGAACGGCCAGCTGTCATGGGTGCTTTAGATGAGATTCCTGCATCGCAGGGGGTTGGACTAGATGACCCTCGGATCCCTTCCACCTCTACGGTTCTAGGGTTTTTATAATATACCAGAAGAATCCTGAGGCAGCTGGCTCTGCCCAAACAGAGGCTCACCCAGCCCAAGCACCCTGTTCTCACAGTGGCAAAGGCTGTGTAACCATTATGGGATGCCCCACAAACCATCAGCACTCTCCCCTATTCAGAGTCCCAGGAACTGGGTTTTTCCGGAGGCATCCTGCCCGTTATAGAAGAGGGAGAACAAACCATTCAGGGCTTTCTGAGTTGCCACAAAAAACTCTATGAATTCAGGCCAGAAGCAGCAGACGGGGAGCCAGTACTTTGCAACCGGTGTGTCACTGGCTGCTCCACTGTCAGAGCTAATATGTCTCTGAATAGCACCAGTGTATTTTTATTTAATTCTTTTTAAACGCCAACCACTATAAATTTAAAAATAAATAAATGTGGTTTACATTCCTGGGACTCACTGTGAGAACAGGATTTTGGACTATGATCACCCCACCTTTGGCCAGATCCAGCAGCCAATGGCTATGAAAAATGGGAGGCGTATCTCATAGAACTTTGAAAGGCCACAGGTTGGCGACAAAGCATGGGCTTTGCATGCATTAGGTCCCGGGGTTCAAGCCCTGGGCAGCATCTCCAGGTTTTTTTTGGGGGGGGGCCTTTACTTGAAACTCTGGAAAGCCGATGCTACCAGTCCATGCAGGCACTACTGAGCTAGATCATGGGTAGGCAAACTAAGGCCCGGGGGCCGGATCCAGCCCAATTGCTTTCTAAATCCGGCCCACAGACGGTCCAGGAATCAGCGTGTTTTTACATGAGTAGAATGTGTGCTTTTATTTAAAATGAATCTCTGGGTTATTTGTGGGGCATAGGAATTCGTTCATCCGCCCCCCCATATAGTACGGTCCCCCACAAGGTCTGAGGGACAGTGGACCGGCCCCCTGCTGAAAACGTTTGCTGACCCCTGAGCTAGATGGTCCAGTAGGTCTGACGCTGGCAATTAAAGCATCCCAATTCCCCCCACCCTGCTAAGTTGCAAGGGGATGTTATTCATCGGTCTAATTATTATTATGAATGATAAATAATAACATTGCATCGTGACGCAGAGCACGGTTGCAATACAAGGGGGTTGGACTTGATGACCGCTGGCGTCCCTTTCCAACTCCAATAATGCACATTGCAACAATACTATTAACAATAATGCACGTTGCAACAATACTATTAACAATGCAGAGCGTAACTAAACGAAGCAGAGGCTTATATAATGCAGACTGCTGTAGTAGTAGTAAATAATAATAATAATAATGCAACGCAGGCGCTTTGGCAGTGACACCCCCCACCCCTTTCCACCTCTTTCCTGCCCCACACGGCCTCCTTTGCGTTCCCCAGATCCCGGGGGGGGGGCAAGACGTGGCCCACCCCGCCTCCATCTGTCCGCAGCAGCTGAGGTTCCCCGCCCCCAAAGATGCACCGACAATTTCTGGTTTGAACCCCGGGAGTGGGGGGTGGTCTCCCCAAACCCACAAAAACTGTGACACCCCCCCCCCCCGCGGAGTCAAGAGATTGCATCAGACAAGAGGGAAGAGCGGGATCCAATGAAGGGGTTGGACCTTTTTTTCCCCTGCCTGGATTGTTAGGATCATGATTATTCTAGGAGAGGGGGAGGGGTGGGAGATCAAAGGGATTCTCCTGCGCCGCAATTGCAACCGTGTTGTGCGATTGCGCCACAAAAGGTCCAGCGACAACCTCCCCTCCCCCCTCCCCCCCTTTGCCCTCGCCCCACTTTCCTCCCCAGGACCTTCCCCGACCCCTAAAGCCCCACCGTTCCTCCTCCGGCCCACCCCCTCCCCCACCCGCACGTCCCCCAGTTCCCCCCAGTTCTCCCATTTCACTCACCAGACCCCTCCCAACTTTCCCAAAAAGGGGGAGGAAGTGACCTTCCCGTCTCCGCTTCCTCCTCCTCCTCTTCTTCCTCCTCGGTGCCTGTCTAGGAAAGTGCAGGCGACTTCCCCCCCCCCCCTTATTAACCCATTTTCTTCGCTCTCTCGCCCGAAGGAAGCAAACAAAGAGGTTTTGCAAACCTCGCAGTTAGAATTGTAAACAGAATTGCAATTATTGAAAAAAAAATTATTGCTAATCTCTCTGTATATATATATATATAATTATATCGCCATTTTTGCAATCATTGCAATTCCGTTTGCAATCCCAACTGAGAAAATCCCACTTTGCTAGATGCAGAGAAGCCCAGCGGAGGCGTGAGGAAAAAGCAAGCCCGCTGCCTGCAAAAAATAAAAATAATAAAAATCCCTTTGCTTTTTTGTTGCTGTATTTGTTTATGTTTTCCCAAGGGGAGCGTGCAAAGCTTACACCACTTTTCCTTCCTCCCCCCCTTTTTGTTTCTTGTGGAGAGTAACCCAACACAGGGTTAAGGAGGGAGAGCCGGATGCCTAGAGAGGCCATGAAGCATCCACTTCCTGCCCCCCCCATCTAGAGCCTCCCTTCTTCTATCTCCCCCACCACAACCAAAAAAATAAAAAAATATCTGCAAGGGAGCTGGTGAGTGCATTTTGGGTCCAGTATGCAAGGAGAAAAGACCAGACGCTGAAAGGAAGAGGAGAGGGGCATGCTGGGAGGGAAAGGGGGGGTCGGGTCTCGTTTGCACCCCCCCTCCACTTTCCCCCAAATTGAGGGTGGCCTTTTTGGCTTCAAACCTACACCGTGCAGCCCCTTTCCTTCCACCTCTGCTAAAGCAGAAGGTTCCCAGTTTGCATTTCCACCTGTTGCATGAATTTATGTAAAGATTGATGGGGGAGGGGTTACCCCTCCAGCAGATAATAATAATAATAATAATAATAATAATAATAATAATAATAATAATAAATTATGCCCCGCCCGTCTGGTTGGGTTTCCCCAGCCACTCTGTGCAGCTTCCAACAGAATATTAAAATACAGTAGGCTATTAAACATTAAAAATTTTCCTAAACATATCATACCCACACACCCCAGCTACCAAAATCAGCGCAATCACTTTGGCAAATGTCCCCACAAAACACTTCCTCACAGTTTTTCCTATCTCTGTTCAAAGGGCCTCTGCTGCACATTACCAAATATAACAATTCACTGATAAATGTATCTACCTACTGGCTCACTGGGGAAACTCTTTAGGAAGTCATATAAAATCGCTCCAGTGTGGAATTGTACCATTCTAACTTTGTTCTGTTCAGGAAAGGAATGGCTTACGAAGGGGGGAGTCTGGGGAGTGGGCAGCCATAATCCCTGAAACCTGGGATCACGTACACAGCAGCTTCTTGCACTGGCATCCTGGCAAATGGATGCCAGACAGGCATTTATCCCATGGACAATGGCAAACCGTCCAGGAATGGATTAGGTCAGGGGTCAGCAACCTTTCTCAGCTGTGGGCTGGTCCACCGTCCCTCAGACCATGTGGTGGGCTGGAGTCAGTGGCGTAGTGTGGGTTGTCAGCACCCGGGGCAAGGCAAGTAATTTGCGTCCCCTAACCCGTGGATTTTAGCAGGGGGCAGAGAGCTGCGAGTGCGAGCGCGCGCCCCCCCGATGTTGCAGCCGGTGCGGCCGGCCCCCCTTGCACCCCCCACGCTACGCCACTGGCTGGAGTATATTTTTTTGGGGGGGGGGAATTAATGAATTCCTATGCCCTACAAATCACCCAGAGATGCATTTTAAATAAAAGCACACATTCTACTCTGGGCAGCTCCCAACAGAATATTAAAAACATGATAAAACATCAAACATTAAAAACTTCCCTAAACAGGGCTGCCTTCAGATGTCTTCTAATAGTCAGATAGTTGTTTATTTCCTTGACATCTGTTGGGAGGGCATTCCACAGGGCAGGCACCACCACCAAAAAGGCCCTCTGCCTGGTTCCCTGTGGCCTCACATCTCACAGTGAGGGAGCTGCCAGAAGGCCCTTGGAGCTGGACCTCACTGAACGATGGGGATGGGAGGCACTCCTTCAGGTATACTGGGCTGAGGCTGATGTCACCCACCCAGCTGACCTTGGAGTCTCCCTGCCTCTCTCCCCATGAATTTGTCTTAAATCGTCTTTTAAAGCTCCTGCGGAAAGACACAAGCTCTGGTGAGCATCTCTGATTCCTTCTGTCTCCTAACCAGAAGATCCTACTGAAGACACATCAACCATCCATTTCTATACCATTAAACCATAACAAAAGGGCTGGTCACCCAGCACCGTAATGTGCCGTAGTCTGGGATTTGTGTTTTTCTTAATGGGTTGGGCCAACCAAAACATTTCCAGCAAATGAAGCTTTTTAGAATTTTTAACTCCTCTACTTGCCTCCTTGCCCAAATGCCTCAAGATGCTTCCTCACTCCCAATCAAAAAATGCTCCATCCAAATCAGTGGTTCCTAAATGGGGTGGTAGTGCCCCCCTGGGGCGGGCAATGGGATTACCTAGGGGGACACACTAGAGACGAGGCAGCGGGTGGTGCTGAGGTCTAAACCACTGAACCTCTTGGGCTTGTTGATCAGAAGGTTGGCGGTTCGAATCCCTGCGACGGGGTGAGCTCCCGTTGCTCTGTCCCAGCCCGTGTCAACATAGCAGTTTGAAAGCACGCCAGTGCAAGTAGATAAATAGGTACTGCTGCAACGGGAAGGTAAATGCCATTTCTGTGCGCTCTGGTTTCCGTCACGGCGTCCTGTTGCGCCAGTAGCGGTTTAGTCATGCTGGCCACATCACCTGGAAAACTGTCTGCAGACAAATGCCGACTCCCTCGGCCTGAAAGCGAGATGAGCGCCGCAACCCCATAGCCGCATTTGACTGGACTTAACCATCCAGGGGTCCTTTACCTTTACCTACTGGAGATTTAAATAACTATCATAGACTTTGAAAAGCTAGCATCACCAGATCAAATTCATCAGTTTCGTTGAATTAATTAATTATTGGATTTTTAATAAATGTGCAATTAATTCTTACTGTTCTGAATTTTATTGTGTTATCTTCCTTTGTGGGACATGCAAACCACTATTCTGAATAACTTGCTATGGCCGTTGGCTAATGCAAATAAAGTTTATCTATCTATTCCAAATAACGCTTTTTTCATAGGGCACAGTGGCACCGGGGATGACTGTATGGAACCAAGAAGTCGGTGGCCAAAAAAGTTTGGTCTAAACTGTTCTTTCTTTTCAATAATCTGAGAAATGGGATGGCAGCAAGCTCACTTTGTTTTTTGGGAGGGGGAGGCAAAAAAGAGTTTGACATCAGAAAGGGAAATATTTAATTACACATGTCAATGTTCTGTTTTATTCGACCCATGCTTTTACCGCAATATCACAAAATGCCAGGGTGGTGTATGCAACGATGCAACACAAAAAGCTAATAATAATAATAAATTTTATTTATACCCTGCCCTTCCCAGTCAAGACCGGGCTCAAGGCGGCTAACACCAGGTATAAAAGCAATTAATTAAAATACAACTTAATAATAAGATTAAGTGATCCATGCGATGGTCACCTCCAGGCTTGACTACTGTAATTCGCTCTACGCGGGGCTGCCCTTGAAGCTGTCCCAGAAACTCCAGCGGGTGCAGAATGCTGCAGCGAGGCTCCTCATGGGGTCTCTGCCATGGGAGCATATTCACCCAGTGCTTTTCCAGCTGCACTGGCTCCCGGTGGAGTACAGGGTCAGATTTAAGGTGCTGGTTTTGACCTTCTAGGGACTTCTAGGGTGTTGCTATTTATGGACCTTGAGGCTCTCCGTGGGGCATACCGGGAGAGGCGGTCCCGTAGGTACAGGGGTCCTAGGCCATGAAGGGCTTTAAAGGTCAAAACCAGCACCTTAAATCTGACCCTGTACTCCACCAGGAGCCAGTGCAGCTGGAAAAGTTAAGACTAGATGACCCTCGGAGTCCCTTCCAACTCAACAATTTTATGATTCTATGGGTGGAGAATCCTTATTCTGACTTTGGGGTGGTGAATATCCATCCTGGTTGTTTTTTTTTATTATTGTTTTAGCCATAGAGTTGAGCATTTGCTGAATCTGTCTTCTTCCCTGCTTAGTAAGATATCCAAGCATTTAAATGCCTCCTCTGCTGCAAGGATTCTCTGATGTCCAATATGATGCACTCTCCAACTGAAGCTCTTTCCACCCTCCACAGATCATGTTTCTTTAACGTGTGAGTCCTCTGGTGTCTACTGAGCCTTTCGCTACTGCTGAAACTCTTCCCGCACTCCATACACTTATACGGCTTCTCTCCTGTATGGGTTCTTTGGTGCGAAACGAGGGTCGTGCTACGACTGAAGCTTTTCCCACACTCAACGCATCTGTATGGCTTCTCCCCTGTGTGGGTCCTCCAATGCGACGTGAGGTTGCAGCTCTGGCTGAATCTTTTCCCACACAGCGGGCACTTCTAGGATCTTTCACCGGTGTGGGTTCTCTGATGTGGGCCAAGATCGCCATTGTCGCTGAAACTTTTTCTGCATTCTGTGCCATTATGTGGTTTCTCCTCTTGGTGGGTTTGATGATGCCCATTCAAATCGTCCCTGAATGTTTTCTTGGACATCACACATTTTCCTTTTTCCTTCCACTTAGGATGATCTTGTAGGATCAGGGGTGCCTTTGGGTTGGGATCCGGAGAAGGAGCAGATTTCTTCATCCTGTTCTTCGATTTGACAAAGGCAGCACACAGGAAACCAAATGGCTCTTTTGCAGACTCCTGCTCAGTTGGTTCCAATGGCACCACAGGTTACTCCTTGCAATTCTCATTGCCTTGCTCATTGCCTGAAAATTGAGGAAGCGGAAAGAGGGAAAATTTGGATTAGGCAGAAACCTAAGACCTTAACAACGAGGGCCTTCTGGCGGTTCCCTCACTGAAAGAAGTGGAGTTACAGGGAACTAGGCAGAGGGCCTTCTCGGTAGTGGCACCCTTCCATCAGATGTCAAGGAGATGAGTAACTATATAACCTCCAGAAGATACCTGAAGTTAGCCCTGTATAGGGAAGCGTTTTAATGTATAATGTGTATTCCTGCGTTGAAGCGGGTGGGCTAGATGGCTAGATGTTTTATTATGTTGATATAACTTGAAAGCCATACAGAGTGGCTGGGGCAAAACAGAGTGGCTGGGGCAAACCAGATGTTGTTGTTGTTGTTGTATTTTTTAAAAAGTTTTTCTTGGTTTACAAAAGTACAGTGGACGCTCGGGTTGCGAATGTGATCCGTGTGGGATCCACAGCGTTTGCACCCCGCATTGGCGCACACGTGGGTTGCAATTCGGTGCTTCTGTGCATGCGCAAAGCGTGATTTAGTGCTTCTGCGCATGCACGGCCGCCGAAACCTGGAAGTAACCCATTCTGGTACTTCCGGGTTTTGGCGGTCCATAACCCACCCCCCCCGAAGAAGAAGAAGAAGAAGAAGAAGAAGAAGAAGAAGAAGAAGGGACTCGAGTGGCGCTGTGGGTTAAATCACAGAGCCTAGGACTTGCCGATCAGAAGGTTGGCGGTTCGAATCCCCGCGACGGGCTAAGCTCCCATTGCTCAGTCCCAGCTCCTGCCAACCTAGCAGTTTGAAAGCACGTCCAAGTGCAAGTAGATAAATAGGTACCGCTCTGGCGGGAAGGTAAAGGGCGTTTCCGTGCACTGCTCTGGTTCGCCAGAAGCGGCTTAGTCCTGCTGGCCACATGACCCGGAAGCTGTACGCCGGCTCCCTCGGCCAGTAAAGCGAGATGAGCGCCACAACCCCAGAGTCGGTCATGACTGGACCTAATGGTCAGGGGTCCCTTTACCTTTAACCCCAAAAAATGCAACTTGAAGCATCTGTAACCCGAGGTGTGACTGTATGTGCAATGTCTCTTTTTTCAGATCCGTTTCATTTGTTGAGACGTTAGTGTTACATTAGAAAGAAAAGGGGGGAAGAGGTGGAGGGGGAAATGGGGAGCGGGGTTGGGGTTGGGTGGTGATGTTTCTCTTTTACTTTATGTGTGGGGTTTTGTGTCAGTGTCCCTCCTGCAGGTTCCCTTTTGTTGAGAGAGGGGGCTGGCCTAGGGTGTGGTTGCTTGTTTGCGATTGGCTGTGGTGAACTTTGTTTTCATGTGTGAGTGGGGTGGGCAGGTGTTTTTGAATCAGGTTAAGCATATTGATTCAAAAGCTGTTGGTGGATTCTTGTCACCCGTAGGTGAGTTTTAGAGTGAGTTCTTTCCTTTCGTTTATATGGATTTAAAGGGGGGATTGGACCACTGAGGAGGGTTAATCTCATAGCCTATGTCGTCCTCACAACATTGTTGTGACGCGCAGCGTAAATTAATAATGCAGAGTTTTTACGTGAAAGAATAAGAGCTTTACTGAGTTAAAATAAACTTCTTCATAAACAACATGCTTCCAAACAGTTTGACTGAGATTACATACTGACTCTGCTCACAACTGAGGCAGACTGACTGACTGAAATCTTACTAGGAACACAGAGAGAAAATGGCTTATAAGTATAAAATGGCTTATAAATAGCTTATAAGGAGAATGAGCCACATGTCGGAGTGACTCAACAGTTAGGCCTGAATAACTTTAATAGGCGCAAATGACTGTGCAGTCCCAGCACTTCCCAGCCTGCTTTGCTGCTTCTGCTCTCATGTGTCTTTGTCACATGACATGTTGTTGTTTTTTAAATTATTTTATTTATTAATTTATACACCGCTTTATATTCTTAATCAAAATCTCAAAGCAGTTTAAGGTAAAGGTAAAGGGACCCCTGACAGTTAAGTCCAGTTGCGGACGACTCAGGGGTTGTGGCGCTCATCTCGCTTTACTGGCCGAGAGAGCCGGGGTTTGTCCGCAGATAGCATAATAATAATAAAATAATAACATTTTATTTACATCCCACCCTCTCCAGCCGAAACCGGGCTCAGAGCAGCTAACAACAGTAAAATAATACATGACTAAGCCACTTCTGGCGAAACCAGAGCAGTGCACGGAAATGCCGTTTATCTTCCCGCCAGAGCGGTACCTATTTATCTACTTGCACTTGCATGCTTTCGAACTGCTAGGTTGACAGGAGCAGGGACCGAGCAACAGGAGCTCACTCCGTCACAGGGATTCGAACCACCGACCTTCTGATCGGCAAGCCCTAGGCTCGGTGGTTTAGACCACAGCGGTTTACAGCATATTAAATCAATAACATATTAGCCAGGTGATGTTCCTCCGGTCTCATGAGGAGTCTCTTCAGTGGGGCTGCTGATTATGGGTTCGTGGAGTTTTGGAGTAGTATTTTGTATATTGTGGATACCATCCCTTTGCCGTGTCCCTTTCTTGTTAGGAGGAGGTTTTCGAAGGTTGTCAGGGGTCTAGTTGCTGCTGATTTTACTACTGGATTGTTTAAGAGGGCATGTAATTGGTGGTACTATTATTATTATTGGCAGGCACCGACTCCCAGTTCAAACTTACGTTTTGCCTGCTCAGCTCCTTTCCTTTTCTCTTTGTTATCAGAAAGCGATTCTCCTCTCAAGGTTGCTGTATGGATTTCACAAAGAGCTTGATTCCAGGCAACATGATGCAACAAATGTAAATTTCCCCTTTTGTACTGGCTTTCTGCGCACAATTGCCCAACGCTCTTCAGCCTCCATCCAGGCCAGCGAGAGGCATTCTATCGGAGCTCAGGCACCTTTCAGCCTAGGTAAAACTCAAAAGAGGTGGGATATTCTTTCCAAGTCAGGGCCCTCAGGATCTCTCCATAACCTCTCTTGCCAGTTCAGGAATCAGGACTCCTTCCTCTGCCCTTCCAACTAATACAAAGAACAGACGGGTGTCATCAGCTCTAGTAACTTCAACCATGTGTTGGAAGCTGCCCAGAGGGGCTGGGACAACCCAGCCAGATGGGTGGGATGTAAAAATTGTTGTTGTTGTTGTTGTATTGGAATTATTATTATTTTACTGAAATTGTATATTAAGGTAGGTGGGCTATTTCAAACTGTTAGAAGACAAATGCTACAGATTGCAGTAACAGATCTTGCCAGCTACTTTGATACTTCAAGAGATTTAGGGAAGTTTTTTAATGTTCGATGTTTTACCGTATTTTTAATATTTTGTTGGAAGCCACCCAGAGTGGCTGGGGAAACCCAGCCAGATTTCCGGGGTACAAATAATTTGTTTTTATTATTTTTATTTAGTTCAGTTGGTAGAGCATGAGACTCTTCATTTCATTCTGGTTTTTTTTTCCTATTTACAGCTTTTACAAAACAAGAAAAACTGAATCTTTACAAATCTAATTTAACTTCCCCTCGATTTCCCTCCCCGCCTTTCTGTGGAGGATATTTATTTCATATCTTTTTATCAATGCATATCCAATTCAAATACATTTGCAAATTTCCCCTTATTTCCTTTCCCTTGTCTCTTACTGCACGGGTTTATATCAGTCCTGCCGATGTTTTAATTTGTTTACAATGTGCCGCCAAACAGTCGATAATTTCCCCCCATTATATTTTTTAAAAGTCTCTCTCCTTGATTTCTTATCCTTCCAGTGAGTTTTGCCATTTCTGCATACAGTATTCCATTAATGTTAATTGCAACTGGGGTAGCTTACATAAACAATTTTTTCTGTTCACGAGTAGGGCTGCCATACTTCTGGAATTTCCCGGACGTAGCCAGGGTCCGTCCACTAAAAATGGTGTCTGGGCAGAATTTCCGTTTTAAATGTCAGGGAAAACCCAGGTATATGGCAGCCACACTGGAAGTGAAGGGTTGTTTTTGTTTGTGTGTGATTTTGTTTAAGAAAAGCTTAACAATTTTTTTTGTCCGGATATGAGCATAGCCAAGCCCCTCCTATAAATCATTAAGAATATAAAAAAAAATCATAGCAAACTGAGGTTCTTCGCCCCCCCCAACAAAAATCCTGGCTACACCCATGTATCCCACTCTCAATTTTACCTGTGGACTGCCATCTGTCCAGATTTTAATTTGTTCTGAATTAATTTTGAGATATATTTTAATTAATTGATTGCCTGTTTTTATGTGCTTTGTATACTGTGTTAAGGGACGCGGGTGGCGCAGTGGGTTAAACCACAGAGTCTAGGACTTGCCGATCAGAAGGTCGACGGTTCGAATCCCTGTGACGGGGTGAGCTCCCATTGCTCAGCCCCTGCTCCTGCCAACCTAGCAGTTCAAAAGCACATCAAAGTGCAAGTAGATAAGTAGGTACCGCTCCAGCGGGAAGGTAAACGGCGTTTCTCTGCGCTGCTCTGGTTCGCCAGAAGCGGCTTAGTCATGCATCCACATGACCCGGAGGCTGTATGCCGGCTCCCTCGGCCAATAAAGCGAGATGAGCGGCGCAACCCCAGAGTCGGCCACGACTGGACCTAATGGTCAGGGGTCCCTTTACCTATACTGTGTTAGTTTTATGATGTTAGCTGCCCTGAGCCCGGCTCCAGCCGGGGAGGGCGGGGTACAAATAAAATTATTATTATTATTATCCAGATTTCCACTTTTTGAAATACGGCAACCTGATCAATTATACCTAAAAGAGACTCTTCATGGTCAGGGTTGTAGTTTCAAGCCCAGTGTTGGGTGGAAAAGCCCTGCATTGCAGGTGGGGGTTGGACTAGATGACTTTGGGGGTCCCTTCCAATTCTAGGATTCTATGAAACACTTCAGGATCCCGTTCAGGTTGCCCGCACAGGTATGGGAACCGATGGCCACTCCTTCCCCAACGTGGGACGAGGAGCTCCGCTTCCTAGAGAGACAGGAAGTTTCAGAGGAGGCGGGAGCGGCTATTATCTGGGAACGGGGCGGGGGGGGCGCGTTAGTCTCTGCAGCCACACGCGGAGGAGAGACTTTGGTAAGGAGGCGAGGTGGCTGCAGAGGGAAGAATTCAGAAAGGTGCAACATATTTGGGGGGAGATATTATGGGTGGTGGGGGGATATTTGCATCCCTCCCCATGCCGAATCTGCAAACCGGGCAGCCGGGAGAGGAGGAGGGAGGGGGGGGAAATTTGGGAGGTGGGGGAGTGAAAAAAGGTCGCCACGTGTTGGGACTTTGCAGTTTAGAGAAGTTTGTAGAACCGAGCATGGCATGGAGGGGGAAAGGCTTTTCTCCCTCTTCCGCAGTGCTAGAACTGGTGGATTCCCCCCACCCCACCCCGCAAAAAAGCTGCAAGTTGGAAGTTTCAGGAATCGTAGAAAGGGGAGGGGACCCCCAAGGGCCATCTAGTCTGACCCGCTGCAATGCACGAATCTCAGCTAAAGCATCCCAGTTGGTTAGAGGTGGGGGGTGCTGATAAGGGCAAGGTTGCAGGTTCGATCCCCACCCCCCGTGTGGGACAGGCTGCCTATTCTTGCATTGCAGGGGGTTGGACTAGATGACCCTTGGGGGTGGTCCCTCCCAACTCTACGGTTCTTTGATCAGCTACATGCAGTGCAAAATCAAACTGTGGAACTCGCTCCCCGCCCCTTGGGTGGCTTTGAAAGAGAAATGAGACAAACTCATGGGCTATAAATAAGGCTGCCAGCCTGGGAGGTTGTGCTCTGGTGTCTCACGTTGAATGCCAGTTGTTGGAGACAGCAGGAAGGGAGAGTGGCCTTGTGTTCGAATCCTGGATTTCTTGTCTCCCACGGGCATCTTGTTGGCTTCTGTGAGAATTGGGTGCTGGATAGGCCATTGGCTCTCATAATAATAATAATAAATTTTATTTATACCCCACCCTACCTGGCCAGAGCCGGGCTCAGGGCGGCTAACACCAGTAAAATTACAGTAAAAACATAATTTAACATAAACATAAAACCAATTTAAAAATACAGGTTAAAATGTAATTTAAAATGCAGCCTCAATTTAAAAGTAGCCCATAGATCAAAACCATAAGGGGAGGGAAACAGAAGGGTCAGACTGAGTCCAAATCAAAGGCCAGGTGGAACAGCTCTGTCTTGCAAGCCCTGCGGAAAGATGTCAAGTCCCGCAGGGCCCTGGTCTCTTGTGAAAGAGCGTCCCACCAAGTTGGGGCCAGTACTGAAAAGGCCCTGGCCCTAGTTGAGATGTTGTTATGACGAGTGGAAAGCAGGGAACCCCGTCCCCCGTTTCCCTCTGGGAATCCATAGATTCTGCCCTCTGCCATTCATACTTTAGCTGAGATTCCTGCATCGCAGGGGCTGGACTAGATGACCCTCGGAGGTACCCCCTTCCAACTCTAGAGCAGATCCTCTCTGGAGCTGCCTTCACCTCTCTGTAGAGATCAACCCAGGTCTTGTTGGTGGGGGTGGGGGAGGTAAATCTTTGTTACAGAGGAAGGAAGCAGAGGGTTTCCTGCTCTGCTTTTGTAGCCCCCAGCTCAAAAGAATGGAAACAACCTTTGGAGGAGACAATAGCCTGTGAGTAATAAGACAATGGCAAACTGGCCAAGTGAGATTCCTTTGCTCTGTCTTGACAAAGAGACAAGAGGAGGAGATTTCTTCATTTAACAGAATTTATAAACCTCTTGGTTTTTTTGGGGGGGAAACCCCAAGGCAGTTTACAAAAAAAAGAAAACACCGTAAAATGATCACTTAAGAAAAAAATCACAACAATCATTTCAAACATGCAAACAGTTAAAACCACAGTAGAACAGACCAAGGCAAATTAAAACTTATACAAACTTTCTGAACATCTGGTAGGCGTGACTGAATAAGAATATCTTTAGCAAGAAATGCAGGGAAGGCGCCTCTGATATCCATAGGCAGGGAGTTCCAAAGTTCCTGTTAAAATATGTTGGGGAAGGGGGCGTTTATTGGATTGTTTTTGTTTTGGTTATGTATTTTTGTGATTTTATGCTGTAATTGCCCCGAGACCTGCGGATTTAGGGCAGTATGCAAATTCAAGAAATAAAAATAAATAAATATTTATATACCGCTTAATATTTTTTAATGAAAATCTCAAAAGCGGTTTACAGCATATTAAATCAATAAAACAATAGCCAGGCGATGTTCCTCCGGCCTCATGAGGAGCGTCTTCAGTGGGGCTGGTGAGTGTGGGCCCAGCCCCCTAGGCCAGGGGAGCAGCCTTTGCGCCCCACAGCCGGGCGATGTTCCTCCGGCCTCATGAGGAGCATCTTCAGTGGGGCTGGTGAGTGTGGGGCTCATCCCCTAGGCCAGGTGGAGGGGCCTTGCTGGGAGCGGCCTTCACACTCACAGCCAGGTGATGTTCCGCCAGCCTCAATAATTAATTGTTTGTGCTCCCATACTAAACTACGGTGGTACCTTGGTTTAAGAACTTAATTCGTTCCGGAGGTCCGTTCTTAACCTGAAAATGTTCTTAACCTGAAGCACCACTTTAGCTAATGGGGCCTCCTGCTGCCGCCGCGCCGCCGGAGCTCGATTTCTGTTCTCATCCTGAAGCAAAGTTCTTAACCCGAGGTAATATTTCTGGGTTAGCAGAGTCTGTAACCTGAAGCGTATGTAACCCGAGGTACCACTGTATTGAGTTCTTAATCGGGGAGATAAGTAAAATGCCCCTGCCCCAGCTGGACTTGGGGGGGCGGAAATAAATACCTCCCTGCCCCAGGGAGTTTTGCTGCTGTTTCTTGCATTGAAGAGGCTGGTCCAGAGCTCCTCCTGAGATTTAACTTGAGGATAAGATGCAGCCCCTCCACATTGCTCTCTCAACAACACTGTAAAATGGTTAAAACAGGGATGCAGAGCATCTTTTTTGGGGGGGTGCACAGGGATAGCTCTTACTCTCAGGGTCGTAGGTTGGGGGTTTTTTTAATTTTATTTGGATTTTTTAAATAAAATGTTTTGGAGGGGAAATCTTTTTCTAAAGATCGTTTTCTTTTCAGGTTCCATTATAGTCCAAAGGCTATTCATCAGGAAATAAGGATTTGTTTTAAGTTTTTCATGTGTGCTATAACTCAGTCTAAGGTGTGTTTTTTTAAAGTGTTTAACCACAGCAGTTAACAAACGTGGATACATATCCTATAATCTGAAGGCAGCCCTGTTTAGGGAAGCTTTTAATGTTTGATGTATTACTGTATTTTAATATTTGGTTGGAAACCGCCGAGAGTGGCTGGGGAAGCCCAGCCAGATGAGCAGGGTATAAATAATAAATTATTATTATTATTATTATTATTATTATTATTATTACATAATTGTTTAAATTGTTATTATGGAAATTATCAGTCTATGTATTTCTAACAGTATAACCAAATTAGTAATTTTTGATATAACTGTATAAACTACTCTGAGAATTATTATTCCGAAAATGAAACCTTTATCTGGTTGTAAATATTAAGATTATACCATCAGGAATGAGTCTTTCTGCAAAAAAAGAAAGTTTTAGATCAAGTCTTACTGACTAGTGATTTAAATCGTAATTTAAATCGATTTGATTTAAATCAAATCCACCCTGCTCCCATATAAAGGATGAAATTCTTCCCCTCCCTTGTCTCTCCCCTGCAGGGACCACTTGAGAGCTACTCCCTTCGTTGAAGTGCAGCCCAGTTTCTGCCTCCTTATCCTCCATCTTCTTCCAAAGGCAGCGCAATGGCATCAGAGGCACAACCCGGACCTTCTCTTCTTAGGGATGGAGTGGAAAGAGGGGTTAAGCAGCGCCCACAGGTACGGAAAGAGCAATGGGGACGAGGGAAGAGGCAACTCTGCCTCCCTTTATGTCGAGTAGGGAAGGGATCTAAGAGAAGAGATATTTCCTTCTTCTTCCAGGGTCTGGTCACCTTTGAGGAGGTGGCCGTGCGTTTCACAGAGGAGGAGTGCGCTCTGCTGGATCCAAGCCAAAGAGCTCTGAACAGGGAAGTTATGGAGGAGAATTACGAGACAGTGACCTCTCTGGGTAAGGAAACATATTTCTGTATGCAGTGGAGGAATAACTGGTCCAATCCAGTGACCCCCAGCCCAGTGTCCTGTTCACAGTAGTATCCTGTTCATCCCAAGAAAATGTCTGTGGGGAAGCCCGCAAGCAGGAGCTTAGCGTTAAGAACAGGGGTCAGCAAACTTTTTCAGCAAGGGGCCGGTCTACTGTCCCTCAGACCTTGTGGGGGGCCGGACTATATTTTGAAAATAAAAATGAATTCCTATGCCCCACAAATAACCCAGATATGCATTTTGAAGAAAAGCACACATTCTACTCATGTAAAAACACCAGGCAGGCCCCACTGATAACCCAGAGATGCATTTTAAATAAAAGGGCACATTCTACTCATGTTCAAACACGCTGATTCCCAGACTGTCTGCAGGCCAGATTTAGAAGGCGATTGGGCTGGATCCGGCCCCCGGGCCTTAGTTTGCCTACCCATGGTTAAGAACATCTTGCCCTCCTGTGGTTCCTGGCGTTCCCAGAGAAAACCAATACATTTGGTGGAGTCTTAAGAGCAAACGGTTGCAAAACTTCCGCTTTCGCATCTAACCTCAAGATTTATTATTAATACTATTACAGTGGTACCTCGGAAGTCGAATGGAATACGTTCCGGAAGTCCGTTCGACTTCCAAAACGTTCAGAAGCCCCGTCAGACGTTCAGCTTCCAAAAGCATTAGCCCTCTCCTCCATTAGCTCAGTCGGTAGAACATGGGGCTCTTAAATCTCAGGGTTCAAGGGTTTGAGCCCCACATCAGGCAAAAGATTCCTGCATTGCAGGGGGTGGGACTAAATGACCCTCGGGGTCCCTTCCAACTCTACAATTCTGTGAACACAGAAATGTTGCAGTGGCTTGAATCTCAATGGGAAAATACCTCATCTCAAATTGTAAATTTGAGGTACCCCACAGCCTTGGCTTGCTGTGGATGAGGAAGAATGGCTGGCTGCCAGGGGCTGGTTTTTGCTTTCTGTGTTTTGAGCCGCGGTAGTCCAAATCAAGACAGCTAGCTTTGCTAAGTTCTGCAGCGTCATCCCTGCAACAGAGGTTTCATGCTGAGCTCCATTTCATGCTGAGCCCTTTTGCTAGTCCATAAGGGATCAGAATTGGCCCTCTTGGGTTTGAGGTCGTAGACTTGGCTTGACTGGGAATGGCTGGATGTTTTGTGGTCCAAAGTAACTGCTCTCTCTTTCCTTGAAAGAATCAGACCTCAGTTCGTACTGGGAAGAAAGGCAAGAGCAGCTTCTCCAGGATGACAAAGAAGGGGAGACATTAGCAGGTAGGTTGTGTTTTTGCTCAGGGATTTGAAGGTGTGACAATTTCGCTCTGTTTGGAGGACAGATCTACACCTGATTTCTGCGCAGCAGAAACCGAGCTGACGGTTAACTTTTTCAGCTGGATTCCTTCTTTAACTTCTGCCACATTAAGGAAGTTAGTCGTATCAGTCTAGTGTACAAGGGTGAGCATTCCAGCACATGGAAAAGACATTTCTGCCATAGAACTTAATCAGACTTAATCAGAAAAGAAGATCAATGAGGTTAATGACATAAAAACCTGATAAAATATCAGCATTACCATTCTAAAAATAATGATTAACCCTGATTAAATCCCAGTTACCTGGGCAGCGAGCAACAGGTGATATGTTCCTCCCAAATGAAAGCGCGAGAGGTGCTCAGATTTTCCTTTGAATGAGGTTTTTTTTTTTTGGTAAGCTTTATCCATTATCAAAGAAAAACAAGACGTACCAGCAGATTTCTGTGCTCCTATAATTTACTAGTGTCTTTTGACCGCAGCCAAAACCATAACCAAGGAGGAGCGCTTTGTTCCCCTCTTGGTCTCTTCCCCAGCCTTGTTACCTCCCTTATCTCCTCCAACCCCAACCCCAATTGCATCAAAGGAGACACACCTGTACTTAGTGAAATCAGGTGGGAGATAGAGCAGGAAGGGGCTTGTGTTGTTGTCGTCTTGAGACTGTAGGATATTCAGAAGCTAACCTCAGATTGAGCTGGGCATGAAGAGAAGAAATGGAAGATGCTTAATCATAATGATGATGATGATGATTTTATTTTTACCCCACCTATCTGGCTGTCTTGCCCCAGCCACTCTGAAAACGACAAAATCAGAGAAGCAGAGAACTGGGCTCAATCCATAACAAGATCTCTGCTTGCCATTTGAGTGACATTTCCTTTTTCTCCCTCCCCTGAAACAGGCAGTGGGCAGAACAATGAGAATTGTGGGGAGACATCCGCCGTGGTGTCGTCAGAAAACTCAGAACACGAAGCTTCAAAAGAAATGTCTGTAAATCAAATAGAAACCCCAGATCATGAAAGAAACAAGTCAAAGAAAGCAAAAAAGAAATCCACGGCTTCTCAGGACACTGATGTCCACGAACCCCTCGTCTCAAAGAAAGATCACACAGAAAACAAATGTACAGAGTGTGGTGAAATATTTAGATATAAATCACAATTAAAAATGCATTACCGAACTCATGGGATTCATACAGAGGTGAAACCATTTAAATGTACGGTGTGTGGAAAGAGCTTCAGCCATAGTGGGAGCCTTAGCATGCATCATAGAATCCACACAGGGGAGAAACCATTCGAATGTACCGAGTGTGGAAAAAGTTTCACTGGACGTGGTGACCTTTCTAAGCATCAGAGAATCCACACAAGGGAGAAACCGTTCAGGTGCATGGAGTGTGGAAAATGCTTTAGTCAGAGCGCTCACCTTACATTACATGAAAGAACACATACAGGGGAGAAACCGTTTCAGTGTATGGAGTGTGGAAAAGGTTTCACTGGAAGCGGTGACCTTTCTAAGCATCTCAGAATCCACACAAGGGAGAAACCCTTCAAATGCATGGAGTGTGGAAAGGGCTTTACTCAAAGAGCTCACCTTACTTTTCATCAGAGAACATACACAGGGGAGAAACAATTCACATCTTTGGAGTGTGGAAAGAGCTCCAGTGGGAGTGGTGACCTTGCTCAGCATCAAACAACACACACAGGGGAGAAACCGTTTAAATGTACAGAGTGCGGAAAGAGTTTCAGTGGGGGTGATGGCCTTATCAAGCATCAAAAAATCCACACAAAGGAAAAACCGTTCCTATGCAAGGAGTGTGGAAAACGCTTTAGTCAGAATGCTCACCTTACTTTACATCAAAGAACACACACAGGGGAGAAACCATTTAAATGTACGGAGTGTGGAAAAAGCTTCTGTGGGTCTGGTGACCTTACTAAGCATAAAAGAATCCACACAAGGGAAAAACCGTTCCTATGCAAGGAGTGTGGAAAGAGCTTTAGTCAAAGTGCTCACCTTACTTTACATCAAAGAACACACACAGGGGAGAAACCGTTTAAATGTACAGAGTGCGGAAAGAGCTTCAGTGGGAATGGTGACCTTACTAAGCATCAAAGAATCCACACAAAGAAGAAATCATAAAAAACATAGAACCACCTCTTTTTCTATCTTGGGCTGCAGCTCCTTCCTTACATTATTTATTTTGTTGTCGCCAGGTTTGGCACTGCTTTCCTTTGGGGTGAAGACAGAGGCAAAGTTGGTGTTGAGCAGTTCTGCCTTCCCTTAGTCAATAGTATTTCTCAGTCTTCTTCACAGAGAGGACCTAACTTGCTTGTTCTTCCTCTCGCTTTGAACATAGCTGAAGAAACCTTTATTATTATGTTTAGCTCTTTTGCAAGCCTGAGCTTTAGCCCGCCTGACATTCACCCTTCAACTTCCATTTCTTATACATGCCCTTGTTAATTCTCAGCTGATCTCTAAGCCATACCATGTTCCTGTCTCATTTGGATTGTCTGCATTTGGGCATTCAGTATTTCACCTTTAAGAAACTCCCATCCACTTTAGACTCCCTTCCTCTTGGCGCTCCTTAAGGTTTTTGAAATTGGCCTTAAAGCCCAGAGTGCATGTCTGACTACACTCAGCTTTTCCTTGCTTGTGTATCATAAAACCCAGGAGGACATGATCACTTCCTCCCAAGTTTCCCAGTACTTCAACCAGTTCCTCTCTGTTGGTGAGCATCAGGTCCAAGATAAACGATCTCTTTGTTGTTCCTTCCATCTTCTGGGAAATGAAATAGCAAGGCAATGGGTGAATTCTTGGAAGAATTTGAGTTCCAACAGAGTTTGGGGTAGCTCACGTCTCCGATGACTACGATATCTCCTTTTTAAATGTTTGGTCATCTGTTCTCGGAAGGCATCATCCAATTTTTCAGTTTCTTCTACGCGGTGGTTTCTCTCTAAATACAGTTGCAATTGAAATTATTCAACCTCCATTGCAAAACAGGTTCATTATCAAAATTTACAGACTTTCAGCTGTTTGCCATGAGCAAATCAAAGAAAGGCAATTGAAAAAACTCAACACAACGGATGTTTCCAATGGTTTCCCCAAATTCCGCTGACAATGCAACTTACACTGGCTTATGCAGTCTCACTATTAATCAAACACTTAATGTCAAGGATCTTTAGCACTTAGTAGAGCAGCTTTTGGCTCCTATAACCTGCTGCAAATGAGATGCGTAGCCAGACAGCAGCTTCTGGCAGCTGAAGAATCATGAGCAATGGCCTCCAGTTCAGTAATATTCTTGGGTTTGCATGCCTCAACCGCCCTTTTCAGATCCCACCAGAGGTTTTCTATGGCGTTCAAGTCAGGTGACTGTGATGGCCACCTTCCAGGACTTCTGCAACCAAAGTCTTGGTGGGATTTTGCTTAAGCCAAACCCTTCCTGACGGCACTGCTTGCACGGCCAGTGGTTTATTTCCAGTATTTTCCTCTCTCCCTGGGCTACAGCCCTCAATAGGAAGAAATTATGAACACACCACCTGTGCCCAAAAGCCTTTCAGCTTCCTGCCCAGAGTCCCTTGTTAAATGTTGAAGGCTGTGTGTTGCGGATAAGAAGGAACGGGTAGTTGACCAGTGGGCTTTATAAGACTTGGCAACTTCTCTGCCAAATCTTGAATTTATGCACCTGGAAGACGAACACACCTCCCGGGACATTCTGTTTCCTCCACACACTGCTGCCTCTGTCCACCTCAGTAGGGAGACACCAGCAGTGTCTCTTTCACCTCTGCGGAGTGGCAGAATTTTTGTATTCACTGTGGCTGCTCACACATCAGCAAAAACAAGCGGCTTTAATGTTTGATGTTGAGAAAGTATTTGATAAGGTTTCCTGGGATCTGTTGTTTAAAGTTTTAGAATATATGAGTTGTCAGAGCATCCACAATCAGTAGCCTTCGATCTGAGGGGTTTAGATCCAGAATGAAAAATGACTCCTCTAAGTCAATCTCCTCCTCTGTGTGTGGCAGAAATCATTCTGGGCACTGTACCTTTCGAAGCCACCTTGGTGCATTCTGAGGTCAGCAACTGCTGTCCTAGCTCCTCCGGCCCAGAAACTGTGTCCGAGGTGAGGGCGTGGAATTGATTTTGCAGCTCCAATGACTCGGCCTGGCTCCTGACAGTCCTCCTTCTGTGCCACGTACCTCCAGGCATCTTGTCTCCTGCTATGGGTGATCTTCCACCTCTGTAGGGGCACCTATCCAAGTTGGTGTTCCAGCACAGTCCACTCAGCTCTGTCAAGGGACTCCACATCTTGCCCCAAAGCTCGAAGTCTGGCAACTAGGTGGACCTCATCGCTATACCTTCTCTTCCAGCAAGGTGCCACAGGTGTGCTTTTGCACATTTTCCGGCAGGAAGATAAACGTGGCACAGGTCTGGCAAGTCCTTGCAGCAGCTCCCTCGCGTTCCTATGCCCCTGAGGCAGCACTGCAAGCCTCACCACCAAACACCCTCACAAATTCCCCCGTTCACAAGGTCCTGGAAGCTGCAATCAGCTAGGTATATCTGCTGATGGTTTCCAACTCCTTCCAACTTCCTCTCAGCAGTAGCTTCTACCCCTCAGACTGTGGGCTCTAGCGGAGCACACAACCACAAACCGGCTCACCATCAAGCCTCCAAACAGCTCAAACAACCATCTGTTTTGTTTTGTTTCATTAACCTATTTTATTAAAGATTTATTGGTTTACAAAAGTATGTGCAATGTCTCTTTTTTCAAGATCCATTTTCTACAGATCAGTTTCATTTGTGGAGACATTAGTGTTGCATTAGGAAGAAAAGGGAAAGGTGCAGGGGGCATGGTAAGTGGGGGTGGGGTCGGGTGGCAATGCTTCTACTTAATGTATATGTGGGTTTTTGTGTCGGCGTCACTTGTGCAGGATATCTTTACCATTCGCTTGTGTTCCTTTGGTGGTGAGAGGTTGGAGTTGGCTTAGCGTATGGTTGTGTGTGATTGGCTGTGGTCAACTTTGTTTTCATGTGTGAGTGGGGTGGGCGGGTGTTTTTGAATCAGGTTAACCATATTGATTCGTATGCTGTTGGCGGATTCTTGTCATTGTCTTGTTGGGCTCTGTATGCGATAAAGGGGAGCCATACCGGGGTGACGGCGTCTTCTTCCATTTGTCCCTGTGTCAGGTTCAGTTTATTGGTTAGTTTTTCTAATAAGGCTGTTTCCCATACTATATAGTACCATTGGTCCATGCTTATTCCTGACAGGTCTCTCCAGTGTCTGGCTATGATGTTTCTGACTGCTGAGAGTAGGTGGGTGTGATGGTTTGTGTATGCTCTTCGCAATAAGCACCCTCTGCTCATTCAGAGAGATATTTACAGTTCTTTATTTTACATATGTACAAGCAGCACAGTACAATCATGCATCTGAATCGTCCGGTTCAGATTTGGGGAGTGGTCTTCTCCTGCTTCTCCTCCAATAGAAAAGGCGGGGGAACTTCATGGGACGTCTCTGATCCCTGCGCTTTAACCTTCTCCTTTGCATAGGCTCTCAGTCTGTTCCTGAGCTCCCTGTGCAGTGCTGGGGCTCTGCTTCAGCATCAGGGAGCCTTCCCGCCTCCTGGCTCTCTCCCTCTTCCCCTTCCGTCACTTCCTTTCTGTCTCCTTCTGACTGTTCCCGCTCTGACTCTATACCCCCAACTCAAAGGCGTTCCTTCGCAGTCCCGTGACAGTGGGTTGTGAGCTCTTTATGATGTGAGTGGGCATTATTGTCTTGGAAGATGTTTAGTAGGGTGACTTCTAATACTTGCTTAGCTATTTTGCATATTTCTTATATGATCGTTGTCCAGAATAGTTGGATTTGGGGCATTCCCACCAAAGATGCCAGCTCTCTCTCTTCAGTCTCCTCCACCAATCCCTCTCAAATGTCCCTGTTTAAAATTCCAATGCAAATACTAGGAAGGGACATGGGTAGCGCTGTGGTTTAAACCACTGTGCCGTGACGGGGTGAGCTCCCGTTGTTTGGTCCCAGCTCCTGACCACCTAGCAGTTCAAAAGCACGCCAAAGTGCCAGAAGTGGCTCAGTCATGCTGGCCACATGACCCAGAAAAACTGTCTGAGAACAAACGCCGGCCCCCTTGGCTTGTAAAGCGAGATGAGTCGTTTAACCCCAGAGTCGTTTAACTGTCTTAACTGGACGTAACTGTCAGGGGTCCCTTTACCTTTATAGTAGGAAAGTGCTCTGTTCAGAACAGCACCTTTACTTTTTATACCCCACCCTTCTGGCTGGGTGTCCCCAGCCACTCTGGGAGGTTCCCATCAGAATATTAAAAATACGCTAAAACATCAAACATTAAAAACTTCCCTAAACAGGGCTGCCTTCAGATGTCTTCTAAAAGTCAGATAGTTGTTTATTTCCTTGACATCTGATGGGAGGACGTTTCACAGGGCGGGCACCACTACCGAGAAGGCCCTCTGCCTAGTTCCCTGTAGCTTCACTTATCGCAGGGAGGGAACCGCCAGAAGGCCCTCTGAGCTGAACCTCAGTGTCCGGGCTGAACGATGAGGGTGGAGACGCTCCTTCAGGTATACTGGACCGAGGCCGTTTAGGGCTTTAAAGGTCAGCACCAACACTTTGAATTGTGCTTGGAAACATACTGGGAGCCAGGGATGATCCTTTATGACTGGTGTTATATGGTCTCGGCAGCCACTCCCATTCCCCAGTCTAGTTGTCGCATTCTGGATTAGTCGTAGTTTCCAGGTCGCCTTCAAAGGTAGCCCCATGGAGAGCGCATTGCAGTAGTCCAAGCTGGAGATAACCAGAGCATGCACCACTCTGGCAAGACAGAGAAGATATAGGGAAGTAATAGTGCCACTGTATTCTGCTCTGGTCAGACCTCACCTGGAGTACTGTGTCCTGTTCTGGGCACCACAGTTCAAGAAGGACACTGACAAACTGGAACGTGTCCAGAGGAGGGCAACCAAAATGGTCAAAGGCCTGGAAACGATGCCATATGAGGAACGGCTAAGGGAGCTGGGCATGTTTAGCCTGGAGAAGAGGAGGTTAAGGGGTGATATGATAGCCATATTCAAATATATAAAAGGATGTCACATAGAGGAGGGAGAAAGGTTGTTTTCTGCTGCTCCAGAGAAGCGGACACGGAGCAATGGATCCAAACTACAAGAAAGAAGATTCCACCTAAACATTAGGAAGAACTTCCTGACAGTAAGAGCTGTTTGACAGTGGAATTTGCTGCCAAGGAGTGTGGTGGAGTCTCCTTCTTTGGAGGTCTTTAAGCAGAGGCTTGACAACCATATGTCAGGAGTGCTCTGATGGTGTTTTCCTGCTTGGCAGGGGGTTGGACTCGATGGCCCTTGTGGTCTATTCCAACTCTACGATTCTATGATTCTGTTTCTAAGATGTTTGGCACCAGCTTGGCTACAGGAGTTTCTGGAAGAAAGCATACGAGGCATCATCTTACGAACTCCACTCTGGATTTGTGTAGCCTTTTCCTCTCCTGAAGATACCCTGCAAGGCAGTGGAGGTTAAGGATCAGACTTTTCCTTCTAGATGGGCTCACTTTTCCAGCTGGGTGAGCCCCATCTGCCCCTCACTTCCCTCTGCAATAGAAAGCGCCTTTTCAACTGCTGGACCCACTCGTGATCCTGTCTGTTCAATCTACCAGAGCCCGTCTTCGCATGCAGGGAAAGTCCCTAACTCACCATGGGTTTGAGACCCATCAGCTACCCTCACCTGGTTTAGCCAGCCAGTCGAAGCCGTTTCGCAGGGTGTGACTGCTGTCGCCTGCTGGCAGTTTCTAGGAGCCACAGGTGAGAGCTGAGTGCAAGCTGGGGACCAAAATTGGACCAACTACCTGAGAAGGAGCATGAGTGTCCCCCACCAGAGGTACCACCCCATACACCCCCTTTTTAACATACCCCAAATATCAGTATTCTGGTGTATGCAGATCATAGAATCTTAGAACCGGAAGGGACCCAGCGGTCATCTAGTCCAACCCTCTGCAATGCAAGAATTTCAGCTAAAGCATCCATGACAGATGGCCATCCAACCTCTGCTTAAAAACCTCCAAGGAAGGAGAGTCTACCCGCTCTTGTGGAAGCCCATTCCGCTGCTGAACAGCTCTTAATGTCAGAAAGTCCTACCCTCTAGAGCAGGAGAAAACAAGTACGTTCCCTCTTCCATGTGACAGCCCTTAAGATATTTGAAAATGGCTATTATCTCTCAGCCTCCTCTTTTCCAGGCTAAATATACCCAGCTCCTTCAACTGTTCCTCATAAGGCTTTGTTTCCAGACCTTTGATCATCTTGGTTGCCCTCCTATGCACATGTTCCAGCTTGTCAACATCCTTCTTAAACTGTGGTGCCCAGAATTGGACAAAGTATTCCAGGTGTGGTCTGACGAAGGCAGAATAGAGTAGTACTATTACTTCCTTTAATCTGGACACTAGGCTTCTGTTGATGCAGCCTAGAATAGTGTGTTAAGCTTGTGGTCCACCAAGACCTCAGGGGTGTCCTAACTTTTTTCAAAGACGGCCAGAGAGAGATTTTTTTAGGATTTTACCCCAGAAAATAAACTTCCACAGGGGCTGGATTAAACTGACCAGTGGGCCAGATTAGGCCCCTGAAACGGACTTTGGACATGCCTGCCCTAGATCCTTTTCACATGTACTGCTAGTAAGCCAAGTATCCACCATCCTAGATGTTTGCATCTGGTTCTTCCTGCCTAAGTGTAGCACCTTATATTTGTCCCTACTGAAATTCATAATCTGGTGTTTCTCTCCCTCCCGCGTCTGGGTCTTCAAAAATCTATTGAACGTGCTTAGTGTGTATTGCAAGCAGGGATGTTTATCCATAAACTAAGACCAATATTGTGGTTTTTGGTAGGCATACATGGTTCTTAGACCAGCAAGCCATAGAACAAACCAAACCCGCATTTTTAGATATCTGGATGTTCTTATTAGTGGAAACCCTTTCATGGAAATGACATATGAAACAGTAAAATCTAAAGCACTGAAAACTATAGGGGCATTGATGGAATTTTATAGGGAAGTCAACCGACTACTTTTTCAGTATTTCCCTCCCCACTGGATACTTCACCTTTTCTTTCCCTTTGTTGTTTTTCTGTGGGATTGAGCGTTCATAAGTATCAGGACCCTGAAGAGTACATGATTTATTCTCTGACTTGTTTCTCTCTGTCCTTATCAGTCCCTTTCTATTCCCGGACGCCTCTTTTCCTGGTTTCTGCTTGCCTGTTTCTGATGACACCACGGACAACTTTTTCTCCTGTCCTTTGTCTGTTTGGGGGAAAGAAGGAAGAAGGGAAATGTGTTAGGAGTTCAATAATCTGATGAGGGGTCAAAACCAACGACCTGCTTCTCTTCATTCATCACCTCTGGAGTTCTCCTCTTTTCTATTTTCACGCCCTATGGAAACCTCTGAAGACAAAAATACAGTTTTCCAGGAGGCAGGAAACTGGTTCAAATGGCAGTTTGCAAATCTGCAGAGTGCCAGGGCCAGGAGTCCACTTTGCCTGCTGAACAGCAGCCTGAAAGAAGAGGAGTGACTCCACCTTCAGCTGACCAGCCTTCAAGGACTCAGAGGAGAAGGCACTTATGAGAAGCAGCTGGCTTCATCCTTCTTAAGCAGAACTGTTGCAAGGAGATAAGGAATACCTGTTACCCATTCAAGATAGGCTCAAGAATCGACGGACACAGCAGTGGAGAAAAAGAAAGTAAAAAATTATTGCTGAGCAATAAAGACCCAGAGGAATGATTTCCAGAGCCCTAGGGGCTTTAGGTTTATATACCTTATTCCAAACAGCATTAAACATTACATATTCATATACTGCAGCAAAATCAAACCAATGAACATGGGTGCAGCCCTTCCTCTGTCCATGTAAAGATTACTTCTGCTTTTCCATATACCGGTATGCGCATAAGAAATAACGGTCTTTACCCTATTTTCAGCAAACTAGCAAAAAGAGGGGGAAAACCCTTTGGCAGTTGAAGCCAAAATCCCCCCTTCTGTTATCAGGCAGATGCCTTATGTTATGTGGCAAACATCCAATTTCCTGTTTCTCAGGTCGGCGTGACCGTCTCGTGCTATTTTCGTGAGCCTAAGAAACAGCCTGAGGAATGTTCCCTACAGAATGCAGACGTAGCTAAATATTTAGCTGCTTTCTGCAAGCACAGCAACAGGGCAGAGAGAGACTTTGATTCTTAAGATTTTAGGCACTTCTAGCATTAACAATTAAGCGTTGTTAGGGTACATGGTTATACATGAGGCATAAAGGTAAAGCTCTTCCAGATGGCCTTGCCACACAGCATCAAGCAGCAGTCAGATGCTGGAAACAACGCTTATAGTTTCTGGCCCTACCTTGCTGCTTCCTGCTCGCTTTGACCCTTATCACTATGACCATTGGATTCCATGACCCCTGGACCATCTGACCATGTGGATTGCTGTTCGTCTGGTCTGGACCTGACTTTGGATGCTAGCACCTCAGAGACTCGTCAAGTTGGCTGGTCTCACTCCACAGAGCTCTGAACATTGCGGCTCAGCAATGAGACTACTGGAAGGTGCAGATTTTGACAGCTGCGTGCCCCTGCTCCGCTGAGGCCAATCCTGAGGAAATGTTCTCCGCCCCCTAGTAGCTGGCCAGAGAGAAAAGCCCAGCCTTGGGACGCGGGTCTAAACCACTGAGCCTAGGGGTTGCCAATTGGAAGGTCGGCAGTTCGAATCCCAGCAACGGGATGAGCTCCCATTGTTCGGTCCCAGCTCCTGCCCACTTAGCAGTTCAAAAGCACATCAAGTGCAAGCAGATAAATAGGTACTGCTCTGGCGGGAAGGTAAACGGCATTTCCGTGTGCTGCTCTGATTCGCCAGAAGCGGCTTAATCATGCTGGCCACATGACCTGGAAGTTGTCTATGGACAAATGTCGGCTCCCTCGGCCTGTAAAGTGAGATAAGCGCGCAACCCGAGTCCGCATCTTGAAAGACCTACATTGGCTCCCAGTATGTTTCTGAGCACAATTCAAAGTGTTGGTGTTGACCTTCAAAGCCCTAAACAGCCTCAGCCTAGTATACCTGAAGGAGCATTTCCATCCCCATTGTTCATTCAGGGCGCTGAGGTCCAGCGCTGAGGGCCTTCTGGCAGTTCCCTCATTGCGAGAAGCCAAGTTACAGGGAACCAGGCAGAGGGCCTTCTTGGTAGTGGCACCCGCCCTGTTGAACACCCCCACCAGATGTCACAGAGATAAACAACTACGTGACATTCAGAAGACATCTGAAGGCAGCCCTGTTCAGGGAAGTTTTTAATGTGTGACATCTTAGTGTATTTTTAGTCTTTGTTGGAAGCCGCCCAGAGTTGCTGTGGAAACCCAGCCAGATGGGCGAGGTACAAATAAATTATTGTTGTTGTTGTTATTAAACTACAGTTCCCAGGGTTCTTTGGCAGATGCCAGGACAGCCAAGTAGAATGGGGGGTGGGGGAGATACAACAGTACTTTACAATATACAAAAGTCAAAACGCTGAAACAGATTAAAACTAAACCATTCTCCGAAGCACCTAGGTAGGCCGATAATGCCCAGGTTGCAGGTTCGATCCCCGCAAGAGACAACTGCAAATTTCTGTTTTGCAGAGGGTTGATCCACAGGGGTGGGGTGGGGGTGTCAAGAAGAGCCTATCATGAAGCGTGGATACCTAGGAAGGGCGGGGGGTCTCTTCGCCGTCCTTTTGTTTTTGCTCGTCCTTGGTCGGGGGTGGGAAGGAGCTTGTTTTCCTTCTGTCACCTAGTTCAACTACGGCCATTTCCCTCCGCAACAAGGCTCGTCCTCCCGCTCATCCCGTGCAGGAAACTGGAGAGGGGGCGGGCGTCAAACAATTTTGTGCAATGCAAAAAAATAAGAATTGTGCAATGCAAAAAAAATGTTGCGCAATGCAAAAAAAGGCAACTTTTTAGTTGCATCTACATTGCATGGATCAGATCCCCCATCCCGCCTCCCCACCATTATCACCCCCCAAAAAAAACCTGCGCCTTTACCTCTTTGCCCTCCCCAGGAGCCAGCCTCCCCCTCAGTCCAAGGGATCTGACCTCGCGGGTTTCCCCTACCAGGAAAATGAGTGGAGGGGCATCCTCTGAAATCTCTCCTCCCCACTCTTAGAGGACCCATCCCCTACTCTCCCCCCCCCCCCGCTTGGAAACAGCCTCCGAACAGCGCTCCCTGCAGCTTTGAGAACCATGGCAGCGACACTTCGGGTTCCCTTTCGAACGCGGCGGCCCATAGAGCTACGAATGCAGAGGCAGCTTGTGATCTGCGGGTGGGAGCAGACAGTGGTGGCGCCACCGGTTTCTGCTCGCAGGGAGAGGGAGATCTTCACCCTTCTCTCTGGCTCAATGACCTCCGGCTACTCGAGAGGCGGGGAGGGGTCTTGACCCCCTCTTTCCCCGGAAGAGGAGCAGGCCTGGAGAGGAGCAGGAAGAAGGGAAAGAGGTGCAACACGTTTGGGGGGTAATTTTGCATTGCTGGGAGGGAAGGGGTTTTTTTTTGGGGGGGGGAGAATGGGAGAAAAGCAGGGAGGAGCGCCCCCCTCCCCCCGGGACGTTGATCCGGGCCACCCAGCTGAAAAGTGTGGTCTCTCCACCCCACCCAGAGGAGCGAGGTCCTAGGAGGGGGGAGGTCCCTTGGATGCCCCCCATAAAATATTTGAGGGGACCGCTACCACCAACCCAAGTGGATGGGCATTGCCATTCAAATGGCAGTGGGGGTGTGTGTGAGCCGTGTCATGTGATTGATTGTGCAAAGTGGGGCTTGCCTGCTCTATCATCTATCTATCTATCTATCTATCTATCATCATCTGTCTGTCTCAATCCATGTATGAACAGAGGAATGGATTCTGAGACTTCCAAATGTCCTTGCATTTGGGGCAGGGATATGAAATGGTTTAGGGACTTAAAAGCCTTCTAAATAGTCTCAAGGCTGGATGAATCAAATAAATGCCCCGTGTCCAGCTCACTAGGGAAAGAACATGCATCCCACCCCCCCACCAGCAGGTTTTGATGCTTTTTCTTTCTGAGAAGGGGATATTCTCCAGGTACCCTCTTGGGAGTTTGTTGGAAGGGGAGATCAAAGCCTCCGTGTGTGTGGGGGGGGGATCAGGACTCTCTTGCAGGATTGGCTCAGCTCAGGGATGCTGAGGGTCTTTCTCTGCTGGGGCTGCCAGCCTCATTCTTGTCCCCCCTCCTCCCCTGCCTTAAAAACATCCAGATTGACAGGGGAAATTAGTGTTAAAGGGGTTCTAAAGCCCACCACTTGGGCAGTGCTCACACAACGACCCTGTAAGGTGGGCCAGGATGATAAGCAGAGCAAAATGTAGTGGTTGGAACAGGAGAGGGGAGCGTTCTTCAGCCAGAGGGCCACATTCGCTCCCTTAGCAGCCTTCCAGGGGCCACTTCCATTGGTGGGTGGGGCCAGAGACAAAAGTGGGTGGAGTTAGGGATGTGACTGAGCTTTGTCCAGTAGGTACAGTGGTACCTCGGGTTAAGTACTTAATTCGTTCTGGAGGTATGTTCTTAACCTGAAGCACCACTTTAGCTAATGGGGCCTCCCGCTGCTGCCGCGTGATTTTTGTTCTCATCCTGAAGCAAAGTTCTTAACCTGAGGTACTATTTCTGGGTTAGCGGAGTCTGTAACCTGAAGTGTATGTAAACTGAATCGTATGTAACCCGAGGTACCACTGTATTCACACAATCGTATGTAACCCGAGGTACCATTCAAAGGATTTTTTCCGGCCACGTAAATTCTGTCAGCAAGGACTCAGGGCAGTGATGGAGAGGGTGTTTGGCTTGGGGAGATTCCTGAGTGCTGGATGGGGAGGATGCGAAGGCTGGATTTTGGCCTAGGGTGCCAATATCACCAAACTTCGTATCTCCTTCCCCCAGTCCTAGTTTGACCTAGTTGGAGTGCTCTCAAGCCTCCCACCTCACACGCCAGCTTGTATGGAGCTTCTGCAACCTGACTCTCTCCAAATACCAGTTTTCTTCCAACCAGAGATGGGCAATAATTTACGAGGTTGCTTTTTTCTTTATTAAAAATGTTTGCAAAGGTCAGAAAATGGTTTGCCAGATAGCTGTTTGAAGGAAACAAAAAGCGAGGTCTATAGATATATGAGTGGGCCTCATCAATAGGAGTATAGCATCTAGATCAAGGGAAGTAATAGTGCCACTGTATTCTGCTCTGGTCAGACCTCACCTGGAGTACTGTGTCCAGTTCTGGGCACCACAGTTCAAGAAGGACACTGACAAACTGGAACGTTTCCAGAGGAGGGCAACCAAAATGGTCAAAGGCCTGGAAACGATGCCTTATGAGGAAGGGCTAAGGGAGCTGGGCATGTTTAGCCTGGAGAAGAGGAGGTTAAGGGGTGATATGATAGCCATGTTCAAATATATAAAAGGATGTCACATAGAGGAGGGAGAAAGGTTGTTTTCTGCTGCTCCAGAGAAGCGGACACGGAGCAATGGATCCAAACTACAAGAAAGAAGATTCCACCTAAACATTAGGAAGAACTTCCTGACAGTAAGAGCTGTTTGACAGTGGAATTTGCTGCCAAGGAGTGTGGTGGAGTCTCCTTCTTTGGAGGTCTTTAAGCAGAGGCTTGACAACCATATGTCAGGAGTGCTCTGATGGTGTTTCCTGCTTGGCAGGGGGTTGGACTCGATGGCCCTTGTGGTCTCTTCCAACTCTATGATTCTATGAGTGTCTGGAAGAGGTTGGAGGATGGATGGCAGCTAACAGATTGAGGTTGAATCCTGACAAGACTGATGTACTGTTTGTGGGTGGACAGGGTGGGCAGGTGTGGGGGAATCCCTGGTCTTGAGGGGGGTAACCGTGCCTCTGAAGGACCAGGTGTGCAGTCTGGGAGCAATTTTGGCTCACAGCTGTCCATGGAGGTGCAGGTCAAAATCTGTGTCCAGGGCAGTTATCTACCATCTCCATCTGGTATGCAGGCTGAAACCCTACCTTCCCACAGACTGTGTCCACAGAGTGGTGCATGCCCTGGTTATCTTCCGCTTAGACTACTGAAATGCACTCTACGTGGGGCTACTTTTGAAAGTGGCTTGGAAACCACAACTAATCTAGAATGCAGCAATTAGACTGGTGACTGGGAGTGGTCGCCAGGACCATATAACACCGGTCTTGAAAGACCTACATTGGCTCCCAGTACGTTTCCGAGCACAATTCAAAGTGTTGGTGCTGACCTTTAAAGCCCTAAACGGCCCTGTAGGCCTGAAGGAGCATCTCCACCCCCATCATTCAGCCCGGACACTGAGGTCCAGCTCCAAGGGCCTTCTGCTGGTTCCCTTAACTGCGAGAAGTGAGGTTGCACGGAACCATGCAGAGGGCCTTCTTGGTAGTGGCACCCGCCCTGTGGAATGCCCTCCCATCAGATGTCAAGGGAATTAACAACTACAGTGGTGCCTCTGGTTGCGAACGGGATGTGTTCCGGAGGCCCGTCCGCAACATGAAAAGAGCGCAACCTGCAGCACGCGCGGCTTGTGATTTGGTGCTTAAGCGCGATTTAGCGCTTATGCACATGCACGAGCAGCGAAACCCAGAAGTATCCCTTTCTGGTACTTCCGGGTCACCGCGGGACGTAACCTGAAAGAACATAACATGAAGCAAACGTAACATGAGATATGACTGTATCTGACTTTTAGAAGACATCTGAACGCAGCCCTGTTTAGGGAAATTTTTAATGTCTAATGTTTTACCGTTTTTATGTGTTGTAAGCTGCCCAGAGTGGCTGGGGAAACCCAGCCAAATGGGCAGAGTATTATTATTATTAATAATAATAATAATAATTAAGAATAACCTTTCTTTATGTGTTTTTGAATTTGATCCTAAAACTTTACTAACTTGTGTATCTGGATGAACATATGCTGAATGTCCCCTAAAGGCTGAGACAGCTTATAATGCTATAAACCTCCTGTACACAGGATGACATGTTCCCTGTTTCTCTCTCCTGCAGACCCTGCAATGGCACCACTTAAGAGCTGCTCCCTGCTTTGAAGTACGTCGTGACAACAGCTGAGAGAGTCCCAGAAGTGGCCCAGTTTACGCCTCTTCCAAATCGCCTACAGCCAGTGCAATGGCCTCAGAGGCACCGTTTGGACCATCTCTTCCTAAAGGTGGAATGGAAAGAGGAGCCAGGCAGCTTCCTCAGGTAGGGAAAGAGCAACGGGAGCAGGGAGGAGGGAAGAGGCACAGATGGGACCACCCAGCCTCCCTCTGTGTTGAGTGGGGATGATGGGGATCTAAGAGCAGCTCTGTCTTCTTCCTCTTCTTCTTCCAGGCCCTCTTGACCTTTGAGGAGGTGGCTGTGTTTTTCACGGAGGAGGAGTGGGCTCTGCTGGATCCTGACCAACGAGCTCTGCACACGGAAGTCATGGAGGAGAATTATGAGATGGTGGCCTCTCTAGGTAAGGATGCATTTTTTTATTCCTCTTGGCTGTTAGACGTTGGAGGCGTGAATCTGCTGTTTGTGCCATTTAATCATGCAGTGTAGGAAGAACATACGAATATGTTGGATCAGGCCAGTGCAGTGGTCCATTTGGCCTGCTTCCTGTTTTCATAGCGCCCAACAGATGTCTGTGGGAAACCCACAAGCAGGATATGAGCCCAAGAGCAACTTTCCCCTCGCCTCTTGACTGGTCCAACTCCTCAATGCAGGAATACGCAGCTGTCCCGTTCAGGGATCGAACCTGCAAGCTTGCCGTTATCAGCTCCATTCTCTAACCAACTGAGCTATCCTGGTTGTCGGGTACGGAAGCTGATGAAGGCACAAGTTACATTTTTTGATATAAGATCAGCAATTTAAGTTCTTCGTCAACTCTTGGAATGGATGCCCACTGGATCTAGCGATCTTTTTCATTTATTTGTTTTTATTTTTTAAAACATCATTTTAAATTACATTTGAGTGTAGATTGCTCTCAACTAGGGCCAGGGCCTTTTCAGCATTGGCCCCGATGTGGTGGAACACTCTGTCACAAGAGACTAGGGCCCTGTGGGATTTGACATCTTTCTGCAGGGCCTGCAAGACGGAGCTGTTCTGCCTGGCCTTCGGCTTAGACTCACTCTGACCCCTTATATGTGATTTGGTATATAAATTTTCCCTTGGCTTTTTTGCTAGCCCAAGTAGGACCAGCATGGATAGCTGGCTCGGGTGAATATCTGAAGGTTCCTCCCTTTATGGTCTTGATTTATGGGCTACTACTAAAATGAGGCTGCATTTTAAGCTGTATTTTAATTAACTGTTTGGTTGTTGTTGTTGTTTGTTTTTGTTTTTTCTATTACGTTTTATTGTAATTCATCTTTGGTGTTAGTTGCCCTGAGCCCAGCCGGGGAGGGTGGGGTATAAATAAAAATTTATTATTATTAAATTTATTATTGTTTTATAAAAAAAATATGATCGATACATTCATTTGACTATGCTGGCATCTATTTTGAAGTGTTGCTCAGAGAAAAATAAGGAGCCCCGTTAATCTTTGAGCTGATCAGGTGCTCTGATGAAAAATGAGATAGCAAGGTCCAGGAGAGAATAATACATGGTAAATGAATCCGCCACAGAAATTCCAAGCCGTTGCATGTTGGCCATGTGCGTAAGCTTCTTGTCTAGCACTGAGCAGGGTATTAACTGCTCAGAACACTCTCGAAGAAGCACAATATGGCCCCATGCTGGTTTCAGCTGCCTCCAGAACAGAGGTGTTGACTGACAGCTAAAATGGGCAGTACCTTTATCTTCCAGCAGTGCAACACTGCCACACACATGGCCATGACAAAGACAGCTGACCACCCCTTGAGTTTTATTTTATTAGGCCCAGAACTTCATATCTCACTATCCGCCTTACTTCTCTAGACTTTGTCTCCTGCAAAGATTAATTCAGGTCCTGGAATTTGCCCTATTTCCTCTGTTGTGATATAATTTGTTTGGCTTTTCTGCAATCTCCTTTTCCTTCCTCACAACTCCTTTGACTCTCTTGCCACCCAAGTTTCCAGCTGCCTCCCTAGACAGTTTCCTGCTAGTGATATTTAAATAACTTAAATCATATTTAAATCACTTCTTGTCGTTGGCCTTGGTATGTTTCTAGCAATGCGTTCCTCAGTGTCTTTTCTAGCATCCCTTTCTGTCTGTTAGCACCTTTTCTTGCCAGAGTTTGTATTCCTTTTTGTTCTCTTAATTTGGACAAGATTTCAGTTTTTCGAAGGAAACCTTCTAGTCTCTCGCTGCTTCTCTGTCTCTGCTGATTAACCGTCCCAGTGTCCTCTTTGCTGTCCTGGTACCTTTCCTGATCTACAGTATAAAATCAAGTGGAATGATTTACCAACTTCCTTTTTACCAGCCTCCTCATTTGGGGGAAGTTTTCTCTTCTGAAATCAAACCATGTTGCATTTCCCTGGTATCGACCATTTATACTTGCATTTCAAGTAATTAACCAGTCTTCCTTTATTCTTCTTGTGCGTGTGAACTTCTTATGGGCATAATGTTACTGGGTAAATACATAATACATTATAAACCCACACTTTGTAATAGCAGGGACCACACAGGCGCCTCCTAGTCATGTGGTGCATATTTATAGCATCTCAATGCATAATCCCTTTCCTTGGCTTTGAACTCGTGGATACGGATCGATTAGAAATGGCTGGATATTTTGTGACCACAGGTGTCTAACATTGTCTCTTTCCTTGAAAGAATCAGACCTCCGTTCCTGTTGGGAAGAAGGACACGATCCATTTCTCCAGGATCTCAAAGAAGGGGAGACCTCAGCAGGTAGGTACTTAGTTGTGTTCTGGGGTTCTTTTTCTTCTGGAAAGAGAGGAAGGAGAGGTTTGTTGCCTTTATGTCTTGCTTCTGGGTTCCTGTCCGCATCTACTTGGCCCATGTAGGGCTCTTGGAATAGCCCACAAGGACAAATGTGGACCCCAGAGCTTCTCCAGCTAGTCCTTGGGACTGTGCCCCCCTCACTACATGACACATATCCCTTGATAACCTCAGATTCAGCTGGGCATGGAAAGGAGAAGGGGGAGATGCTTGAAAATGTAAAATCAGAGTAGCAGAGAAATGGGCCCGATTCAAAGTGTCTGCTTCTACCTTGCAATTTGAATGACCTTTTCTTTTTCTCCTTCTCCTCCGAAAAGGTAACGGGCAAAACAGGGAGAATAACAAGGAGCCATCCATGGTGTCATCAGAAAATGTAGAGCAAGAAGCATGGAAAGAGACTTTTGTAGATCAAGGAGCACCCCAAAAGCATGTAGGAAACATGTTGAAGAGTGGGGGAATTAAATCCTTGGCTACTGAGGACATCGATGTCCATGTACCCCTGAGTTCACAGGAAGATCACACAGGAAACACTGGGAAAGCATGTCCAGAACGCAGCAAACTATATAGTCACCCAACTCAATTTAATGTACGTTACAACATCCACACAGGAGAGAATCCACTGAAATGTTTGAAGTGTGGAAAGAGCTTCAGTCATAGTAAAACTCTTACTCAACATCAAAGAACTCACACAGGGGAGAAACCGTTCAAATGCCTAGAGTGTGGAAAGAGCTTCAGTCGCAGTGGAACTCTTACTCAGCATCAAACAACGCACACAGGGGAGAAGCCATTTAAATGCAGAGAGTGTGGAAAAAACTTCAGTGGCATTAGTAACCTTACTAAGCATCTAAAAACCCACACAGGGAAGAAGCCATATAAATGCAAGGAGTGTGGGAAGAGCTTCGCTCATAGGAACACCCTTACTTTACATCAAAGAACCCACACAGGGGAGAAACCGTTTAACTGCATGGAGTGTGGAAAGAACTTCACTCATAAGAATACCCTTACTTTACATCAAAGAACCCACACGGGGGAGAAACCGTTTAAATGTATGGTGTGCGGAAAGAGTTTCAGACATGGTGGAAGCCTTAAGTTACATTACACAACGCACACAGTGGAGAAACCATTTAAATGCAAGGAGTGTGGAAAGTGCTTTAGTTGGAGAGGTTACCTTTATTCACATCGAAGAACCCATACAGGAGAGAAACCTTACACATGTATCGAGTGTGGAAAGAGCTTTACCCAGAGTGGAAACCTTACTGCACATCAAAGAATCCACACAGGGGAGAAACCATTTAAATGTATGGAGTGTGGAAAGAGCTTTTGTGGGAAAGGTGACCTTACTCAACATCAAAGAACGCACACCGGGGAGAAACCATTTAAATGTATGGAGTGTGGAAAGTGTTTCAGTAGCAGTGGGTATCTTAATGTACATCAAAGTACACACACAGGGAACAAACCATATGTGTGCATAGAGTGTGGAAAGAGTTTCAGCACAAGTGGAAACCTTAGATTCCATCAACAAACCCACACAGGGGAGAAACCATTTAAATGCATGCAGTGTGGAAAGGGTTTCAGTCAGAGCGGAAGACTTATTGCACATCAAATCACCCACACAGCGGAGAAACCATTTAAATGTATGGAGTGTGGAAAGAGCTTTTGCCAGAAAGGAAGCCTTATCACACATCAAAGAACCCATACTGGGGAGAAGCCATTTAAATGTATGGAGTGTGGAAAGGGATTTAGCCAGAAGGGAAGACTTACTGCACATCAAATAACCCACACAGGGGAGAAACCATTTAAATGTATGGAGTGTGGAAAGAGTTTTAGTCAGAGTGGAAACCTTGCTTCACATCAGATAACCCATACAGGAGCAAAACCTCACAGATGTATGGTGTGTGGAAAGAGTTTTGGTTCAAGGCATAACCTTACTGTGCATGACAGAATCCATACCAGTGAGAAACTACTGAAATGTATGGAGTGTGGAATGACCTTTAGCCAGAGCAGAAGCCTTATTGCACATCAAAGAACCCACACGGGGGAGAAACCATTTAAATGTATGGAGTGTGGAAAGAGCTTCAGTCGCAATTACTATCTTACTTTGCATCAAAGAACCCATAGAGGAGAGACACCATATGAATGCATGGAGTGTGGAAAGAGCTTCTGTGATAGGGGGAGCCTGAAATCACATCAAAGAATCCACACTGGGGAGAAGCCATTTAAATGCATGGCATGTGGCAAGAAGTTCCCTAGGAGTAGTGCCCTTACTGTGCATCAAAGAATCCACACAGGGGAGAAACCATTTCAATGCAGAGAGTGTGGAAAGAGCTTCCGTAGGACTAGTGACCTTACTGTGCATCAAAGAACCCATACAGGGGAGACACCCTACAAATGCATGGAGTGTGGAAAGAACTTCTGTGATAGGGGAAGCCTCAAATCACATCAAAGAATCCACACAGGGGAGAAACCGTTTAAATGCATGGAGTGTGGGAAGAACTTTCGTAGGACTTGTGACCTTACTGTGCATCGAAGAATGCACACAGGGGAGAAACCCTTTAAATGCATGGAGTGTGGAAAGAGCTTCAGTCAGGGAAATAGACTTACTTTACATCAAAGAATCCACACGGGAGAAAAACCCTTTAAATGCATGGAATGTGGAAAGAACTTCAGTCAGAGAAGTAAACTCACTTTACATCAAAGAATCCACACAGGGGACAAACCATTTAAGTGCATGGAGTGTGGAAAATGCTTCACTCAGAGGAGTAAACTTACTTTACATCAGAAAATCCACACAGGAGAAAAACCATTTTCATGTAAGGAGTGTGGGAAATGCTTCAGTCAGAAGAGTAATCTTACTTTACATCAAAGAACCCACAGTGGGGAAAAACCATTTAAATGTATGGAGTGTGGAAAGTGCTTCAGTCAGAGGAGTAATCTTACTTTACATCAAAGAACCCACAGCGGGGAGAAACCATTTAAATGTATGGAGTGTGGAAAGGGCTTCAGTCAAAGGAGTAATCTTACTTTACATCAAAGAACCCACACAGTGGAGAATTCGCATTAATGTATGGAGTATTGAAAGAGGTTCAGTTGTTCTTACCCTCTTATTTTACATCAAATAATCCACACTGGGGAGCCACATTTACACATGGAGTGTGGAAAGAACTTCAGCTGGGAGAGGTGACCTTACTAAGCATCAAAGAACCCACACAGGATAGAAGCCATTTAAATGCATGGCATGTGGAAAGAACCTCTCTAAGCCTCAGATCCCATCGACCAATCCAACCGGGGAGAAACTCTTTAAATGTATGGCACATCAAAAGAGTTTCAGACATAGTGGAAGCCTTAACTTCTATCCAAAACCCATGCTGGGGAGAAATTCATGAGTGTGGAAGGAACCATGATATGGGAAGTCTCAAATCACACCACAAAACCCACGCCATGGAGAAACCCTCTAAGTGAATGGAATAGGAAAAGAGCTGCAATGGGAGCAGGAAACCTTACTGTACATGGAAGAACCAAGGGAGGCATGAAACTACAGTGTAGAAACAAGAACTTTGGGGCAGCAGGACATGTATTGACTAGAGTCTCCTTCATCAGATGCTGCGTAGAGAGTATGCTTTGGCCCAGCCGTGCCGCCACGCCCATAGTGGGGTGGAAGGCTGACAATGGACGTGTCCATTGGCTCTGTCCCACCAGAGGCTACCCTGAAAAAGCTCTCAGATCATCGTGAGTTGCCCAAAGAAAAAATGAGGTTTTTCTTGGGCAACGAATTAGTAGTTCTAAGTAATTTTTTTATCTTCTCCTTTATTTTTTCATTTCATTTTTCATTCTATTATTTTACAGATATTTTAACAAAAAAATTACATAATCAATTTAAAACACCAAATCTTAATATCGACCCTCTCCCCTCCCTTTCTGCAGATACTTATGTTATCTCTTTTACTACTGCATATCCAATTCAGACCTTTTTACAAACTTTTTCTTTTATATTCTATTTAACTTTCTCTCACTGCACATTGTTATATCAGTCCTGGCAATGATTTTAAGTTCTTTACAATGATCCTTCAGATATTCCATAAATTCTATACTATAGCATCTTCTTTCTTGATTTCTTATTCTTCCAGTAAGTTCCTGCATACTCCATCATTTTTTGTTGCCAATCCTCTGTGGTCAGAACTGCTTCTTCTTTCCATCTCTGGGCATATATCATTTGAGCAGCCGTAGTAGCATACATAAACATTTTTTTCTGTTCTTTGGGTACCACTAAACCAGTTATTCCTAACAGAAAAGCTTCTGGGTTTTTTTTAACGGGTGCAGAATGCTGCAGCGAGGCTCCTCACAGGGTCTCTGCCATGGGAGCATATTCACCCAGTGCTTTTCCAGCTGCACTGGCTTCCGGTGGAGTACAGGGTCAGATTTAAGGTGCTGGTTTTGACCTTTAACGCCTAGGACCCTCGTACCTACGGGACCGCCTCTCCTGGTATGCCCCACGGAGAGCCTCAAGGTCCATAAATAGCAACACCCTAGAGGTCCTGGGCCCTAAGGAAGTTAGATTAGCCTCAACCAGAGCCAGGGCCTTCTCAACACTGGCTCCGGCCTGGTGGAACGCTCTGTCTCATGAGACCAGGGCCCTGCGGGATCTGATTTCTTTCCGCAGGGCCTGTAAGACAGAGTTGTTCCATCTGGCCTTTGGCTTAGAATCAGTTTGATTCCCTCCCCCTCTTTCTTTTCCCTTTCTCCTCCTGTGAAGAGGCTGCATCCTAATGTTTTAATACTGTATTTTAATTTTTTTTTTTAAATTGTATTTTAATCAACTTGTTTTTATTATTGGTCGTTAGCCACCCTGAGCCCGGTATTGCCTGGGGAGGGTGGGGTCTAAATAAAAATTATTATTATTATTATTATTAAACAAAAGTTATATTTGACAGTTTTTCCAGCTCATTATAAATCATTTCCCTTTATGTGTGTTTCAGACTTCAGTATTTTATTAATTTTGTATCTTGCCTTTTCCTTAATGTTTATCCTTGATGAGAGCCAGCGTGGTTAAGAGCGGTAGTCTCCTAATCTGGTGAACCGGGTTCGCGTCTCCGCTCCACCACATGCAGCTGCTGGGTGACCTTGGGCTAGTCACACTTCTCTGAAGTATCTCAGCCCCACTCACGTCACAGAGTGTTTGTTGTGGGGGAGGAAGGGAAAGGAGAATGTTAGCTGCTTTGAGACTCCTTCGGGTAGTGATAAAGCGGGATATCAAATCCAAACTCTTCTTCTACTCTTCTTCCTGGACACCAGTTTGACCTTGGGTCTAACCTTCCTCCAAGACCAGGGGAGCTTGTTCCCTGGGATTAACCTCTCTGTTGGCAGCTTCTGTTAAATTAAGATGTCGCTCTGGGAATATAGAAGCATTAGATTACAGGAGGGGTGGAATTTAGCTGGGCAAATGCATGTACTTAGCTATGGTAAAATTCATAGTTAATTTTAATCCCCGGAGCTACATTTTGCTTGCAGGTAATGCCCACTTTACCAGATGCTTTCATAGATTTAGTTTCACAACTTCTTTCTCCCATTTAATCAGTGCGTTGTATAGTGTTATTTTTAAAAGAATGGTAGATTATTGCACCTTAAATAAAATGAATTGCATTCACTTTTATTATGCTGGTGATTTTTAAAAAATAATTTCCCCAAACATGATTTCTGCTTCAGATGGCTATCCGAGTCTCCGGTCGACCAGTTTACCCCCTCAGCCAACACCTAGATGTCTATATCAGCTGACTGCATAAGCTGTAATGGGTCACGCAACACATCACCAGCCATGATACTGGGAATTTCATCTGGGAGCTGCAATAATTGCAGAGATAAGGTCACTCTGAGCTTGGTATAAGAGGAGGTACCTGAACCAATATACCCATCTGGTTTCCGAAAGGCCCCAAACAGGATGAGGATGACTGAAGAGAGAGAGAGAGTGGTAAAAGGTAAAGGGACCCCTGACCATTAGGTCCAGTCATTGCCGACTCTAGGGTTGCAGCGCTCATCTCGCTTTATTGGCCGAGGGAGGTTGCAGGTCGTGGCCAGCATGACTAAGCCGCTTCTGGCGAACCCGTGTCCCTGTAGACCATGTTTTAGTCTGTGGACAGCATCAAAAAAACCACGCACCCACTGTTTCGTGGGGCCGCAATGGTGCAAAAACATGGTTAAAAAACACAGATCCTCATGATTTTTGCACCAGATCAGCCCAAAGTCACCATCAGATCAAACATCATTAGCCATGGGCACAGCATGCATCACAAAAATCACGGATCCACGGCTTCCTGGCGACACCGTGGCCCAAAAATCCCCTTAAATCTCAGCTCTTTTCGGCCCTTCGTCCAGCACTCCGTGTCTGTGGATGTTTGCGTGCGCACGTGTGTTCGCGCGCCCGCCCCCATCACTTCCGGTTCCCACTCGAACGCTGGCAGGAGTCTTACGGGGTTTGCTCTACGAGGCAATAGCTCTACAGCTCTCTCTCACGGCGTTCGAAAACAAACCCGAAGTTGCGGGTGGCGCACTTGAAATGCGTGGAAAGAGGCGATTGAGTGGCGAGAGGCGGTTTCCGGCCAGGAATTTTTGGGATTCCTAGAGGGGCAGGAGGTTTTTTGCAAAGGGGAGGAGTGGGGGGGGTTCCACAGTCCCTCCCTTTTCCTTTTTTTTTGCAGGGAAGGAACTCGTCTTCTCGGCGACGGGGGAGGAGGCTGATGCCTGGAGAGGTCGAACAGGTAAAAGGAGCAGAGGGGAGGATAATTCTATTTTTATTTTTTATTTTTTGGAATGGGAAAGGAAGGGTCGGGGTGTGGGGGGGTGCTAATCCATGCAAAGGAGCTGCAAAGCGGAGGCCAGGCGGCTGCATGGCTCTCCGTTGCACGAAATCCTTTGAAGCGCCCCCCCCGCCCCCAAATCCCAGATCTCAGACGACATGGGATGTACGGGGTGGGGGGGGGGGGAAGCGCCTGGATGCAGAGGAAACAGCCTTGCCTGAGTGGGATGGATGGAGCAGGAGCAGGACTCCTCCTGCCTCCCCTTCCCCACAAAAAAAGAGGGACGAAGGGACCCCCGCCTCAAAGGATCCAGGCTTATCCAGCTGCAGCGAGCGCTGGTTCCCTTCCAACAGTCCTATGGGGTCCCCCTAAATTCAGAAATATGGCGTGGCTGGGAAGGGGGAAGGTTGGAAGGACTCTGCTGCTTTCCTGTTATGGAATCATAGAATCTTAGAGCTGGAAGGGACCCCACGAGTCATCTAGTCCAACCCCCTGCAGTGCAGCGAACTCATCTAAAGCCTCCATGACATACGGCCATCCAATCTCTGCTTAAAAACCTCTGGGGAAGGAGAGTAAAAGCTAAGGAAAGCATTAAAAGCTAATCATGTGGTATAGTTTCTTTTGGATATCTGGTTGCTTTGTTTTCAGCTGTGTTGTGTTCATATTAGGTGAACTGCTCCTTGCTTTTTTTCCTCGACCTGAAAAAATAAAATAAAATAAAGGAGCCTGTTTGCCTTCCTTCCTGCTAAACCAGGTTCAGCAAACTTTTTCAGCAGGGAGCCGGTCCACTGTCCCTCAGACCTTATGGGGGGCTGGACTATATTTTTTGGGAGGGGGGGGGAATGAACGAATTCCTGTACCCCACAAATAACCCAGAGATGCATTTTAAATAAAAGCACACATTCCACTCATGTAAAGACACGCTGATTCCTGGATTGAGAAGGCGATTCGGCCGCATCCGGCCCCTGGGCCTTAGTTTGCCCACCCTTGTGCTAAGCAAAGGGTGGTGGCGGCATTTGGAACTGACTAGCGTCCTGAGAACCAGGCTGTCAGTGGCCTTGTTAAAAAGGCTGGAGGAAATAAAAAATATTTGCTTCCCTTCTCACCTGGAGTTTCAAAGGAGCTTCTCCAGGCATTTGATGGAGGGAACAGCTGGGCTTCTCTTGCAGGACTGGCTCCGGGCAGAATGGTGCTGAGTTGAAGGGTCCTTCTCTTCTGGGGCTGCCACTACCACCCTCTCCGGTAACACACAAATTCTTCTTCTTTGGCGATCACTCACAGCCGAGAAAGATTTGTTTCCACAAACATGGTCTTAATAGTGAGTCCGTAAGTGACTGTGGAGGCCAATTCTGGATCCACACATCCTTCCATAGTAGGGATGTAGGTTTCCAAGCGAGAGTTGATCACAGTGAGGGTTTGCCAAGCGTGCCTTCCTCTTATCTCATTTCTCCCTTGCGTCCTGAGTTCGAGCATCTTCAAAACCCATGACACCTTTGGTAAAGGCTGTTCCCCAGTTGGAGCGCTCGCAGGCAAGTTTTTCCCAATTGCTGGTGTTTATACTACTTTTTTTAAAAAAACATTTTTTAAAAGAGACAGTCTTTAAACCTCTTTTGTTGACCACCAGCATTACACTTTCCATTTTTAAGTTTGGAATAGAGTACAGTGGTACCTTAGGTTACAGATGCTTCAGGTTACAGACTCCACTAACCCAGAAATAGTACCTTGGGTTAAGAACTTTGCTTCAGGATAAGAACAGAAATCGCACAGCGGCGGCACAGCGGCAGCAGGAGGCTCCATTACGTAAAGTGGTACCTCAGGTTAAGAACAGTTTCAGGTTAAGAACGAACCTCCAGAACGAACTAAGTTCTTAACCCGAGGTACCACTGTAGTTGCTTTGGAAGACAATAATCAGACATCTGCACAACATGACCAGTACAATGAAGTTGATGCTGAAGAATCATTGCTTCGACATTGGTGATCTTTGCTTCTTCTAGGACACTGGCATTAGTTTGCCTGTCTTCCCAAGTAATGTGTCAAAAAGTTTCGGAGACACCATTGACACAAATACACACACAGAGCAGGCCTCACTACTTCTTAAATAAAATTTGCATCCTGTTAAATTGTCAGCAGAATTGCAGATGAAAAAGACATGCCGACTTTTACATGCCTCAGGAGGCATGCCTAAAACTACGGGTCCGGAAAAGAATACAGCGAAGGTAGAAAGTAGAAACTATTGGCTGAGGGTTCAAAGTACCGTCTCACAAGAGTTTTGTAAGGTGGGCCAGTATGACAGCTAGGGTTGGTTTAAGGTTGAGGTTGTGGTTGGGGCAGCCAAACCTTTCTCACACCAGCCCACCTTACCAGGCGGCTGTTGTTGTTGTTGTTGTTGTTATATTTATTTGAACCCCACCTTTCCTCCTGACAGAGACTCAAGGCGGCTTACGGATAAAATAAGAACAGCGAAAAGCAGTGAGTTTCCAAAAGCCCGTTGGGACAAGAAAGTCTTCACCTGCCGGTGGAAGGACAACAAGGAGAAAGCTTCTCTCGCTTCTCCAGGGAGGCAATTCCAAAGTGGGGGAGCAGCCACCGAGAAGGCTCTCTCCCTGGGAGGGTAGCGGGACAGAGAAAAAGGGCCTCCACTGCAGATCTCAAACCCAGGTAGGTTCTTAGGAGGGAATACAGTCATTAAGATAGCTTGCTTTGAATTGTGCCTGGAGGCAGACTGCTAGCCGGTGGAGTTGTTGTAACAAGGGACTCTTATGCTCCCCTTAACCAGCCCTGCAGTTCTTTTGAGCCAGCTGACGTTTCTGAGCACTTTCCCAAGGCAGCCCCACATAGAACCCCACATACAGTAACCCAACACTTGTTATCCAGTGAATTAGAATCGTAGAAACGTACAGTTGGAAGAGACCCTGAGGATCATGCAGTCTGACCCCCTACAATGTAAGAACGTGCAGCTCTCCCGTACGGGGATTGAACCTGCAACCTTGGTGTGAGTGTGGTTGAGATTTCTGTTGCAGCCGTAATAATAATAATAATAATAATAATAATAATTTATTATATATACCTCACCCATCTGACTGGGTTTCCCCAGCCACTCTGGGCGGCTTCCGACAAATATAAAAGTATAATAAAACATCAAACATTAAAAACGTCCCTGTACAGGGCTGCCTTCAGATGTCTTCTAAAAGTCAGATAGTTGTTTATTCCCTTGACATCTGATGGGAGGGTGTTTCCACAAGGCGGGCGCCACTACCGAGAAGGCCCTCTGCCTGGTTCTCTGCAACCTCACTTCTTGCAGGGAGGGAACTGCCAGAAGGCCCTCGGCGCTGGACCTTAGTGTCCGGGCAGAACGATGGGGGTGGAGACGCTCCTTCAGGTATACTGGGCCAAGGTCACTTGGGGCTTTAAGGTTAGCACCAACACTTTGAATCGTGCTCGGAAACGTACTGGGAGCCAATGTAGGTCTTTTATGTTATGTGGTCTTGTGAATGTTATGAATAGCAGTTATGGTTTTGCTTTCTCAAGAAGAACAGCCCCTGTTGCTGAAATCTGAACTCATCTCCTGCTTTTTTTGCGGGGGAGAGATGTTTGTGCAGGACGCACAAGGCCATAAGATATATTACGAGTCTGTTTATTTGTAGGTATGCATTTTTCACTTCAGTTTATCTACTGGCGGTTCCCTCATTGCGAGAGGTGAGGTTACAGGGAACCAGACAGAGGGCCTTCTCAGTAGTGGTGTCTGCCTTGTGGAACGCCCTCCCTTCAGATGTGAAGGAAATAAGCAGCTATCTTATCTTTAAAAGACATCTGAAGGCAGCCCTGTTTAGGGAAGCTTTTAATATTTAATGCTGTATTGTTTTTAACACTCAATTGGAAGAGTGGCTGGGGAAACTCAGCCAGATGTGTGCAACACAAGGCAACCGAGAACATAAAACAGTTTCTAAGTTGACAGCTCTAAGACAAAAGCAGGGAGTAGCTTAAAAACATAGAAGAGCAGTCCTAAACTAAAAAACGTCACGTGATCTCAAGAGGCTGTGTGTTTGCCTAATTCGGGGCTCACTAATCTGATGTTCCCAGATGGCACTTGTGAAAGTCAAATTCGATGCCCCCAGAATGAAACACATTCCCATCTAAAAACACTGAAATTTAGATAACAATCTTCTCTTTTCTCCTAAGAAGTGAGTCTGTTCTACCCTTTCAGAGTTTTACTCCCTTACCTTCCTCCCGATAAAAATTTCCTCATAAACCCACACATGTGAAAGCGAGAGATGTGCTTGGGAGATGAAGAGAGGTATCCACCAAGCCTTTGGCCAGGGCACAGCCTGACTCCCTCCTTTGGCAATCTTCACAGAACTCTAGTCCAATGGTTGCCATCAATTTGATTTGAATTAATTTTATAATGAAATGATTTTAGAATGTTGTATTATTTTTATTGTTGTTAGCCGCCCTGAGCCTGGCTTCGGCTGGGGAGCGCGGGATATAAATAAAAATTTATTATTATTGTTATTATTATCAAGAGGGACCTGAAAGGAATTTATGTTATTGTCTTCAGACAGTAGCATAATCAATTTATTCAGCAGGGCATAGAAAGAGGAAGAGAGAGAACTCTGGAGATGATGAATAAAGAGTAGCAGGCTTGAACACCTAACAGGTTTTCATGTTCATTTCTTATTTCCCCAAACAGATCAAAAGCAGGACAAATAAAATTATAGGAAATCATATGTGGTGTCAGCAGAAAGAAGGAAGAAAAAGGACATCTAGAAATCCAAGGATACATTTGAGGCACAAAGGAAACCAGAGAGAGAGAGACAGAGAGAGAGAAATCCTTCCATGTTGTTGATATCCACCAAATCTTGATCCCAGTGGAATATGACAAAGGGACAATAAGCAAGGGAAAGGGTCCTGGGATGTGGAGAGGGAATATTCTAAAATAAACCAGAGTTAAATAAATATTGCGGAGCCCATAGCAGGGGAGATGCAAGGAGTGCAGCAAGAGCTTGCTAAGGGAGCACTTACTGAACATCAAATAGCCGACACAGGGATGAAATCATATAGATGCTTGTGGACTTATGCTCATAGCAGAACCCGCACAGGAGAGAAGCCGCATGAATGTATTCAGTGTGGAAAGAGCTTCAGTTTCATGGGAAACCTTAGTACACATGAAAGAACCCACACGGGAGACAAACCGTATACATGCACGGAGTGTGGAAAGAGCTTCAGTCAGAGTGGACACCTTAATTTACATCAGAGAACCCACACGGGGGAGAAGCCGTATGAATGCATGCAGTGTGGAAAGAGCTTCAGTTACATTGGAAACCTTATTTCACACGAAAGAACCCACACGGGAGAAAAACCCTACATATGCACAGTGTGCGGGAAGAGGTTCAGTCAGAGTGGACACCTTACTTTACATCAGAGAACCCACACAGGGGAGAAACCATACGAATGCCGTGAATGTGGAAAGAGGTTCAGTCAGAGTGGCCTCCTAACCTCACATCAGAGAACCCACACAGGGGAGAAACCATATGAATGCAAAGAGTGTGGAAAGAGATTCAGTCAGAGTGGACACCTTCGTTTACATCAGAGAACCCACACGGGGGAGAAACCATATGAATGCCACGAATGTGGAAAGAGCTTCAGTCAAAATGGACGCTTAACTTCACATCAAAGAATTCACACAGGAGAAAAACCATATCAATGCATGGAGTGTGGAAAGCGCTTCAGTCAAACTGGGCACCTTACTTCACATCAGAGAATCCATAAACGGGAGAAGCCGCACAAATGTATGGAGTGTGGAAAGGGTTTTGTGGACAATGGAGCACTCACTAAACATCAGAGAATCCACACAGAAGAGAAACCACACACGTGTTTGGAGTGTGGAAAGAGCTTCAGTCGAAAGGCAAACTTCAGTTCACATGAAAAAACCCACACAGGGGAGAAACCATACAAATGTCTGGAGTGTGGAAAGAGTTTTAATTCCCGTAGGAGTCTTACTTTACATCAGAAAAACAACATGGGAGAGAAACCCTGTGCATGCGCTGAGTGTGGAAAGAGCTTCAGTACAAGCTGCAAACTTACTTCACATCAAAGAACCCATACAGTGGATCAGCCATATGAAATAGCATGGAATTTGCAACAACTTGAATTAGAATGAAATGGATTGACCCACGAATGGAAAGTCCCTCTCTCCCTCGAATCAGAGAATTGTAGTGTTGGAAGGCTCCCCCAAAAGTCATCCAGTCCAATCACCTGTTATATAGCTCCATACACTTGCAGATTCTTAGCTTCTTTTATGTCTTGCTCTTTCCTCTCCCCCACCTTTGTTTTTGTCTCATTTTGTTTTATTACAGAAAGTTACGGAATAAGAAATGCATACTAACATTTTTGCTATATGTATTATTGAAAAATTGTAATAAACGGGTGGGGGAGCCCAGTTTTTTCCATGATCGGTTTGACCGTTATGGAGCCTTCCACTTCTGCGGAAGTTCTGTCACAGTGAGGCCCTTACTATCTCTCATATAAGGAGAGAGACAGCAGAATTGATCACTCTGTGGTTAAAGCTTCTGTCCAGGCCTTATTAAGCCTATAGTCTCTTCCAGATGTCTTGCTTATTCAGATTATACTGCATTCATCCGCAGTTGAAGCATGGTGGTTAGACTAAATCTGGTGTCATTAGGCATTGATTCTGGTTTGTTTATGGGGCAGTCGTATCGCTATCCTGATCTGCCGATATGGCATCAATCATTCATAACTTTCCAAATCACAAAAGGGCCATTTAAACGCCCACAAACACCTATACCCACCAGTGGTTTGTTGTGCTGTTGTGGATGTCCTGTGTTCTTCCACTTCCATGAAGAAAAAGGAGCAGGCCTAGACCACAGAGCCAGAATACTCCATTTTCTCCAGCGTAATTCAGTTCAGTGTTCAGAGAGGTGGTGAAGAACCCAGGAGCTCCCTTGACAGAAGTGCGAAGCAGTGTCTTCCAACCCCCTGGCCTTTCTTAACACAAGCCAAGCCTCAAAGCGTCTCTCTGTTGTCAACAATAAAATCTTTATAACAAACCGCTCAGCAAATTAAAGGACCGATGTGCCAATTAATATCTGTCTAGACTGAAAAGGAACTATGTGACCTGGTAGAAATCCAGATCTACTGAGTGCCAACTTTTACTCTAAGCACATCAAATATCAAAGTAAAGGACGTTTCGATGAAAACAGCTGTATGTGTAGTCTTCATAATAGAACGATTGCTTTCTTTTCATGTGTACAGATCTACAAACCGGATAGCTTTCCTTTGGTCTAAAAGAGATATTTCCCTCTGGCAATTGTGAAGATGACCAACCATTTTGAATGTGTGTTGTAAAAATTTCCTCTTCAGAGGGGAGACGGGGTATAGATATTGCCACCTTTTGGGGCACCAAACTCTGTCTTCTCTTGTTGATAGAATCAGGCCTACGGCTAGGGAATTATTTGTTTTCTTTTGTCCTAATTTGCTAGGTGGCATTTTCTGTATTAGTTTGATAAACTTACATTTTTCTCCTTTGTAATCTTGAATTGCGTTTGCTTAAGTAAAGAAACATGCTAAATAAAACGACGAAACTGCAACTCTTCCGTGAACCCTAAATATTCTCTGTGCTGATATGGAGGGGGGAGTATAAGCACACACCCCTAAATCTAATTCGGTGAGTGGCCCCTCGGTCCCATGCCAAGGTATTCTTGCGGCCCACTTGGTCTGAGGGATTGGACGGCCCTGCTTTGAATTAAAAAGCCCCCAGATGCTTTAAACTTTCGTCATAGGGGAATTGATCCGTCTCTTTGATTATTTTGGGTCGCCTGAGCTATACTTGCACACTCATATGCAGTGCAATAAAATCAACAGGCAAGCGCACAGATCCTGAACTTGATGCAACACGGACAGGCTAATGGAGTAATTAAAGAGCAATTAGCAAAAATTTTATATAAAACGGGGGAAACGAGAATGTGGGGGAGGGGAATAGATTATGTAGTAAAGGTAATGGGTAGAGGGACCCCTGACTGTTAGGTCCAGTCGCAGACGACTCTGGGGTTGCAGCGCTCATCTTGCTTTACTGGCTGAGGGAGCTGGCGTACAGCTTCCAGGTCATGTGGCCAGCATGACTAAGCCGCTCCTGGCAAACCAGAGCAGCTCATTTACCTTCCCGCCGGAGCGGTACCTATTTATCTACTTGCACTTTGACGTGCTTTCGAACTGCTAGGTTGGCAGAAGCAGGGACCGAGCGACGGGAGCTAGACCACAGCGCTACCCACATCCCAGGTTATGTAGTAGAAAAGAGTTATTAAAATGAACCATGGATAGGGGGGGGAGAGGGAAGTCGATGATAACTTTGATAACAAAATATACATTTATCTGTTTAAATTTGGAAAAAAGGAAAAGGAAATGATATGTGTGGAAGAAAGAGAGATTGGCACGGGCTCCGCTTTAATCCAGCCAGGAGTTTGTGCAACCCCAGACCATTGGTTTTTCCTCTCCCGGGAAAAACTGCATTTTGCTTGCCACTCAAACGCAATTTGCGCCCTCCTGGGAGCCACGTGGGGTGACGCGGACGTTCCAAGCTCCATTCACAAAAAGCAGGAAGGCGTGCGGGGGCGTGAGCGGCAAGGAAGAAGTGTTGCTGTTCCCTCTGCAGCCTCTCTAGGCGCCTGGACTCGATCTCTTTAACCCCGAGATGGACTTTCCCGTAGCAAGAAAAGCGTGGGGGGGGACAGCCCCCCCCTTCCCCAAGTCCACTTTGCAAGAGCAAGAAGAGAAGACGTGGATCTCTCCCCGGATCCAGCAACGCCTGAGCGATCGCCTCTCCCTGGTTGATTCCCTTCCTCCGTCTGATCTCTCCCTGTGCAAAGACCTCCCCCGCCCCAAAAAGCCAGACTCGCTAAGGGTTAAATCCCACCCACCCCCGCATTTCAGGGAGAGTCACATCCTGCTGCATTTGGGTCTGGACGGGTGAGTGGAATTTGTGGGGCGGGGGGGGGGGGAGGTGATGCCTTCCCACGGGCAGGATGGGGAGTGGGCGTGTGCGTGTGTGTGTGTGTGTTGTGTGTTGCGGACTCCGGGCATCCGAATCAAGAGTTGCCCGCGTTGGGCTGGCAGCGACTCTCCAAAGCTCCGGAGGAAGGACACTCCCAGCCCTACCTACAGACGCCGCATGTAGGGTTTGAACCCGGGACCGTCTGCATGCGAGGCAGACGCCCTGCCATTGAGCTATGCTCCTTAGCATGGGCGTAGGGAGTCAGAGAATTGCAGAGTTGCAAAGGAGCACGAGGGACATCCTAGCCCAAGCTCCTGCAATGCAGGAATCTTTTGCCCGATGTGGGTCTGGAAGCCACGACCCTGTGAGTGTCGTGCTCTACAAATATGTTTTGGGAGGGTGGTTTATTGGTTTGTTTTTTGTTCCCACGGACTCAGCTAAAGAGAGAGAGCGAGAGAGAGCGCGCGCGCGAGAGAGAGAGAGTGCTGTCCACAGCTACCAGTTTGGGAGCATCTCTTGGAAGACCTTTGTATGCCAACAGGCCTATGCAGGTTTCTAGAATGTCCCCAGTAGCCAGTCATTTTAATGATTTCTTCATACAGTGGTACCTCGAGTTACAGACGCTTCTGGTTACAGATGCTTCAGGTTACAGACTCTGCTAACCCAGAAATAGTACCTCGGGTTAAGAACTTCGCTTCAGGATGAGAACAGAAATCGTGCTCTGGCGGGGCGGCAGCAGCAGGAGGCCCCATTATGTAAAGTGGTGCTTCAGGTTAAGAACAGTTTCAGGTTAAGAACGGACCTCCAGAACAAATTCAGTTCTTAACCCCAGGTACTGCTTTTTAATGTTGCTGTGTGGTTCTGATGTTTAGCAAGAGAAAAGTGTCAGCTTTTAAGTTACAAAGGACTCTTTGTCTGGATTATATATATACAGTGGTACCTCTGGTTGCAAACGGGATCCGTTCTGGACGCCCGTTCGCAACATGAAAAGAGCACAACCCGCAGCGGCGCGTCTGCGCACGTGCAGGTTGCGATACGGTGCTTCTGTGCATGCACGTGACATCGTTTTGTGCTTTTGCGCATGCGGCGAAACCCGGAAGTAACCCTTTCCGATCCTTCTGGGTTGCCGCGGGACGTAACCTGAAGCAAACGTAATATGAAGTATGACTGTATACATACACACACACACAGTGACAACAAGAGATAGGGGACAGTCATAGAATCATAGTGTTAAAAGGAACCCTGTCCGTCATCTATTCCAACCCCCTGCAATGCAGGAATACGCAGCTGTCCCATATGGGGATCGAACCTGCAACCTTGGCGTTATCAGCACCACACTCTAACCAACGGAGCTACATCCAGGGGAAAGAGAGACAGGGGAAGAATGTTTCTGAATGAGGATTGGTGATCTCTGGTTCTTCCTGTTTGTTTCTGGAGGGGAGATTTTCTTTCCTGCAGGGCAGTGCTCGGATTGACAGCTGGAAACATTCAGCTTGCTTGGAAGCTGTATGTTAACGTCCTTCCTTGAACTTGTGGCAGTAATCAGGAGGCCTCTCCCCACAGGTCCGAGATGGATCTTTCGGGCACAGCAGGAGACAGAGCGGGAGGAGACCCCGGTGCCACCAAGACTGGGAGCAGCGGAGGATTCTGGGAAGGAACGGTGAAGAAGATCCTAAGTTCGGGAGAAGCTGGCACAGACGTTCGGCACCAGCAGTTCAGGGAGTTTGGCTACCAGGAGGCTGAGGGCCCCCGAGAGGTTTGCAGCCGACTCCACAGTCTCTGCCGTCGGTGGCTGAAGCCAGAAAGGCTCACCAAGGCCCAGATCCTGGACCTGGTGGTCTTGGAGCAGTTCCTGGCTGTCCTCCCCCCGGAGATGGAGAACTGGGTCAGGGAGTGCGGAGTGGAGACCAGTTCACAGGCGGTGGCCTTGGCAGAAGGCTTCCTCCTGAGCCAGACAGAAGAGAGGAGGCAGGAAGAGAGACAGGTGAGAGGGTTATCCCCACCCCACCCCAATCATCCAGGCAGTTCCAAGGGACTGAGAAGGCAGCCGTGGTTCTGAATACCAGTTTCTGGAAACTGCAGCCGAGGAGAGTGTTATTGTGCTGCTTCGGTCTAGCTTGCTGGTTTCCCACTGTAGAGTTGGAAGGGACCTCCCAAGCTTATTCTAGCCCAGCAGTTCTCAACCTGTGGGTCCCCAGATGTTGTTGGACTACAGCCCCCATCATCTCTGAGCTCTGGCCTTGCTAGCTAGGGGGGATGGGAGTTGTAGTTCAACAACATCTGGGGACCCACAGGTTGAGAAAGGCTGATTTCTAGTCCAACCCCCTGCAATGCAGGAATCTCAGCTAAAGCATCCATGACAGTTGGCCACCCAACCTCTGCTTAAAAACCTCTAAGGAAGGAGAGTCCACAAGCTCCCGAGGGAAACAGCTCTTAACTGTTAGAATTTCCCCCCATAGATTTAGTCGGAATCTCGCTTTTTGTAACTTGAAACCATGGGTTTCAGTCCTACTCTCCAGAGCAGGAGAAAAGCAGCTTGTTCCCTGCATGTGACAGCCGTTGAGATATTTGAAGATGGCTATCATATTTCCTCTTTTCCGGGCTAAACATACCCAGCTCCTTCAACCAGTGAAGGCGGTGAAGGTCCTGTGTGAGTGTCTGGAGGTGGTTGGAGGATGGATGGCGGCTAACAGACTGAGGTTGAATCCTGACAAGATAGAAGTACTCTTTTGGGGGGACAGGAGGCAGGCAGGTGTGGAGGACTCCCTGGTCCTGAATGGGGTAACTGTGTCCCTGAAGGACCAGGTGCGCAGCCTGGGAGTCATTCTGGACTCACAGCTGTCCATGGAGGCGCAAGTCAATTCTGTGTCCAGGGCAACTGCTTACCAGCTCCATCTGGTACGCAGGCTGAGACCCTACCTGCCTGCAGACTGTCTTGCCAGACTGTCCGCTCTAGTTATCTCCTGCTTGGACTACTGCAATGTACTCTACGTGGGGCTACCTTTGAAGGTGACCCGGAAACTACAACTAATCCAGAATGCAGCAGCTAGACTGGTGACTGGGAGCAGCCACCGAGACCACATAACACCGGTCTTGAAAGACCTACATTGGCTCCCAGTACATTTCCGAGCACAATTCAAAGTGTTGGTGCTGACCTTTAAAGCCCTAAACGGCCTCATTCCTGTATACTTGAAGGATAATCTCCACCCCCATCGTTCAGCCCCGACACTGAGGTCCAGCGCCAAGGGCCTTCTGGCGGTTCCCTCACTGCGAGAAGTCAAGTTACAGGGAACCAGGCAGAGGGCCTTCTCGGTAGTGGCGCCCACCCTGTGGAACGCCCTCCCACCAAATGTCAAAGAGAACAACTACCACCAGACTTTTAGAAGACATCTGAAGGCAGCCCTCTTTAGGGAAGCTTTTAATGTTTGATGCATTACTGTATTTTAATATTTTGTTGGAAGCCACCCAGAGTGGCTGGGGAAGCCCAGCCAGATGGGCGGGGTATAAATAATAAAATAATAATAACAATAATAATAATAATAATAATAATAATTATTATTATTATTATTATTAACCATTCCTCATAAGGCTCGATGTGCCATTGGCCTGTTCCAGCAGGCCCTTATGTTCTTAATACAGGTATAGATTGGTTGTTCATCCTTCACCCGGAAGTCCCAGCACGGGAATACACACAATCATTAAATGGGATTAAGCCTTTATAACATTTACTAGAGCCACGGAGAAGGTCCTCTTTCCGCCTCACAGCTCCACTGGTTTCTGCAATAGGGTTTTGCCAGAAGACTTGAGGGAGGAGGGCAAGAATCCATTGCTTGGTTTGCACTGTCCTTCCTAACTTCCTCTCCCTCTTCCCTCTCTGGGTGCCTTGCTTCTGTTTCAGGTGCAAAGCCTGTCCTTAGATGTGGCCGTTGATTCCCGCGAGTCAGAGAAGGACCCAACTGACCGTTGTTCAAAGCCCCTCTCGTGGGGCATCGCCCAGGAGGTACAAAGTCGGAATGATTCATTGGGTAAGGGATGATCCTTTGGGCTTCAGAACCGCAGGATTTTGTGAAGTATCAGCTCTCCTCCTCCTTCTCCTTCTCTGTTTTCTCCCTCCGATGCCCCCTATATTTGGTAACGCTTAATTCCATGGCCATCTCTAAGCAGCTTGCAATGAAACTGAGAAACAACAACAGGTCTTATAAGGGGGAGATCGTTATTCCAGTTTGTAATGGCATCAGATTTGAAATTGTTTTTACATATGAAAGCATTTTTAAATGTGTGTGTGTTTTTTAAAGAAGTTTCTCATAATTATTTTTATATGCGAAGCTGTGCAATTTTATTTTCTGTTTTACAATTTCACAAATTGAATTTTGGTGTAACTTAACGACAACTTAAAATACATAAAATATAACTTGAGAACAAATTAAAAACCCAAAATCCACAAGTGCTTTCCTATTATTGCAGCTGTTGCGAAGTTGTGTGATATTGTCATCTTTTTACTATTTTTTGAGGGGGGGCGTTGTTACTAATTTACTGTGAAGTGGCTTTTGAGATACGTTATAGGAAGTTTCATACATGGAATCAAATAAATAGTTGGAATTAAAATTAACAATGACACCCCCACAAAGCAAAGCATAGTAGCACACCCTGAATATTATTATTGTTAATTGTAATAATAGTAGTGTTTCTTGGTCGCTCTACTCGTAAAATAATAATGCAAAGCAACTTTCCAGCATGGTAGACATGCTAAAAGCAATTACAATAATCGCAATCAATATAAAACTGAAAAGCGCACACATCAATACTAGCTTTCCCACCAGTTGAGGAGTGGCCGTGCTCTCAGACAGAACCATCTCCAAATTTCCCCCTGCATCTTTCAAATTTGTTTGCTTATTTTTCAGTCGCTTGTGCAAATAAAGTGAGGGTAAATTGTGGGTTTGCTGTATTTTTTAAGGATCCTCCTTATTTCTGTGATTGTGAGTTGTTTTAAACTTTTTAAATGTTTTAATTTCTGTAACCTACCATGGTACCTTTGGGTGAAGGGCAGGGTAATAATAATAATAATAATAATAATAATAATGTTCTTTTCTCCTGCTGTGCTCTTACCAGGTTTTTCTGTCTGATTTCAGCAGGTGATGGGGGGGATGAGAAACATGGAGACCAACATGCCAGGCCAGTAGGGGGAAGCAAGATTCAGGAGATGGAAGAGAACTTCAGGACTCCAGGAGGAGAGAATAAGCAGAAGAAAAACCCAGCAGAGGAAGGCGAGAAGACATATTGGCCAGGGATTAACCTCCACGAAGTTCCAGTTCAGGAACACAATCCCAAGGGAAAGAAAAGGAATATCTGCCCCGTGTGTGGGAAACACTTCAGCTACAAATCAGATCTCAGTGTTCATAGGAGAATCCACACGAGTCTGAAGCCACACAGATGTTTGGAGTGCGGGGTGAGCTTTAGGCAGAGCGCACACCTCGCTACTCATCAGACAATCCACACGGGCGAAAAGCCATATCAGTGCTCATTGTGCGGAAAGAGCTTTCGGCAGCGTGCCAACTTCACATCACATCAGAGAACCCACACGGGAAAGAGGCCGTATCACTGCTCCGAGTGTGGGAAGAGCTTCAGTCGGAACACAACCCTCACAACCTTGATGGTGTTTCCTGCTTGGCAGGGGGTTGGACTCGATGGCCCTTGTGGTCTCTTCCAACTCTATGATTCTATGATTTCTCACTGCCCATCTAAGGAAACACACGGGAGAGAAACCCTACAGCTGTTCCGTGTGCTGCCGGAACTTTTGCGACAAGTCGGGCCTGAACCTGCACCAGTTAATTCATTCAAAGGACAAGCCTCATAAATGCCTGGTGTGCGGCAAGAGCTTCATCCGGCGCTCGCAGCTGACCTCCCACGAAGGGATCCACACAGGGGAGAAACTGTTGATTTAGAGCAGAGCCTGTCGTGCCCAGCGGAAGGATGAGTAATACGTGCTACATACTCTATATTGCTTTATTTACAGTTCAAAGCTGGTATATTACAGAAAGACATCTTGCCTCTGCAGGAGCAGAAAATGCATCCTCTCTCCTCAACAGCTCGGAGAGAATCACACAGTGAAAAACAGGCAACCAGTGTACGTCACATCCAGTCTCCTTTCCCGTGAGAAACTCCAACAGTACAGACTGTGGAATGTAAACACCTGTCTCGTGACAAGCAGAGCTGCACAGTGAAGGAAAGCAGAAACCAACATCCTCCCCCTTTCTGTGAACATCACTGGGCAGCGTGTTTGTACAATATCAGTACAAACCCAACTTCTGCACATAGGTACAGTGTTGATCCCTTGATACAATCTTGGACAATACATCAGCAGGAATTTCATTACCTGGCATATAGGACACTGTTACGAGTCCTTTCTGAATACATTCCCTAGCATGCTGCAACTTTAATTGTAAGTGCTTTGTGCTTTGCTTACAACCTTCAGACTTCAGCAAAGCCAAACATGCTTTGTTGTCCTGGTAAACCTGGATTGGACATTTGACAGGAATTTTCATATCTTTGCACAATTGTACTAACCATTCACAATCCTTAAGTGAATAAGACAGTGCATTCAGTTCGGCTTCACAAGTACTTAAGCTAACTGTTGTTTGCTTCTTGCATGACCAATCAAACAGACTCTGATTGTACATGTAGCAAACTCCAGACGTACTTTTCCTGTCTGTAGTGTCACTTCCAAAACTTGCATCTGCAAATATCTCAAGACCACCAGACTTCTGATTGTTAAATCTCAGTCTGTAATGCATAGTGCCTTTCAAATACCGCGCTATGCGTTTCAGAGCTTTCCAATGCTTGACACTAGGATTGTTGACTTGTCTGCTTAGCAAATTACAGCTAACAGCAATGTCTGGTCTTGAACATCTGGCAATGAAGTTTAGCTTGCCTAGCACACTCCTGTACAGTGTAGTGTCAGAAAATGCTTCTTCAGTGTCATCTACCTGATAACCTGTTGTCATCGGTGTGTCTACAGGGTTAGCATCCATCAGATTTAGTTTGCTTAACACATCAGCAATTTTCCGTGACTGGTGTACTAGAATGTTACCATCTTGATCTCTCTCTATTTCCAGAGATAGGTAGTTGTTTACCTCACCAAGATCTTTCATGTCAAAGTGCTCTTTCAGTTGAGCTAGGGCGCTATTGTACATTGCGACATCTTTCCAAAAGAATAATAAATCATCAACATAAAACAAACAGTACAGTTTCTTTTGCCCCTCCTCTTTGACAAATACACATGGATCAGCTTTCCCTTGCTGAAAACCTAGAGAAAACAATACTTCAGTGAGTTTTGTGTGCCAACACCGTGCACTTTGTTTGAGACCATAAAGGGATTTCTTCAGAGCACAAACAAATCCCTGTTTTACCTGTATGCCATCAGGTGGAAGCATATAAAGTGATTCATCTAGAGATCCGTACAGAAAAGCTGTATTAATATCATGGTGACTAATGTGTAGATTTTCCTCTGCAGCTAGCTTAAGCATAAGCCTAATGCTTTCATATCTCACTGTGGGTGAATAGGTCTCGTGATAGTCTTCACCTGGTACCTGTGCAAAACCTCTGGCTACCAATCTGGCTTTGTGTCTGACTATTTTGCCATTTTGATCTGTCTTCGCTTTGAAGACCCATTTGCTTCCAAGCAGTTTCATTCCTGGAACTACTGGAACTAGCTCCCATGTTTTGTTCCTTTCTAAGGAATCAAGCTCAGCCTTCATGGCATTTAACCATGGCTCAGCTTCCTTCGAATCCAAACCCTGGATTTCTTGGAAACTTGAAGGTTCAAATACCTTCTTGGAGCTTTTAACAGCTGTTACTGCTATTTTAGCAAACTCATCAGCAAATCTCTTTGGAGGTTTGCCTTTTGTGGCTCTCTGTGACCTACGAATTAGCCTTAAGTCTTCAACACTCTCCTCTTCCTTCTTAGGAGAAAAACGACCTATTGTGAACAATGGTTCCTCCAATTCTTGATCAGAGCTTTCAGAGGGTCGCATAGAGGCTTTCGCACTCTTGAAATCCTCTGAATCACCCGATTCAGTTTCAGATTCAGACTCAGAACCTTCATCAGTGGGTGTGGGCTGTTGTGGTTGCTTTTGACTATCCTCAGTCTCATCACCGTCATCAGGATAACATTGGAAAATTCCCACATTCTCCCCCACTTTGCATTGTACTCGACACTTCTCGTGAGCTTAATTGTCTTAGAGTCAGTCATCATTATTCTGTAAGACCCTTTCTGATAACCTAGAAAGATACCATGCAATCCACGCTTGTCTAACTTGGAGTTTTGTGGTGAGCGAACCCACATGTCAGAACCAAAAATCTTCATGTGTTTGATGTATGGCTTCTTGCCAAACATCTTCTCATAGAGGTACAACCAATCGCTGAAGATAACCTGCGATTGTAACTGTAAACAAAACACGAGAGAGATTCGGCCCAATAACTCTCTGGAAGATTGGCATCATGCAGCAAGGTTTTTAAGCCTTGAAGCAATGTCTGATTTGCCCGTTCCGCAAGTCCATTCTGCCATGGCGAGCGAGGACTAGACAAATCGTGTTGAATTCCTTTCTCAGTCAGAAAAGCTTCAAACTGCTGAGAAGTGAATTCCCCCCCGCGATCACTGAAAAGAGTCTTTATCTTCTTACCATGCACATTTTCCAACCAAGCACAGAATTCCTTGAACCTAGGAAAAGCCTCCGATTTCTGCTTGAGATTGTACACAAAAATATATCTAGAAAATGCATCAATGAGAACCATGAAGTATCTATTTCCACCCAAAGAGGGCGCTAATGGTCCAACCAAATCAGCATGAACAACCTGGTATGGTTCTGTAGCTTTCCTACTAGACACCTTACCTTTCGCAGCCATTTTCACCTTGTTTGCTGCGCATGCTTTGCACTTCATGTGGTACCTGCAGGGTTTAATAGTCATACCTTCAACCAAGGCAGGCATTTTAGATACTGCCTCAAAATGCAAATGACCAAATTTTCGATGAAAATCGTGAATACATTCTGCATGCAAACTTTTGTTAGAACCTGCAATGCAACAAGTGTCATCCTGCACCACATCATCATAATACAAAACAAACAAATGATCAACATATTCTGCATGCAATACATAATCATTTTTCTTTGTGATGATGCACTTCTTGTTCTTGAAGGAAACGTCAATGTTCCGCTCATTCAGCTGTCCAACGCTGAGCAGATTATGTTTGGCGTCTGGCACGTAAAGCACATTCTGTATCGATAAGTCCAAACTGTGAAGAACAACAGTTCCGTAGCCTTTACTGGGAATAGTGTGGTCATCCGCCTGGTGAATCGCACCTTCCTGCGGTGTAAAAGACACAAACAGTTTCTTATCGTTGCACATGTGGTGGGTGGCCGCTGAATCAACAACGAAGAAAGATCTAGACGTCTTCTGGACCTCTGCAACCTTTGGAGTGAAGCGTGAAACCATAGCCTTGTGCTGCGTTGTCCTAGACACCGGACCTTTGCCTTTGCCTCGGCCTTTTCCGCGCGATGAGCTTTCGCTGCGCTGCTCTGTCTTGGCCCTGGGATGTCTGCATTCCCTCTTCATATGGCCTAGACGTCCACACGAGTTGCATTTCACTGCCTTCAAAGCTTTGGCGCCATCTGGTGGTTCCACTGCACTATGGGATGACGTCTGTGAAGACTCCCCCTTGCCCATGCAGCTAGCACCCCGGCGATCTGCTTCATTTAAAATCACGGCAGTAACAAAGTCCACTGTCAGCTGAGCAGTTGGTTGCACAGCAATCTGGGTTGCAACAGACTCCCAACCTGAACCCAAAGATTGTAGTATCATGAAAGAATACACAGCCTCTGGAAAGTTGAGTCCTCTCTGTTGCAGCTCATGTCTCAGATTTTGCATCTCCATTAGATGTAAACGCACATCTCCACCTTCAGCAAGAGCCATATTATGCAGCTTGTTAAAATAAAACATAGTGGATCCAGCTTCTGTCCTTAAGTGAGCCTCTCTCAGAGCGTCCCAAATTTCTCTGGCTGAGGTCTTATCACGCAATAGACAGAGCTCTTCTGGGGATACTATCAATGTAAGAGTTCCCCTTGCTTTGGAATCCTTAGCTTCCCATGCATCTGTAACTGGAACTGGGGGTTCCTGTAATCACCTCAAACAAACCCTCTTTCCGCAGAATTGCCTCTGCATACTGAACCCAGTCGCTGTAATTTTTCTTGTTGAGCTTAGGAATCCCACAAGCATCCTGAAGGGCCATCATGACTCTGGCATTAGCCTTCAGCGTCATATGCTGCTTTAAATCTTGCTGCGTCACTGCTGCAGCTGCTTTATTACAAAGGCACACTTAAAAGTTACTTCGATTTCCCCAGCATAGTGACTTGTGCCTGGGAGCCTTTTGCCTATTCCCGGCAAAACCGGCTTTAAAAGTTCAAAGTCCAGCCATAAAGCCATTAACTTGAAGCTGGCAGGCTGCCCGGAGCAGTAGCACATACCTCATCAATCACTTCTACGCGCAGAGCAGATTCCTTTCCGATCCGTCCCTCTGCATTCCGATCCTTTGCCGGCACTCCGATTCGACCTCTGGAGTCCATAACCACGTGTTGATTTAGAGCAGAGCCTGTCGTGCCCAGCGGAAGGATGAGTAATACGTGCTACATACTCTATATTGCTTTATTTACAGTTCAAAGCTGGTATATTACAGAAAGACATCTTGCCTCTGCAGGAGCAGAAAAATGCATCCTCTCTCCTCAACAGCTCGGAGAGAATCACACAGTGAAAAACAGGAAACCAGTGTACGTCACATCCAGTCTCCCTTTCCCGTGAGAAACTCCAACAGTACAGACTGTGGAATGTAAACACCTTTCTCGTGACAAGCAGAGCTGCACAGTGAAGGAAAGCAGAAACCAACAGAAACCGTATCAGTGTTCGGTGTGCAGGAAGAGCTTCCATCGGACGTCCAACCTGAAGTCGCACCAGAGGATTCACGCAGGAGACAAACTCTACAACTTCTTGGAATGCAGCAGGAGCTTTTACGAAAAATCGCGCCTTCTCACACACCAGAGAATGCACATGGGGGAAAAGCCATATCAGTGCCCCGAGTGCGGGAAGAGGTTTCACGATAAGTATAAGCTGAAGAGCCATCAAAGGAACCACGGGGGGGGGGGGAGAGAAGCCAGTCACGTCGTGGCGTGTTGAAATGGCTTCGGACGGTGCCCCCGTCTTGCATGCTCTCAGAGAATTGACACAGGGACACCAACACGTGATTTCTGAGATTGAATAGCAAAGGATTCGGCTAAGCCTTTATAAACTTTAAAGAATCCACCTTGGAGATGAACCTTCCCCTCCCTCCCAAATGCTTGAGGTAGGAAATGGGTTAACAAAAAGAGTTAACAAGGACTCACTCGAACCAATGGCTTCATGTTTTAGGGAAGGACATTCCGACTAAACATACGGAAAAACTTTCTGGCAGTAAGAGCTGTTTGGCAGTAGATTCTATGATTCCATTATAGATCACTGGCATACCAATACCTTTTAAATTTTTATTTAATTTTTGTATTGGCATTAAAAATGTGCAAAAATAATGGGAAATACAAGACACACAGCTCCAGCCCCACATATGCAGCCCCATCCTTGTACCCACAGTGGCCTCAGGTTGTATATTTACATAATTGTTCCTTTTTGATCCATAAAGGACCTGTTCAGTGTTCAGGAAACTGTTTTATTCTAGGGTTGTTTGACGTGTGAAACATAGTTCAGATTGAAATAAAACCTTACTATACACCAGACAAATTCACATTTAAATGTATGGCGTGTGAAAAGGGGTTTAGTCAAAGTCGATCACTTAAGAGTACATCAATGAACTCACACGGGAGAGAAACAAATTGAATGTGTGGAATGTGAAGTCAAGCCTTAGTTCACATGAGCAAACTCACACAGGGTATAAACCATTTAAATGTATGGCGAGTTTGTTAGAAGGCACAACTTACTTTGCATCAACAAACTCACACAGGGAAAGACTTTCACTGATAATAGAACCCATGCAAAACATCAACAAACGGGGAAACCCATTTAAATGTATGGAGTGTGGAAAGTATTTCACTCAGGGTTCACTCCTTCACATCAAAAAACTCAAAGGGTAAAAGCAATTTTAAATGTACGGAGTGCATACAATGTAGTGGTGTTCATATGTAAATTTGTTTAGCTACCGTATTTTTCGCTCTATAAGACACACTTTCCCCCTCCTAAAAAGGGGGAATGTGTGTGCGTGTAGGGATATTGCGGAGTGGTGAGTGGGGTCCGGAGGGAGCCCACTTCCCCACCAGCAGGCAGCCACAGTCTGCCTGCACGCGTGACCCTGGGGTACGTAGCATACTCCCCCTCAGACAAGTCACGGCTGTCTGGAACATCGTTCCCTCTGTCTGACCTTTTGCGGTCTCAGCAGTCTGCAGTGTCCTGTCTGTAACCTTTGTCCCCGAGACCTTTTGTCTCCTTCGTCATACACTGTGCAAGGGGAAAATGACGCTGTGGAAACAGGTGCCAAAATAACTTTGTACCTCCCCACGATCTCGGGACTGGAAGATGTGTAAAGGTCACAGGCCAAAATGTACCTGCCTAGCTTGCATATTTGTCTCAATAAAAAGGAGGCTCCACAGGCTAGCCGGCAGCTCTCTTCAGCCCACCTGTGCGCAGCTCACATGATGATCAACTCCTGTCTTGGGCCTTCACTTCATGTGCGTCCTATGGAGCAAATGCAGGCTTCGCGGGCTACCCCAGAAGCCAGAACAGTGAGAGGGAGCACTGCACAGTGCTCCCTCTCGCTGTTCTAGCTTCCGGCTTAGCCGCGCGAAGTCTTCGCAGGGGAGCGGGGAGCCTTCATCCCGCTCCCCTGCGCCGGCTTCGCACGGCAATCCATGGCTTTCGCGGGAGGTGGGGGAAGGGACAGAGCATGGCTTTCTCACTTCCCCCACCTCTTGCAAAAGCGCCCAAGAGCCACGCTCCCTTTAAAGAGCTGCGCGGAGTGTGTGTGTGTGGCTCTTGGGGGCTTTTCCCCGAGGAGGGAGAAGGGCAGCCTGTCACTGACGGGCTGCCCTTCTCCCTCCTCGGGCAAAAGCCTGCAAGCGCCACACATACGCTCCACGCGGCTCGTGAAAGGGAGCGCTGAGCAGAGCCTGGGATGCATACAGACTGCTCAGCACTCCGTTTAAATTCTGTTGTTTTTTTCTTGCATCCCCCCTCTAAAAACTAGGTGCGCCTTATGGTCAGGTGCATCTTATGGAGCTAAAAATACGGTATGTATTAAAGTGATGAAGGTACAGTGAGGGGGGAAAGTATTTGATCCCCAGCTAAATTTGCCCCTTTGCCCTCTGACAAAGAAATGACCAGTCCGCAATTTTAATGGTAGGTTTATTGTAGCTGTGAGAGATGGAATAACAACAGGAAAACCCCCAGAAACCCAGAAGACAAAAGTCAGAGATTGATGTGTATTACAATGAGTGAAATAAGTATTTGATCCCCTATCAACCAGCCAGATGTCAGGCTACCTGGTATCTTCACTGTTTGTAACGAGCTGAGATTATGTAACCTTTATGGTTAAAAAGGATTTCTCTAAGTGCACCCTTAGAAAGTATTTATGAGGTAACAGATAATCCCAAATGGTGGGAAATTCTAAACGCTAAGGGATATCATATAGTTAAAGGTATGTATAGAGGAGAGTCCTAAAAGTCATTGCAGGAAGTAATAGAGAATATAGGTAACCAATATTGGTTAAAAACTGGAGGACTATACAACAAAATTTCCAAAGTCCAAGAGACAGGAAATAGGAGTTTAGAAGAGCCAATAGAGGAACTATACAAACAAATGGAAAAAATGAAACAAGGAATGATAAGTAAAATCTATAAGAGAATGATTACAAATAATGAACAGACAACCCAACTTATTCAAAAGATGTGGAGTAAGGAAGAACAAGTTAGCGAAGCAACAGTTGGAAGGATAATGAAAGGAACAGATGAGATTAAAGTAAGCAAATTTAGAGAGCTGAAATTACCGTATTTTTTGCCCCATAGGACGCACTTTTCCCCCTCCAAAAATGAAGGGGAAATGTGTGTGCATCCTATGGGGCGAATGCAGGCTTTCGCTGAAGCCTGGAGAGCGAGAGGGGTCGGTGCGCACCGACCCCTCTGCTCTCCAGGCTTCACGCAGATCTCCGCAAGCCCTGGAAGCCCGCGCCGGGCTCCCGCAGTTTGCGGAGAGTTGCCTGAATGCTGAAGGCTGGGCGCGCTGAGCTCAGTGCACCCAGGCTTCGCGCAGCTCTCCGCAAGGCGCGGGAGCCCTGCGCTGGGCTCCCACGGCTTGCGGAGAGTTGCCTGTTCTGGGGGCTGGGGTCCGGGGAAGCTGGGCTTCCTCTGCCCCAGCCCCGCGCCCGGGGGGGGGAAAACAATTTCCCCCCTTTATTTCCCCCCCCCCCAAAAACTAGGTGCGCCTTATGGGACGGTGCGTCCTATAGGGTGAAAAATACGGTAAAATTCTTTCTAAAATGGTACAGAACTCCGGCCCAGCTTGCTAATATGGTAGCAGGACTGAATTCTAGCTGTTGGCACTGTAAACAAGCCAAGGGATGGTTTTCCCATATGTACTGGGAATTCCCAGAGGTAAAGGAATTCTGGGGGGAAATCCTAAAGGTTATTAATGATTTTTAAAAAATGAAGCTTTCAATAGATTTTGATTTCATGACAATGGGTATACTTGGAAACATGGCAATAGAGAAAGGGGACCAGTTTACCTTCAAAGCTATGATATTAGCGGGAAAGGCAACGATAGCTTTAGGTTGGAAAGAGAGAGGAAAATGGACAGTAGAGGCATGGACTAGTTATTTGTTTGAACTTATTCAGTCGGACATTGTCGCAGTCATGTCACAGGAAACAATGTGGAAGGTCAAGTCCACCACAATAAGGAACAGAGGGAACCCCTATCTTGAATGGATAAAAACTACTGGAACAAAAGACATTCTGTGGAAACGAAAGACGCTATGCCCGTGGCTGAGGGTAATTGTTTGAACCCTTCCAATGGGTATGGGGGGGGGGAGGAGGAAAATTTAAAAATTGTATGGGAAATTTAAAAATTGTAAGAAGATAATATATGTATATAAAAAATCCTGAACTCAAATAAAATAAAATAAAATTTTAAAAAAGAAAGAAAGTAATGCAAAACAGATTAATCAATTCCAGACTTTTAAAAACAACTCCTAAAACAGCAATTTAACATGAATTTTACTATCTAACGAGACCATTGATCCATAAAATGAAAGCAATAATCAATGTACTGTACTATAAAAGAAAGAAGACAGTACTTTAGATTAAAATTAAAATTATTATTTTTTCTTACCTGCACTGATGATAGACATTGTTTGGATGGGGGGTTTTATGCATTGCCACAGTCACAGAATCAATCAAAAACAAACAACAAGCCACAGTCACACACAAAAAGCCAAATAAAAAAGCAATTTCTTTTAGCAAAAACAAAAGCACCAGATATAAGCTCCAAATACCGTATTTTTCGCCCTATAGGACGCACCGTCCCATAAGGCGCACCTAGTTATTTGGGGGGGAAATTAAGGGAAAAAAATTATTTCCCCCCCCCCAGGCACGGGGCTGGGGCGGGGGAGGCCCGAGCTTCCCCCGACCCCAGCCCCCAAACAGGCAGCTCTCTGCAAGCCGTGGGAGCCCAGCGCTGGCTCCCGCTGCTTGCGGAGAGGTCCGCGAAGCCTGGACGCGCTGATCTCAGCGCGCGCAGGCTTCGGCATGCAGGCAACTCTCCGCAAGCAGCGGGAGCGCTCCCGCTGCTTGCGGAGAGGTCCGCGAAGCCTGGAGAGCGAGAGGGGTCGGTGCGCACCGACCCCTCTCGCTCTCCAGGCTTCAGCGAAAGCCTGCATTCGCCCCATAGGACGCACACACATTTCCGCTTCATTTTTGGAAGGAAAAAGTGCGTCCTATAGGGCAAAAAATACGGTATCACCTCAGAACACTGCAAACTGGAAATGGAAGGCTTTAATTACAATGGGGGGGGAGCAAATTAGCAGCGGAACAGTGAAAACAGAAGGAAGAAGGCTTTGATTACAATGCAGGGGGACACAAATTAGTGCAACAGTGAAAACAGAAGCTTATCAGCATGTTCGGCTTCCGAAGCAAAGTTCACAAACTGGAACACTGACTTCCAGGTTTGCAGCATTTGAGTTCAAAGTTGTTCAGGAACTAAGCTGTTAGAAAACCGAGGTACCACTGTATATAGACATGGTTGCCATACATCCAGAATTGTAAACAGCGTCTGGGCGGAAATTGCTGAAATGTCCAGGAAAATCTGGACATATGGCAGCCCATGTCGCAAGTGTAGATTTCGGCAAACTTCACTTGAAATAGATATGCCCCCCCCCAGTTCCTTCAAGCCCTCCTCATAAGCTTGGTTTCAGACCCTTGATGATCTTGATTGACTCCTCTGCATCATCTTCATGAAGTTTTCCCTTAGCATGTAGCAAGCTGTAAACCTTAAATTTACTTTCCACAGTTGTTCCCATAAAGCAAAGTCAATGTTTTGTCCTACATCTCTGGCCCAGCTTATCATTGATGATTTTATCATTTCATTCCTTGTATCCCACTCAAGTATCATTTAGATAATATTTTAACCCTGGAGCCTAATAAACCCCTTTCAAACTGTGAGTTTTGTTCTGCAAATCCATTTTTTAAAATCTAACTTAAATGTTACATTCAACTGATGGTAAATTGACCAGTCTCCCTCCCACCTAGAGGAAGAAGTTCCCTTTATAGGGACCCCACATACAATGAAGCAATACCACACGGCCCTAAACCTATCCTCCCAATACGTCGAACTTAGCGGGTAAACTATTGGTCTGCTGTGTCATAGTTTTACTGGACGGTTGGATAATATTGGCAAGAGCGCCTGTAATCTCACAGTCACCACTTCCCCTGGAATAAGAATTACTTCCGTCCAAACCAGTAAGTATGTCTGTAATTATGACCATCTGACCAATGTCTAGATGACTTAAGCCCTATATCGGACTCCTCTCCATGGGTTTTCCCCCGAATATAGAGCATGGTCCAATCCCCTGGACATTCTCAGACTTACAGAAGTCCTTCTCAAGGTCATGAAGGACTCTGAAGAGGTGATTCAAGCAACAGAAAAGAAGATTTCTCCTAAAGATCAGGAAGAACTTTCCGATAGCAAGAGCCAGCAGTGAAAAGGAACTCCCTCAGAAGAGAGAGGACTCTCCTTCATTGGAGGTATTTAGGAAGAAGTTGGATGGCCATCTGTCATGGATGCTTGAAATGAGATTTCTGCATTGGCGGGGGTTGGACTAGATTCCAAATCTACCATTCTATTATTCACCCTGCTGTGAGTTCTTGAATTGACTTTTTTACGAGTGAAGTTTTATCCACATTCCATGCGCTGATATGCTTTCAACACTGTATGAATTATTTGGTGGGCCATGAGAGTGGCACTCTGACTGAAGATCTTCCCCCATTCCAAAAACTAAGAAGTTTTCTCTCCTGTATGAATTATTTGATGGGAAGCGAGACTGTGGCTGTGACTGAAGCTCTTCCCACATTCGAAGCACTGATATGGTTTCTCCCCTGAATGAATTCTTTGATGGGAAGTGAGACTCTGGCTGTGACTGAAGCTTTTTCCACAATCCAAGCACTGATATGGTTTCTGCCCTGTATGAATTCTTTGATGTGAAGTGAGATGTTGTCTGTGACTGAAGCTTTTTCCACAATCCAAGCACTGATATGGTTTCTCCCCTGTATGGATTCTTTTATGGATTAGGAGATGGGGGCGTTGACTGAAGCTCTTTCCGCATTCCAAGCACTGATATGGTTTCTCCCCTGTATGGATTCTTTTATGGATTATGAGATGGGGGCTTTGACTGAAGCTCTTCCCACATTCAAAGCACTCATAGGGTTTCTCCCCTGTATGGATTCTTTGATGCAAAGTGAGAATGCTGCTTTCACTGAAGCTCTTTCCACATTCCAAGCACTGATGTGGTTTCACTCCTGTATGAACATTTTGATGGGAAGAGAGACTCCGATTGTGACTGAAGCTCTTTCCACATTCCAAGCACTGATACGGTTTCTCCCCTGTATGGATTCTTTGATGCAAAGTGAGATTGTCCTTTCGACTGAAGCCCTTCCCACATTCCAAGCACTTATAGGGTTTCTCCCCTTTATGAATTTTTTGATGGGAAGAGAGATTGCTGCTCTGACTGAAGCTCTTCCCACATTCCAAGCACTGATAGGGTTTCTCCCCTGTATGTATTCTTTGATGCAAAGTGAGACTGGACTTTTCACTGAAGCTCTTCCCACATTCTAAGCACTGATAGGATTTCTCCCCTGTATGTATTCTTTGATGCAAAGTGAGACTGTCCTTTCGACTGAAGCTCTTCCCACATTCCAAGCACTGATAGGGTTTCTCCCCTGTATGAATTCTTTGATGGGAAGTGAGTCTTGAGCTGCAACTGAAGCTCTTCCCACATTCAAAGCACTGATATGGTTTCTTCCCTGTATGAATTCTTTGATGGGAAGTGAGACCCTGCCTCTGACTGAAGCTTTTTCCACATTCCAAGCACTGAAAGGATTTCTCCCCTGTATGAATTCTTTGATGGGAAGAGAGATTTGAGTTGCAACTGAAGCTCTTCCCACATTCCAGGCACTGATAGGGTTTCTCCCCTGTATGGATTCTTTGATGGGAAGTGAGACTCTGCCTGTGACTGAAGCTCTTTTCACATTCCAGGCACTGATAGGGTTTCTCCCCTGTATGAATTCTGTGATGAGAAGTGAGTTGTGAGCTTTGATTAACGCTCATTCCACATTCTAAGCACTGATAGGGTTTCTCCCCCATATGAATTTTTGATGGGAAGTTAGATGATCCTTTCGACTGAAGCTCTTTCCACATTCTCTGCAGTGATACAATTTCTCTCCTCTGTGAATTCTTTCATGTGAAGTGAGGCTATCCCTCCGAATGAAGCTCTTTCGTTGATGGGAGGTGGACTGGGAGCTCTGGTCGATGTTCTCTCCATACTCTGAATATTTATTTGATTTCTCCAATATGTGGATTCTGTTGTGGTCCCCCTTGTTCTTCCCTTCCCATTCATCACCATCTGCAATGAAGAGAGAAGCTAATTATCGCCTCAGGAAGAAATGGAGCTCCAGATTATTGAACAGAGTTCCCGCCCCCAACTCACTAAGAGACTTGAGAGTGCTCCGTTTCAGCCTCAAGAGCACAGCCTTGAAGTCTAACTTAACGGCATTGTAGATGTGTGGCATCTTCAACCCCCCCAACATTTGAGCATGCCTGAGGGGTGCCTGACTCTCTTGAAAACAATGGGGTGCCATTGCCAGCATACTGTGACCGGGGCGCAGATGACACACAACCATCAAACCCACCACCTGACCCCTCCCCCAGCAATGCACTGCCATGTTAGGGTAAGTCGTGCTAACTCTGCATCGCTGCCCCGGACCCCAACCCCACTCAGAGCGAAGGGGACGTGGTTCACATCCATTATTGAACAAAGTTAATGAATGCTTGTGATAAAGGAAGGACTGAAGTTAGATGTGAGGCCTTACAATAGTTTTCACTGCCTTTGTTGGCTGATATTAACTGACATATTGCTTGGCTTTTATCTGGGATAGATTTGATTTGGCTCAATCCTGGAATCCACCCCATATCCAAGGTCAGTCATCTCTTTGGTCAATCAAATGCAAACAGAAGCCAAAACAACAAACCTGACAGAAGTTACTTCAACTTCCCTAAAAGCTCTCAAGCCCACATTTAAGAAGGCCTGGGTGGTTCAGACAAGCCTGGTCATTGTTTAAAAAGGCATGACTAGACAAAGAATATTCACAAACAGTTGATATCCCTCCATTCAGGGCTCACGGTGTGGATGTTAGAATCCCAGATGCTGTTGGTCTCCTTCCAAATAGTGGAGGTTCATCAAATAGAGCAGGGGTGTCCAACAGGTCGATCACGATCTACTGGTAGATCCCTGCGAGGTTTTGGTCAATCGCAGTCAATCGCTGACCCCCTCCCGGATCCTCCCTCCATTGTTGGAGAATGGAAGACAGAGCTTACAAACCGAGGCTGGAGGCTGTTTCCCCCCCAGCGCTCCTTTGGTGAGTTGCTAATAAAAGCTCAACAACTTTGACCTGAACCCCTACAAAACAGGGGTATATCACTCCCAGTTTTTAATTCTGTGAGTAGATCGCAGTCTCTTGGAAGTTGACCATCCCTGAAATAGAGGTATGTATGGCATTTCAAAACCGATGTTAGGATCTCACAGGGAATTTTGACGAGAGGGTCCATGATCCCTCAATTCTCCTTCTTGACTTCCTTACGAAAAGCTCTCTTGTCAGGATCCAGCAACGTCCCTGCCTCCTCTGAAACAAACAGGAACATCTTCACCTGCACACTACCCATCAGCTGTTGCCTCAATCTATATTTGGTCTAAATGTAAACCTTTTTCTAAATATCTTTCTTCACCTTGAATCTCCTCTCATTTTCACGAGGAGACCAACTCTGTATAGTTTAATTGGTAACAGAAGATGGAAAATGACTATTAGTCACACTTAATCTAAGCCCAACGGCCACAAGAGCTTCTGACTAGGAATTCGGCTATGCGATGTTGAATGTTCTCTGTTCTCCGCTGTTTACCCTTTTTTGTTTCAATTTATACCAATTCATGAACCCAGAACTCATACACTGATCACCAACGAGGAACATGTTATTCCTGCAAATTTATTTAGTCTACATATTTGTATCATATATTAGTCTTATATGATCCTTGTTTTTAAACGAAAATGAAAAGTTATTCCTAAAAGAAAAGAAAACGGCAAAACACATAGACCCCATCGGCAATCAGTCCTGAAATTAGGATCAGGTAATTTAAAGAATCATGGCTTCTAGTGCTGCGCAATGGATCGGTGAGTTCTCTGACATTGGTAGGGCATTCAGAGCACAGTACTGGCGCCAATACATCGCGGTGGCCGGGGAGCTGTGACGTATTCCTGGCTCAAATTGCCTGCAGATGTCAAAGGCGCTGGAAGGCAGGTGGAGGAGCCCAAAAAGGTGCTCACCTTCTCAATCTCCATCTTCCTGCCTGCCTCATCCCACCCCCAAAATGAGCAAGCCCCAGTACCTCTCCAGCCCCATCCATCCATGTCCCCATCTCCCCTCCCCTGGGACTCACTAGATATCTCGGAGGTCCCTGGGAGGGAACGCTCAGAGGCTGTGAGGAGGGATGCAGGAGACAACCTGACCAGGTCAACTGTCCATCTTCCCCCTTCCATCCTCGCTAGGTTTACAGATTCAGTCTCTTTCATCCTTCCTGAGGAGTCGGGAAGCCACCACAAGCTGCAGGGTCCTGGGAGAGAGGAAGAAACAAAGGGAGCCTCAGAGGCCCTGCAGGGATTCTCCTGCCCTAGATATCCCCCTGCTCCTGGAGAAGCACAAATGGGGCAGCCCCTTCCCAACAGAAACCCCATTTGAAACATCTCCAGTGATTCCAATTTAATCTGTTGGCACCTTACCCCACTTCATAAGGCTGGCATGGTATGCACAGTAGTGACCTGTGAGTAGACCCCATTGAACTCAGTGGGGCTTATGGATAGAACTTGGTGCAAAAACCAGGCACCATCCTGTCCCCCAAGCCTGAAAACTGCAACCCCAGAGCATGGGCAGAATACTACCGAGTAGCTATTACATGTAGGTGCCCCCACATCTCAATGCAAGAGATGACTTAGCAGTTGAGCTGGCTGGGCCCCAAACCTCTTTCTGCTCATCATTAGAGCTGCTGAGAGACCCTAGAAGGTTGGGAATAGGATCTGGCTCCTGCTGTTTCTTAGCCACCTCCTCATTTTCCTTATTCACGCAAAATGGAGTGATTTTTGGTTGTGCTTTCTTTAGAGAAGCTCTCTTTGGAGCAGGGCCCGTGGCACTCGGGGAGAGACCAGAAATTTTGTAACCACTCCAGGTCAACACCATCTTTTCCCTTAATTCCTTTTTTTAAAAAAAATACATGTTTTTATTAGGAATTCCAACATAACAATTTGAACAAAAATACATCATCCACATTATTCCCCCCCCCATTTCCCCCTAAAAAAGAAAAAAACCTTCCCCACCCCCAAGACTTCCCCCAGCTCCTCTCTCTGGTTTCGCAACACATAATTTTATCTGAATGTTATAAAATTGTAAAAATCCTACATTTATCTCTATATATTACCAATAAAGAGTTTGTAATGAAGTTGGGAAATCGAAGAAGAAGAAGAAGAAGAAGAAGAAGAGGAGGAGGAGTTTGGATTTGATATCCCGCTTTATCACTACCCGAAGGAGTCTCAAAGGGGCTAACATTCTCCTTTCCCTTCCTCCCCCACAACAAACACTCTGTGAGGTGAGTGGGGCTGAGATACTTCAGAGAAGTGTGACTAGCCCAAGGTCACCCAGCAGCTGCATGTGGAGGAGCGGAGACGCGAACCCGGTTCACCAGATTAGGTGAATACCACTCTTAACCAGAACACCACACTCGCTCTTAGCAAGTTAAAACTTTGGCTCATGCTAAAGAAGAGCATTATGGGAGAGCCAAACGCTGTAGAATTCTTGGAATGTGTATCTGCTTCTTTAATTGCAGACTTTCTGTCTCAAAGAGTGTGAATAAGTTATCTTCTCCATCTGCGGGAAGGAGGTTCCTAGCTGATTTGTAGTCTTGACACCTGGCTATCTTAGAAGACCTTTCTGTGTGAAAAAGGTTATGAAGCTTAATTTACAACTCAAATAATCTGGTATGGCTCTGGGAATGCTTTTCATCTTCAAGGCCTTTTGATAAACAGGATTCGGCTGTCGAGGCTCCTAACAAGCCTGAGTTATTGTTCTTCTATCTAACCATTGGCGAGTTGCTAATTAATCTAAAGAACTGATTGGCTTTTGAGTTTTGAATCCACGTGGGTTCAAAGGGGATAAAACCTAAGGAAACCAACTTGCAATTCCCTAACATACCTTGCCATGTGAGACCATTGTCTTGCAAAGAGGACTTGCCCTGATGCCAGGAAAGCGGAGAACAGTTCCGTTTCACACTTTCATTCTCCTTGTGAGTATGTACTGTAGTTAGTGATATTGAAAAATGTTTTTATTTTCTGTTTGGGATTTGTAAGAGATGTGCCAACTTTTATGTTTGAATAATCTTTTTTATTGAATTCTGGAAAAAGGACTTTTCCCTGTTTCTGTCTTTTGTGCCTTTCTGCCGGGGAAGCTAAACCAGTACCTGACCACTTAGTCGCCTACCAGAGCCTGTTGGATTTCTGTCTGTGCCACAGTAAAGTGACACAGTGTGGGGCAGCCCGGTAAAACTGAAGAGTAATCTCCTTCCTTAGGTTACTTTTCGGGGATGTTCTAAGATAAGGAAGTGGTGGCAGCAAAATACTGTCTCTGTTTCTTTATGTTCTGAAAAACCTTTCCCCCCCCCAGCTGGGTCTCGCCGGAGTTGGAAAGCAGGCTGGAGAGGTGGGAGACTGTCTGCGAATGCTACACAAGCCCCAGTACCTCTCCAGCCCCATCCATCCATGTCCCCATCTCCCCTCCTCTGGGACTCACCAGATCTCTTGGAGGTCCCTGGGAGGGAACGCTCAGAGGCTGTGAGGAGGGATGCAGGAGACAACCTGACCAGGTCAACTGTCCATCTTCCCCCTTCCATCCTCGCTAGGTTTACAGATTCAGTCTCTTTCATCCTTCCTGAGGAGTCGGGAAGCCACCACAAGCTACAGGGTCCTGGGAGAGAGGAAGAAACAAAGGGAGCCTCAGAGGCCCTGCAGGGATTCTTCTGCCCTAGATATTCCCCTGCTCCTGGAGAAGCACAAATGGGGCAGCCCCTTCCCAACAGAAACCCCATTTGAAACATCTCCAGTGAT